AGAGCATGTTAGAGTGGGTCAGGCAGTGTCAGAGCATGTTAGAGTGGGTCAGGCAGTGTCAGAGCATGTTAGAGCATGTTAGATTGTGTCAGGCAGTGTCAGAGCATGTTAGAGTGTGTCAGGCAGTGTCAGAGCATGTTAGAGTGTATCAGGCAGTGTCAGAGCATGTTAGAGCATGTCAAAGTATGTTAAAGTGAGTTACAGCACGTTCAACTTCTTGTGCTTCCTTTATCTAGACGACCTCCACCTCCTCCGACTCGGACTTCACAGCCCATTAAGTCTCACTCTCCTCCACCCGTCTAACAAGAAGAGAACCAAGGCATGCTGGGAATTCTGAATCCTGGGCCCTTTGGCGCTGTTTGCACTAATTTTGTGAGAGAGCTGCACAGAGATGTTCTTGGACTGTCTAGAACCTCGCTCATTAACTCCCTCTGATTTCAGCTACAGTCCGTTGTCTTTTCTCGCCTGATGCCTTCCTCCCCAATATGAAGCCTGGACACCATTTTGTGGGAGGTTTACTAGATTAGGGAGTGGTAGAGGTTGGATTTTTGCAGCCATGACTGGATTTAGGAAACTTGAGCTTAGCCTCGTGCCTAAGGCAATGTTCACGTTAAGAAACACCCCCTTTAAACTGCCACATGTTTATGTAGCTCATGTTAGGAACAGCTCTCGTGGTATGGAAACCATCACGGTGAAGGTGTTTGACTAGGAAAGGAAAGTATGGCATAGATTCAAATCACCAATATGAAGATGGTAAGGAGAGATCAGAGCATGCTCCTCTTCAGGTGAGCGTGTGCAGATCATTTCCTTGCTTCTCCATCAGCAAACTGAACATGGATATTTAGAGATTTCTCCTAATTTCTAACGTGTGGTGATGTAACTATTACAACATTTCAGATTAGAGCTTTTCCACTTTGAGGGATGTTAAGAGCATTACAATCAGTTTGGCCAGGCTGAGGATACACTTTCTTAATATATAATGCTGAAACATGAACAGGAAGGTTTGTGAATGTTGTGTATTATCTCTGTAAGGACAGACAGCAGACCCGAATGTAGATTTTAGAAGGGCTTGTGAAACATGGGTAGAAGAAAACTCATGAACCTTAACTTGTCTCATGGCAGAGGAAGTTCCTTTCCTGAAGAGGACAAAACATAATTTGTACAGGATTCTGAATGATTAGTTTTAACACTCATCCATATGTATATATAGATCACGAGGATGGGTACAAAGATGGTCTTGAAGGTATTTTTATATAGCATTACCCACACTACCAGAATTAACTAGCTTCTCTCTTTGACAGTAGTGACAAATCTCTTGTGCTGATGCTGCTTTTTTAACTTATTCTAATGCAAAGAAACGTATGGGGGGGGGGGTCTTCGTGCAAATGTTGAAAAGGCTAAAACATCAAATGTTTTCCCTGTGACACTTCAAGGTGACGTGACATACGATGTTCGCTCGTTCGCCTGTAAAGTTTGCTTCACTTCAGTGTTTACTACTGTACTGTTGCCAATATACACTATATGGACAAAAATATAAGGACACATGTCTTAATCACTGAATTCAGGTGTTTCATTCAGACCCATTGTCACGGGTATAAAATCAAGCACCAAGCCATGCAGTCAGGGTTACAAACATTTGTGAAAGAATGGGTCCTTCTGAAAAGGTCAGTGAATTCAAGTGTGGTGCTGTCATGGGATGCCATCTTTGCAATAAGTCAGTTCATGAAATTTCTTCCCTGCTAGATATTCCACAGTCAACTGTAAGTGGAATTAATGCAAGGTGGAAGCATTTAGGATCAACAGAAACTCAGCCACAAAGTGGCAGATCATGTAAAGTGACAGAAAGGGCTTCACCAAGTGCAGAGGCGCATAGTGTGGAAAAGCCACCAGTGCTCTGTTGTCTCAACCATGAAGTGGCAGACCAGGAAAGGTAACAGAATAAGGTTGCCAAGTGCTGAGGCGCATAGCGCATAAAGGTTGCTAACGTAACTGCAGAGTTCCAGGCTTCCTCTGGCATTAATCCCAGCACAAAAACTGTGTGCCGGGGGCTTCATGGAATGGGCTTCCATGGCCGAGCAGCTGCATGCAAATCTCACATCACCGAGCGCAAAGCCAAGTGTAGGATGGAGTGCTGTAAAGCACGCCGCCACTGGACTCTGGAACGGTGGAAACGTGTTCAGTGGAGTGACAAATCATGTGTCTCTTTCTGGCGGTCTGATGAATGAGTCTGGGTTTGACGGATACCAGGAGAACGTTACCTGCCTGACTGCATTGTGCCAACTGTAAAGTTTGATGGAGGCAGGATAATGGTATGGGTTTTATTTTTTCAGGGGTTGGGCTTGACCCCTTTGTTCCAGTGAAGGGAACTCCTAATGCTGCAGCATACCAAGACGTTTTGGACAGTTCTATGCTTCCAACTTTGTGGGAACAGTTTAGGGAAGGCCCTTTCCTTTTCCAGCATGACTGTACCCCAGTTCACAAAGCAAGGATCATAAATACATAGTTGGGTGTGGAAGAACATGACTGACCCACACAGAGCCCTGACCTCAACCCCATCGAGCACCTTTGGGATGAAGTAGAACAGAGACTGTGATCCAGGCCTTCATGTTCAACATCAGTGCCTCACCTCACAAATGCTCTTCTGGACGAATGGGCAATAATTCCCACAGACACACTCCAAGATCTTGTGGACAGCCTTCCCAGAAGAGTGGCAGCTGTTATAGCTGCAAAGAGGGGACCAGCTCCATATTGATGCCAATGGATTTAGAATGGGATGCCATTAAAGTTGCCGTAGGTGTAATGGCAAAGTGTCCCAATACTTTTGTCCATGTAATGTATTCCCACATCCGCCATTCCCATTCCCAGCAGCTTCAGACACTGTGATGAAGGCGTCTCTCTGCAGATCTCATCATACTTTAATCTAATACTTTTGACCATATAGCATTTATCACAAATGTTGAAAAACTGCACTGGCTGGACTTGACACAGAAAATCTGGTAGAAAATAAGTACTTTGATCAAATTGTGAACTATTTATTTGTATCACTTGATCATTTAACGGAACACTAGGCCTGAACATGAAGCATGTGCGTAAACAAATCCACTACTTCTAAATAGTTCATGGCACCATGCAACAAAGCAAACATTTCTCAAGGCATATTGGCACTTCTACATTCCCATTTTAAATACTGTTACACTTTGATAAATGTAAATTCATCTTGGCAGATTTCTGATATGTCAATTCTGTGTCAGTTTTATGCTGAATTCCCATTTAAAATCTTGTGACTGTCTGCCTTACATTATAATTGGATTAGTCAGCAGTGATTAATGGCTGAAAGCTCATATTTAGAGGTAAAGGCCATTTAATATAATACTGGCTAGATAGGAATTATACCTGCTGTGTTTGTGAACCTTTATCTACAGCAGAGAATGAGTCGTCAGAGCACTTTCAAGACAGTTTTCATATAAGATTTCCTAAAGTCTGGTTCCGATAAATAAAAATGAATTGCTGTGAAACAACATGGCTGCTCTTTCTTTCTATGACATACCTTCATAATCACAATCATGGCTTTTTAATTTTTCCTTCTAAATATATACTGCTAAAATAAAGCCAGCATGCCAAAAGGTTATTCCAGTTGACCGAAAATGCTGTCAATTACAGATGCAGTTAGCATAACCTGCAACAAAATAAGATTGCTTCACATACTGTAGAAAGCGATGCATTTGGTTTATTCTAGATGTCTATACCCCAATGTCATTTTCACACCTATAGTTTGTTTGCTGTGGTACGAATCAGTTGATGGGTTTGTGAACTTCGAACATTTTCCCCTTGGCTTGGTTTGTTTTCGCATAGAGAAAAATCCAAGCAAACCAAAATGCAGCACTACAAACCCCATGAGAACGTTCACTCCACTTATTGGTCAGATTTGTCTTTGGCAGGAGACAGAAGTAAGGAGACATGCACTGATACAGCACACGGCCACACCCACCACACAACGTACCATCTCAGGGCTGTGAACCCAAGGTACAGCCATGCAGTGGGTGATACCTCAACACCACACTAGTCCAAATGGAATAGAACAGTGTGAGTTTTTTTACAGTGGCTGGAGTGCCAATCCCACCACCAACCCCCAAGTTGTAAGTTGGGGGATCTCCTTATAGGGCTGGATGTAGGTTAACATCATACCCAAGACAAAGCAATTGCAGGTTAAGGGCCTTGCTCAAGGGCCCAATGGAGTAGGATCACTCCTGGCATTCACAGGATTTCAACCAGCAACCTTCCAATTGCTGGTACAGATGCCCAGCCTGAGAGCCACCAATCCGCCTTGGTGGGAGTAATTAAGAAAATACAGATAGAAGGTAATGCGTTCTGAACTATTGCATATTTCTGTGTTTAACATGGAGTAATGGCAGAAATAGCATTTGTTCATAGCTGTGTTAATAACCTAGGCATTCTACTAGGCTACACCAGCAGAATAGCAAATTCATTTTGAAGGCACATTCTGATAGTGCTATACTGCTTCAGACTTTGCAAAGAAGACCTGCTCTCTTCAAGTCTACTGAGCAGAAGAAGTGAGCTAATGTTGAGCATGATGAACAGCACACTTGGCTACGGGGACCATTTTGCTTAAACTCACAGAGTACACCTGGTAGTTGGACCAACTCAAGGTTGGATCACGGTCCCACCACAAAAGAACCCCTCCAGAATTCACCTCCCCTCAAGTGTCTCGTTGTGGTTGTTTTGATCCACAATGAGTATGATTACCATGTTTTCACCTCCCCAAATTTCAAGGGCTTGAATTGAGAGCAACTAGACTTTTTTTTTCAATTTTTTGAAGATGTTTCACTTCTCATTCAAAAGGCTTCTTCAGTTTCACACCTATATCCACACCTTGCCCCAAGTGTCAACGACCACCGTCAAGGTGATAATCCCACTATACAATAAATACCTGGAACTCCCCATCAAACTTTAAGAACTGAAGAGACCTTTCAGGTGAGAAGTGAAACGTTTTCAAGAAATTGAAAAAAGACATCCAGTTACCTTTGCATTTTTAGTTTTTTCATAACAGTCACTGATTTTTATAAAATAGAGCTTTCCCTTATGGGGACAAGGAAAGGTAACTGGTCCCCATAAGGGAAAAAAACGGATATTTATCACGTTATGGGGACATTATGTCACCATAAGGATAGACAAACCCGCTCACACACACACAATGTACAACAACAAACATTCAACACTATACGTGACATAACACAGCACATTTAGCTATGGAGAACTATTTACAGGGATAGCGTCAGTCCAACCTGCAATGCTGTCCTCAGGTACCTCCACACTACAATATGATTGGTTACATTCCACTGAAAGTCATGACAAATCGGTCTGGCTGTTCTGATGTCCAAAACAGAGCCATATATAGAGAGTCGCATTAACTCCATTCACTTCAAACTTGGAGTCTCTCAATAGTTCCTGTAAGTTAGCGTCAAATAAAAGCAGCATTGCGATAGAATAGGCCATTTGTGATGCACTTTAAAAGAGTAAGACTTTTTAATCAGATTGTATATAATCAGCACATCAGTATCAAATTAACACATGATTCAACATCCAAAACATAGACTGGTGAGCCATTCCACAATATTACAGCCCTGTAGCAGAATGCTTTACCGCCAACTGTCACTTTATTTATATGTGGAATGACAAAGAAACCCGCATTCTGTGATCTGAGTGGATGAGGCAGCTTGTAAACTTGAAGTAATTTTGTCAGGTAGGCAGGTGCTAGACCTTTAAGGCAGCTTCAGAGCTGTGTTTCAGACGAAGCCTGACTGGAAACCATGCAATATGTTGTGTGTCTCCAATTATGGGAGAAGTTGAGCAGCAACTGTTTTCTCTAGAACTTTTGACAAGAATGGTACATTAGAGACAGGTCTGTAATTGTTGAGCTCATGTGGATCCAAACTTGGCTTCTTCAGTAGAGGCCTAATTATTGCTACTTTTAGTTGGTCAGGAAAATCACCTGATAACAGGGACATATTCATTATGGCAAGAAGCTTAGTGGGGATTGGGTCCAGCGGACCAGTGGTCGGTTTGGTCTTAGTTAAAAAAGTTCTTAGCTCTTGTTCATTAATTAATTCAAAAACATTAAGAGTGTGTTCATGGTCTGTTTTGCATTGGAGTTAATTGTGAACCTGTTTGAAGCTTAATGTTTGTAATTAATGTTTGGCATATTTTGTAATTAATGTTTGGCATATTTAGGTGAACGGATTAAATTCGAGTTCTGAGGTACCACTGTAGTAACAAATCTCTTGTGCTGATNGGGGGGGGTAGTCTTTGTGTAAATACAACAGAAAAGGCTAAAACATCAATCGTTTCCTTGTGACACTTCAAAGTGATGGAACATAATGCCAATATATGTTGCAAATGTTGAAAGATGTTGCACCACCTGGATTTGAGAATTAAACAGAAAATCTGGTAAAAAGGAATCACTTTGATCAAATAATGAACTACTAATTTGTATCACTTGACCTTTTAATTGAACGCTATGCCTGAACATGAAGCATGTGTGTAAACAAATCCATTACTTCTAAATGGGTTATGGCACCATGTTATAAAGTAAACTTATTTCTCATAGCTTGTTGGCACTTAGTCTAAGTAAATCTGCCAGTATGCACTACATTCCCAATTTAAGTCCTGTAAATTCATTTTGGCAGATTTCTGAGATGTTGTGTCAATTTGTGCTAAATTCCCATTTGAAATCCTGTTACTGTCTTCTTTACAGCCTCATTGGTTTAATCAGCAGTGATTAATGGCTGAATGCTCATTTTAAGAGGAGAAAGCCATCCAATACAATACTGGCTAGTTAGGGATTTTAACCGACAGGTTTGTGAGAATGAGGAATCAAAACACAGACAATGTGGTTTTCATGGAAAGTTTTTTTAAGATTGCTTACCAAAGTCTAAGTTTCTGGTAAGTAAAAAGGAATTGCTGTCAAACAACTTGGTTGCCCTGCCTTTTTTAATGACACAATTTCATGCTCACAATACTAGAATCAGGGCTTTAAAAAAAAAAAAATTCCTAAATGTTTTTCCATCAGAAACATTTTAAAATATATACTGTTAAAAAGATTATAAAAAGATTTATAACGGTTTATCCTGAGCAGTTCTAGAGAGAATTACAGTAGATTCTATACTCATTGTAAACATCCTGCATTTTTGTAGTATGAATGCAGCAGAAATGTCCTATGGGCACATTAATCATCTTGAGTGGTCGTCTTGTCGCGCGCATCTCCAGGCACGCCAGCTCGCGAAGCTTCAGCTTTACTCCTGCATGACTCTCTATGCCGCCTTCAGTTCTACCTCCACAGGGTAGTGGTCGCTCACGTCCAAAGCCTATTTGACAAAGGATGTTGGTTATAATTGGTCTCTTTGGTTGCAACGACAATGTATTTGTTTTACATAAATTAGCATAAAGGCTTAGAACAAGTGAATGGGATTTTGGGATTTGTTGCAGCATTGCGACGGGACGATTACCGTTTCTGCAGTCAGGCGAAATGCTTCTTGAAAGTTGAACGGCATGGCTGAATTTGGCACTATGGAATCCAGCATCTTTTTTCCATAAACCACGATCCTGGAGGAAATGCATACGAGCGGAATTTAAAATTTATGCTTTCGCCTTGTAATTAGCTCATAAATTACACACGCGAGGTTGCTAACTTTGATTGGCTGGCTGGCTTGAGACTTTCAATGCTAGACAACTCTGCACGCGTATTTACATCTATGTAGCAATTTTATTACCTTGTAAATAGTCTATAGATCTTGCAAACTACCCTAACACTTTTGAAGCAGCTATTTTTAGGTTTATAATGGAATAATATAGATTTGCCGTAAGATTTCTTGCGTGCGTCACGCCAGACGCGTGAGTTGGCAGCCCTGCATAAGAAGTAATAATATGGCCATAAAAAACAGATGCGATGACAGAATTGCTGTTGTTAAACATTTAACAGCTTTGCATGGCGTCAAATCCACGCCAAAACTCGGGTACGATAAAGCACAAAGTGAAAAATATACAAAAGTTTTAACATTCCATTTGTGTAAATATCCGACTTGAAAGCGCAAATATGAAACTAAGGAGCACAGAAAAAAGCGTGCACGTCTGTCGTAATATCGTGCTCAAACTTTTTTGTTTCTTTTTTTCCCTCTCAAATGTTATGTTCTTCCTTCTCGATTTGATCATTTTCTGCATGCGCCAGGTTGATTACCATGCTTAAGTGCTTGAGTTTAGATTTGGGGGTAGTTCTAACATTTTGAGGGCGGGCTCATGGTCATTTCTGCCCGTGAATTCTTTTGACTGATGGCCCCGGTACCACATGCTCTGCTTAAAAAGAGCTAAAGGTTTACTATTTACTATAAATTAAATTATTATTATAAGACAGATAAACCAGGGTCTGCATGCTTTTAACCTAGTCACCCGTCGATCGACGTTCCTCTTTGTCCGCTAGTGATGTGTCGGTCGCGAACGAGTTGAATGACTGGAGCCGGCTTCCGTCTAAGCTAATAAATTATTTTATTTTTTTGTTAATTAATATTAGATAATAATAGGATGATCTTTTCACCACACTCGTATGCACTGACTGATCCTGCTGTTTTGTACAAAACCAGGAACCATCAGCCTATAGCATTTGCTGACAGAATCGGCCCGCCCCCAATCTGTAAAAATCACCCCCATGTCAAAACTCAACCACAAAAATTTTACACGAGCACAAAGAGCAGACGAAAATCATCTACTTGGCGCCAGAAGATATCTATCAAATCGAGAAGCAAATAAATATTGAACAAAGAAAACAGATGCAGGCTACAGCTTAAGGGCAATATTATGACAGACGCGCATGCAGTTCTTCTTCCTGTGCTCACTAGTTTATATTTGAGCTCGTGAGTGGAATATTTACGCACAAGAAATGTTCAAACTTGCAGGTTCATATTTATACTTTGCGTTTTACCACCGTTGAGTTCTGACATGGATGCGACGTCGTACATCGTTTTTTTTTTTTCTAAAAATAGGTTTGCTTTAGATTGAAGAAAAATTGTCACAACCTAATACTATGCAATACAGTACTATTGTGCCGGACATTCATCCACCTGTCATAGGTGTTGTCATTTCCTGTGTTAGCAGTGGTGTCCACGTCGTCCCCAATCAACCAGTTGAAGTTGACATCACTGCGGATTCTGATCTTTTTCATCTTCCCCTTAGAGAGATAGGCACCATCTGCGTTGAAGTCCCCCAGGATCATGATGTTCTGAAAGAGGCGTCGACATGAAAATGCTGTCCAAACACACATGGCCAAACCTCTCATGATATAGATCTACACCAAAAGCACTTTCTTGTTCCCATACTGAAATATACAAATAATGTCAAGCAGTGCGACTTTGTACAGAATGAACCAACTCCTGTTGCTCTGCCAGGGAGATTGTTGATTGATGATTTTTAAAACTGGAAATGATAATAGAGAAGAAGCATAGTAGCTTAGTTAGTTAACTTCTCTCCCTGGGCGATGGGTCACACCTACATCAGTTTTCCACTTTTCCCTGACAACCATGGTGACATCATAGAGTTCGTCCAGCTCCTTAAATGTGTCTTCTGGCTTTGTGTGCACTGGGATGAGAACCAGGTCCTTCAGTTCTGCACAGGAGACACGTGGAAAGTGGTTAGGACATTAAGGCGAGCGGATTTGTGGATTCCCTGCGCTGTAAGTGGTGCAGACTGCCCGCTGTCTAGCAGGTGGCAACTTACTTGTTTTCAGGCAGCTGAATCGCAGTATGTACGGCTCTCTGGCAAAGGCATCCTCATCTCCCACCTGGTTATCCTCGTACTGGTATGTGTCAATCACCTTCACCATGCTTTCTCTATCAGAACAAAACATCATTTAACACTTCCGCCACTCGATCTATAGCAATAATAAGTAAAGCAAGAAAAATTTATATCTCACAGTTCCCTCTTCATGAGGGGGAATAGAAAACGGATGGATTCGATACATTTTCTGCACCCCCTTATCCTATTTATGATCACAGCGATCTGGAGCCTATCCTGCACTCTCAGAAAAGGGGTAAAAACTTGTACCTATGCTTGTCACTAGGGCTATACCCTCAAGGGTCTACCAAAGGTAATTGTACCATTTAAGGTACAGAAATGGACTCTGAGGAACATCCCAAAGGTATAATGTACATTAATGCTGTTTATACCTTTGGGATGTTCCTCGGAGTCCATTTCTGTACCTTAAATGGTACAATTACCTACAGCTAAGGGTAAAATTGGCCCACTTATAATTTTTAATAAAAGAAAGTGAAATCAGTACCTGTAGAGGAACATGTACTGCTCCTTGTAGGTTTTGCGTCCCAGTCTCATGCTGACCTTCATCGTGTAGGGTTTTGCTGGATTGGCTCTGCAAGCATAGTACAAAAAATCTCCAGTAAGAAACGCAAGGAGGTAGACGGCTCATTGTTTAATGCATATTGCTATAGAATGATATGCCACGCCCCCTAACGCACAGCTCATCACGATGTGGCTGCTTTCCCGTTGATCTCAAGTTTCACGTTTTGGCTTTTTGTGTTCCGCGGAACGACGCAATGAAATGCGTGCCGGGTGGGACAAGACAGACAGTGCAATACAAGACAAGTGAAATATAAGGATAGAAAAACACAATCAGTAGGTAGCCTGGTAAATACAGGCTGTCATACGTCTGTCAGCAGCTGTACCACCTGTAGCTCAGACTAGGTAATCCCTGTGAAGCTAAACAGGTTTGGATCTGGCCAGTACTTGGATAGGAGACACACTATGAAAGCAGGGTTGCCCCCGGAAGCAGTGCTGGTCTGGCCTACAGGTTAGCCCATCCAGTGGTCTGTGCGGATCTCAGTGCAGTGACGGGGGCACTGTGCTGTAAAAAAAGGTGGTGTCCTTCAGATGAGACATGAAGATGAGGTCCTGACTTTCTAAGGTCGTAAGATATCCCTGGGCATTTTTTCAAAAGAGTAGGGCTGGTACCCTGATGCCCTGCTTAAGATTGCCCACTGTGGTCCTCTCAAATCTGGCCTCCTAATCATTCCCTGTATCATTTATTCATGCAGTATGGGGGTGAAGATGTGCAAATTGCCAATGGTATAGCAGACGTGTCATTAGCCTGAAGCTCTGAATGATTTATTTAGCCCAGATGTTCTAGCAACCGTGCTTTAACGTTTGTGACCCGTCAGACAGATCAGAGCTCTGAACTAAAGCCCCAGAGTTTTTGTGATCCTAGCAACACCCCAGCAATACAGTATATAATGACAAAATGGAGGTTGATACAGTTCCAATCCGTGAGTAACGTCGACCCTTTAAAACGTAGCTGTAAATAGCAATTAAACATGTAGAACAAGTTATGTCTACCGAGATTAAGGTAATAACAATTTAGGATTTAGTGCTAATGTGAACAAAATATTAGTATTTAAGGCAAACCATCCAAAAGTTAAACTGCAAACAAAACAATGATAACAATAATAATTATTATTGAATAATAAAAGTTATTACACACGAACCTGTACCGTACCTTGAGGTGATGAACTGCTGAAGCCGCAATTATTGTTATTATTATTATTACTATAATCGGTATCATCATCACCATAACGATGCCTGGGTAGCTCAGGCTTGTCTTGTACTCGGTACGCGAGCACATTGTACAGATTAACTTGGTCTAGCACCTTAAAATATATATGGAATTCAAAGTTGTCACGCCCAGCCCTGCATTCCTCATGTATGCCACGCCCCTAATTACCCATGTGTGGAATCTGTGCTTCTCTCAAGCTGTTTTGTGTTTCTTAATTAGTTTCTTAGTATTTAAGTCCGTGTCTTACCTTTACTTGCCAGACTTGTCATTATTGTTCTCTAAGTTCGTGTCTTGTTAGTTTATGTCTTGAGCTTAGTTTTCCCTGTCATTCCCTGGTCTGCTCCCTTTTGTTGTTTTAAACCCCATTAAAACCCCTTATTTTGCTGATCCTCGTCTCCCAACCATTATTCCTCACCTCCTCCCTGGACGTGAACGTGACAAAAGTGAAAAAAGAAATCGGGCAAAAAAAAAATAACGTACATCCAACAAAACATTTCTTCCTTTTTTTGTATGCCTTGGATGTTTAATACCCTATTGCAATGTAACTATGTTATTTATATATTTTACACGCATTCTAGACTACAAATTATCAATGTCTGTAATTAGAATTAATTACAAGGTATTTAAGTATCACTTTATTATGTTCAGAACTACAATTAATTAACATGAAAGAAAACGTGAAATAATTTGGGACCATGTTTAATGTTTCCAATACTGTTGAAGTATGTGAAGAGCATTGTTAAGCTGTAATGAGAATGTCTTTTAACTGGTGAATTAAACCCGTTTGTGAAGAGCACTGGCCATCTGGTGGTAGTTAAAACACAGATTGCGCTTCAGGAGGAAATGTTTTACATCTGAACTAGGAAAAGGAGCAGTTTAAGACGCATACTTGGGACCCTCTAAAATCCTTTGTGAAACTATGACTTTATATCCTAAAGCAACTATTTAGGAAATCCAGATTTCTTTAATACTTTACATGTCATGCACACTGCCCATTGCCAAATGCATGAAACTATAACCCAAAGAAAAAAATATAAAATTCAAATTCTTAAATTCTTTGTAGTCTCCATAGAATTTACAGGAAAACAGCTTAACGGGATTTTTATAATTGATGTACCCAAACAACAACTTAGGAAAACAAAAGCAAATGGTGCTATTTTTTAGCCCCCCAAATAAATGTGTATTTACTGGTTTAAGTCATGAATAGCTTTTTATATTATTTTATATTGCACCCCCCNCCACCCACCCATCTTTAACTACACCCCTGATCGCATGCAATATTTAAGCTATTTTAACCGTCACAGTCGACTGAATATGAAAAAGAATTGCAAAGAACAAACAGGATATGTAATTAACATAACAGTCGAATTTAACTTGGCATTTATGACATTCAGATAGGATTGTTTACTTATTGAGTTCTTCCAGGAATGTCTTCATGGCCTTTCCTTTGGTGTCGACCACCTCAAGGATAACGATGATGTCATATCGCGACACAATCTGGGCGGCAAAGGACACAGGAAATACAATGTTACCAAATTTTCATGCGTGTGGTGACCGATACCACAACCGACACATACCAAATATAAATGTTCTTGATATTTAATGAGAATGTTTTGATGCATTGACATGCATTTTATAGGTCTATTCTTGTGTAATTATTTTTCCTACTCACCTTTATTAAAGTGGAAAGGGTATTTTTGTCCGCCACTTTGTTTTCCCCAAATCTTTGCACGTTAAAGGATGCCACTTTCATTATGACTATCTGAAAAAGAAAATAAATTAAAATAATTTACAGATTTACAAACACGCTACCTTACTTGTGTTAAGAATATTAGGTTACATTTTATAGATTATGTCCTGAAGGGGTGCTTCAGGAGAGCAAGGGCTGAACCGCGACCCAACTCTCAGGAGGAAATGTGACAACAGCCGTCCGGACTGTTTGCTGCGTGGAATTCAGTGGCCTATTATAAAATGAATTACTTTCGATCGAATAGGGAGTAAGTACCAGAAGAACGCAGATAAGCGAAACCCAAGAAAACCTTAAATTTGCCATTTTACCTGGGCAGTGTGTCAGAAGTTTGGAACAACTGATCCGAATGCTCGCACGGAGCACAAAGATATGCGATATCACAGCCCAGTCACCAAACCCGTTCCATATAAATACTACGTCGTACCTGTTGCATCAAACTCATTCCGTTGAATGAACGCTAAAAGACCACTGTAAAATTAACAAGATACTAAATAAAAATAAAGATCCCATTTTACATACGAACTGAACTGGGGACGAGGATGTAAGCATAAAGCGCAAAGTGGATTTTGGTATGTTCATGGGGAAAACAATAATTCTGTTAGTTTATGCATCGCCATGGATCCTCCCACTTCCTAATTTTGGATAAAAACTTTAAAGCAGAAATAACATCTTAAAAATGCAGAAATAAAAGTCACAAACTTTACACTGCAAACGACATTTTAAAATGCAGCCGCCGAGGCTGACCGCAGACTGCGGAAACCGCTGATCTTTGTTTCTCACGGTGTTACACGTCGCTTTAGTGTGGACATGTCTACAGTAAGAAAAGTTAACTAGTACAACAAAAGCACCCAGCGCAGAACTGTTGAATAGTTGCACCTTAATTAAGTTGCAATCAAAAATCAATTTTAAATGAACAATATGAAAAGCAACTTCATATTCATAGTTGGATTTCAGATTCACCTACAATTTTTTAACCATTTCCTCAGTGCCTGGTTAATATGGATTCGTCAGTGTTTGTTATTTAGAAAGGCAATATTTGGAGACTCATTAGTGGACATTTCAGAAATAAAAAAGCAATGAACAAAGATGTAATGCAAAGCCCTTACCTTTTCCGGAGATCCAGCAAACAAATTGATACTGTAGCTCCAACGCCAGCATAAAAGAATACAAACTGTCAGTTATACCGGGGATGTCGCGACGTTTCCTCCTCCCCTATAGTCAAAACCTCTAGCTTATTGGTCGAATGCATAGACGAGGCGAAAGTCAGTCCCCCAGGCAAACAGACACTGCAAAGAAAAACAAAAACAAAACTTGACCGGCAGAACAGGAATTGCAGAACGTTTCTATTTTCATCGAAAGTGTAATAGGCTTCTCCCCGAATAAATTATTCAAATTGAAACAGGTGGACATCTTACACTTTGTTCATAGTCTATTTCATTGGGTTCCAATAGGTTTATAAATATAAGGACATGTCGAAAATAAAATTTTATAATAAGTAATAAAAAGTTACAGTTAAAGTTTATAATAAGTTAATAAGAACTTTACAATGACTTAATAAGTTAAGTATTAACTCCATGATTGAATCAATAACTCTGTAAAATCACTCATTCCCATTTTAACAAGAAACTCGTGTAAGAGACAAATAACACGCGCGAGCGCGCGCGCACGCACAAACACGTTTGTATTCATATCTTTGTGGGGACTTTCCATTTATATACATAAAAACCCCTAATCGCAACAATGGCTACCTTAACCCCTACCCAGCCTTAATTACCTTAACCATAAGTAACCAAGCAAAAAACAAGACGTTTGTAGGGATTTGTAATTTTGAGTGCAGTAAAAGATTTTTATAAAATTGAATTTCTCCTTGTGGGGACCGAAATGGTGGCCGCCCGCGGCCCACAACGTCAAAATAACAGTTTTTTTTATCACATTGTGGGGACATTTGTTCCCCACAATGTAATATATACATGACCCCCCTCCCCACCCCACACACACGACCACTTCTTCATAACCACGTACCCCGTACAGTGTCACAATAAGTGTGGAGCCTTTCCCAGGAAGCACAGGACACACCGCAGGACATAACAGGCCATTAACCAGCGACATTTCAGAGCATCACGCAAGCTTCTTTGATTGAGCGCCTTTGTTTTTATTTTACGTCTCTTTTGTGGGCGCAGTTTCCTTTGATTATGAACCGAATGGCGCTGGAGGTTAGTGCCATTTCAACAGGGAGTCATTTTTCCTCAGAAAAGAAAAAAATCCAATGCTTCTCAGTTATTTAGTGGAATAGGAAATGAGAGCATGTCTGTACATGTGATGCTATCAGTCATATGTGTTTATACTTTTTTTTTTTTTGCTAGGCAAACATCTTTGTGCTTGTTTTCACATTATAAGGCTTTACAACTCTGTAGGGCGTAATGACCCTGAATGCATTTTGCAAAGATATAGTCCATAGTCACTACTTTCATCACACATATTTCATTTCAGATACTTGTACAACAAAAATGGTTTGCACAGTTGGGCATTTAAACAAACAGAAATGTCACCGGCGTGTTAATTTGGTATTTGTGCGGAATAACCTTTGAGAGCCTGATAAATTAGATTAGATAACTGGAAATTTAAACTTCAGGTTCCCTGTATAGGTCAATGATTAATTTGCCTAAGGGTTACTTTTTAAAAAGTCGTTTAAGAATGAACAAATGTAACTGGCTCCTGTAAATTAACCAATTAAACCACCTTTCTGAAAAATTCTTTAAAGCAGCCCCTTGTCTGTCCACTAAAATGTATTTCAGGTAGCTTGTTGATAGCTGATAAAAAACATAAATCTATTAACGGATTTCTTTATCGCTTAACTGTAACTGCGTTCTGTGCTTCCCTTAAATAAAACCCCTTGCTTTGGTGCCACAAGCGGATCGTCACCTTCCTTTCCCCGCCTGCACCATGCGCCGCACCCACAATACTAGATTACAATGTAAATATCTGCGATTAAAGTCAGTAGAGAGTAATAATCTACAAATATTTACATATACAGACGATCCTCTACTTATGAACGAGATACGTTCTGAACGGCCGTTCGTAACTTGAAATGTTCGTAAGTCGTTATTCAGCATCATTTTAAGGGTATAACATCAAAAATGATGTTGCGAACAGTAAACATGAGCCCAATGAATATATATATAATTTCAGAGAGTTACATGAAGTTCTGGAAATTTTCTAGTATGGAGAGCTGTGTGAAGATTATGAGAATCTTACTGTGGGTGGGGTTTAATCTTTTCTCTTTCCTTTTAATTTGAAATAGATATCAGTCATGTAATTGTATACACTTTAACTTTTATAATACAGCTACACGTATTACAGTGTCATGCAGTCATATTAAAGTCAAGCCAAATTTTATTAGGTTCTTTATTTTTTTCATATCTATATTTATGATCTCTTTCAAAACATTTCAGGAATCTCACACGTGCGTGAATTGAAAAAGGCAGTCAGAAACACGTCACCATATTCCAGCAAATCTGTACTTGATCTTTTAAAATGGAACAGACTCTTTTCAAGGTGTCTATCTTAGCAAAAGCAGAACATGGCTATATAGTGAACCAGCAGAATGAAAGAATGCTTTAATTATGGTCACCTGACTCTCCGAAAATGGATAGCAAGCCGCCCCCTGTAACACGACACTGACACAGGTATTCTACCCTCCCTCCCCCCACCCACAAAACATGCAAGTTTCTGCAGGGCACCTCGCAGCTCATCAGCGGCCAACCATAGGTGATAAGAGTCTATGGCTGAAATAGACAAGAAAACTGCCTTGAGCATCAAAGGACCCCTGGAATGACCTGTGGTCTCCACGGCATTGCGCCATCAAAGCAGTTTTGAGATAAAATGAAGGAACTAATGAAACGTGTTTATGATTTTTAAATAAAACATTTTCAGGCAAAAGACTTTAATCTCGATTAATAATATTGCATTAGATGCACTCGTTCTCAGTTTGCAGTACTCAGTGTTCAGTGTGCAGTACTCAATTTTCAGTGTGCAGTACTCAATGTTCAGAATGTGGCACTAGAGCTATATGTTTGATGTTTAAAATTTGTAACAGAAATCTATACTAAGTGTCACACCCGGCTCGTCCGATCCTCATGTGTGCCACGCCCCCTCGTTAACTCATTTTACTTCCCGATTGTAATATCCTGTTGCCTGTTATGTTCAGCCTGTCCTGTGTATTTAGTTCGCGTCTGAGTCAGTATTCCCCAGATCTGTCATTGACGTTCGTCTCGTGTGCTACCTGTTTGTCTGAATAAATCCCCGTTTTACCTTACTTCCTGGCTGGATCGCTGTTTGTCCGCTTACCGGCTCACACAGTTACAACACTAAGATACATGTATTCAGCTGCGGAAAGCTGGGCAAAAGTTCTACTGTTTCTTATGTTGTCTACATTTTTGACACATATTTTGAAATTCTTTGCCTTTCGAAATACCTCTTTGTTGTCTCTTGCAACACTGATACAGTGACAAAGGGATGGATCTGCTGCCAGTGGAAACTAATCAACCTGCTGAGTGGATTAGGGACAGGTGAGGGTGTGTGAGTTTCTGGTAAGAGGTTTTCATCATACGTTGGATTAAAGACCATAATAGGTGTATCAGTAATTAGTTTCTCTCAAGATTTTGATCTTAAAACAGATTTCATCCCAGTTTTGATTGCCTCCACTCCACCCCCAGCCCTGCCCCCAAGTCCTTTGTTATAACAGGGTTGTCAACTTTGGTCAGTTGGCTGGCTTGAGATTTTCAATTTGGGAAAAGTCTGCACACTCACATGTATTATCTTATAAATAGTTGTAGGGTCTGAAAACTACCCTGGCACTACTGATTTAGCTAATTTTAGGTGTATAATGTAATAATATTGATCTGCAGAAAGATTTCTTGCGTGAGCCTGAGATTCAGCAAACAGGAGTGTCACGCCAGATGCGTTACAGTTGGCAAACCTGGTTATAATCAGAGCTGTTGTTAGGGCAGTGCAACGGGTGCGGCCACACCAGGTCCTGCCTCTAGGGGGGCCCCTCTAAAGGGAAACTTACCTAGATCATGATCGGCTACATAATAATAAGTTATTAAATACCTGTATTATTTCTTATGCTCATTTGAGCGTGTTATTCTGGCTAAATAATAGATCTGTATAGTTCGTTACATAATTTTTGGTTCAGTAGGCACAATAAACGACTGAATAGGCCTAACTTTATTGAGACGGATGGAACATAGGTTTACAAATAGATGTCCCACACAAAAACATTATATGATTATGATTGTGAGTTGGTTGGTTACAGTTTGTCAAATCAGCGGTTTGGGAACATTTGGTTTCCCAGTGAGGTACAACGGCATTGGAGACAGAGTGGTACCGGGTACGGGAGTAATCACACTAGTCAAGTGAACAGGACTTTGGGGGTCAGATGTACTTGGGAACGGTATTGATTGGCTGGTTTGAGAACAGTACCAGACTGTCTATTTGCTGTTATACTGAACTCAGATATGTTGCTTAAAACAAAGGGAAACATATGCTAACTCTTTTGAGACAACATCGTCCGAGCAAGGCAGAGTTTACACATGTCTCCCCTTGGCATTTAAAGCAATTTACTATGAAATTCTGATGCAGGTGAAAAAAGAACTATAGGCTACAGGGGTGTTTATTGCTACAGATAAGCCGCTATAGTCGGTAGTAGAGGACACGTGATTTAGTTCATCGTGATCGTTATGATATTATAGTTAGTTTGATTGATTAATCAATTCATTTAATTTCACAATTATGTTTATACTTTACAGGTAACGCGTAGTGGTGGTCCATTCATTCATTTCATCAGTGGCTGGCTACAGTCCGGTCCTCCTGTTGGACATCCACTCAAAGGACTCATATGCAGAACCCAACACGGACTTTAATTCGTGGGTCTACATCTGTGACGTACCTTTATGTTACGTAAACACAGGAGAAAATACTATTTCATTAGATAATTTAACCCACCTGACTGAAGATACGATAGCACTATATCTATCTTTCGCAAATTAATAGGAAAAACGTACCTTTGTACTGGCCAAAGTACAATTCCAATTTAAAAAATGATCTAACACAATGTATTATTGTAACGTGTAAACTGCACTTTCTTGTAAGGGACCTGTGATAAATGATTTAAATTTAGTTTGAACGTATTTGTACACGACTGTTTATATTGTCTCATTTGCCTCGTTTCCACCAAAAATGGCTCCAACACAAAACCATAGAAAAGCTGGTCTCAGAATTTGAAACCACAACGTCAGTGACAGTGGGACGGGCTATCGCGTCCAAACCTTCCACATTCCAGGACACCGGCAGTAAAACAACTTGGTTGGCCAGGTTATTAGCTGAATAATGTTACATCGTTTTTTTATTCTATGGAAAACGACATATCGATTTGCTGGGCCAAGGCACTCCTTGGGTGTTCTGTCTGTTGTCTCAGTGTGTGTTCCAACCACAGTGAGTGATGTCTCATTGAGGAAGACATTTTACTTGCACCTTTGCTTGGTGGTTGATGGGTGCCCACAAGGTGACACTCGTCTGGTCATGGGTGACTTCAATGCGACCACTGGCACTGACAGGGCTGGCTATGAGGATTGTGTTGGTCCCATTTGGTTTGGTTGCTGGTGTGAAAGTAACTCCTATGTTCCTTGACTTTTTCAAAAGGTCAGGGTCTACGGGTCGCTGGATTCTGGTCCCAGCGCCTTGAACCACATAGTTGGACTGGTACCCCAGTACTGGTGGTGCGGCGGAGGAGATCGATCTCATCCTCGTGGGTAGACTCTGGAGGCAGGCGCGAAGTTGGGTCCCCTTCAGATTCAGAGTGACCTCGATCCGTCCCCCCCACTTACAGGACAAAAAAACAGCATCTGCCGTCTTTGCATAAGGAAAAAATATCCTTGGTCCCCCCCAATTCAAAAGTCCTATTTGAAATCATATAGTACCACCCCTCCCCACCCCCGCAGTTCACTCAAAAACACTACGACATTCCATTTACTGAAGCAAGCATGTTTATTTCCACAAGAATCTCCACACAAATGTTCTTTGTTCTAGTAAAGTAGGGTGACCGGATAATCCATCAGGGGGATGCTTTGAACTACTTGTAAAACTACAGGTTTTACAAACTACTTTAAAACTGAAAGACTGCTGTGCTTGGCCAAATAGTTATTCTTGCACTTTGACTGGTTTGATTCCTTGATTGTAAGACTTATCTAGCTGTGCCATATTAACATTGCACATGTATAATTATAGAAGGTCCTTTTAAATGAAATGGTACTTTACAAATCCTACAACAGCTTGAAGTCTCCTCCCTGACATGGACTGCCTGGTCACCCTATAGTAGCTCAAATAGTAGAATATTGTACTGATAATGCAAATGTTCACAGATCCCAGCGAGCATACCCAAACAGTAAGTCTAACCCTTTCTTTACTGTAAGTTGCTTTAGCAAAAGGCATCAGATAAATTAGCTAAAATGCAAAAAATACATAAATCTTATTTCACATACTTCTCAAATACAGTGTCACCTAAACGGATATCTGTAGAGTATAAATGCAATATACACACAATGTCTAAAGATCGGTTTGCTTATTTTATTATATGTTATTATCATTTATAACAGCGCCAACAAAATCTCATTCAGTGAGATGGTGCTATAATAACGTCAATCCACCAGATGTCGCTGTTTAATTTTGATGATAATTACGGGAGTAATGTGTCACGCTGGGGCGTCAGAAGCATTTTGAATGTGTGTGTGTGTGTGTGTGGGGGGGGGTTCCCAAACGAATAATTTAATGGCGGCGACGCCCAGGGTGTCACGACACAGTTCGCGGAGTCCTGCTGTCTAGCAGAGGTAGTCGGCATTGGCCCATAAAGTAAAAATAATAATAATCGATACTTTATTGATCCCTTCAATAAAGGGCAGCCACCCATAGCAGCACCCGGGGAGGTAGGGGTTAAGGACCTTGCTGAAGGACCTGCTCATGTGCTGAGGCTGGGCTCATTTGTACTTTCTGGGCCTGAACCATCCACCTCTGGGGGCTACCATCAGCCCACTGGGAAATCTTCTTCTCTGAATAGGTTTTGCATAATTAGCAGCAGTGCTCTGGGTTATTCTCCTGTTGTCTTGTTGAACTGGCTCCAATCAAAGTGCTGTCCACAGTCCACAAGGTGTGGCATAGCTTTGCAATATTGTGTAATAGACTTCCTTCCCATTCTCTTCAGAGAATCAAAAGCAACCGCAGACCATCACAACTGCATCAGGCTTGACAGATGCCGTCCACTAGCATTTCTTCATTTGTCACAAATGTTCCTCTCTGTGATCCAAGCACCTCAAATTTAGATTTGTCTGCCCATCACACTTATTTCAAACCCCCCCCCCCCCCCATCTAGTGACTGTGTTGTTTTGCCCATTTTAATTTGTGATCTTTATTGCCCAAATGGGTTTTTCTTTATAACGCTGCATAGAAGATCAGCATCCCAGAGTCGCCTCTTCACTGGTGAACGTGAGACTGGTGTTTTGTGGGATCTGTTTGATAACGCTGTCAGTTGAGGACACGTGAGGCGTCTGTTTCCTCAGACTAGAGACTGATGTTTTAACCTTCTGTGCAGTTGTGCAATAGCCATTTCGATACCATAATGAACCCACAGCTCCAGACAGCAAAGTAGCCCAAAGATGGTCACTTTTATTACTTCCTTAAACAGCACAACGATTTTCAGCTGTGCTAACATAATAGCATAAGGGTTTTCTAATATGTATGTTATGTGAACCGAAAAAAAGTGATTTTCTTTAAACAAACAAGGATATTTCTCATCAGATTATAAATGGTTGTGCGTATGTGTATATTTTTTTTCATAGATCAATATTAACCTAGACGCTTTCCTTGCAAAATGTTGTGCTGGGTATCCAAAACAAACAATTGTTGTTAAAATCAGGATAGAGAAGTGCTACTCTCTTGTGGCATTTCACTTGCGTGAATACTTGTGTGTTTCTTCCGAAATGATGTTTCAGCAGACAGAACCCCACCCCAGACTAAAGATCACTTTTTTCAGTTCAAATGTGCGTGTGCTGAGCTCAAAGGATCTGTACTTAAAAACCGAGAATCCATCCGATTTAAGTGCATGTAAATAAATATGTCTCAGTAGGAACAGGTTAACAGGACAGTGACAGCCGTGACACATTTTGGTTAGAATTGCACCAAAAGCTTGACAAGGAAGCGCGGAGAGGAAGTGGTACACCTACATATATTTTTTACTCTTGTCATCAGAGTCCTCAGATGCACTGATGTTTCACACAAGATAGCAGCATAAAGCAAAAAACCAGCGAAGATTACGCACTGCCCGATACATGTATCTGCGGTCCATCAGCATGTCGCACTGGAGTGAGGGGTGCAGCGGCGCCGTCCTGCTGGGGCTCCTGGGCTTCTGCTGGGGGAGTCTCTCTCCACGCACGTCTTTCTTCATTGGTGAGTGTCCATGCAAACCCGCTGATTCCTTTTCTTAGAATTTGACTGCCGAACGATGAACGGGGCCAGAGCATTCGGATGCAAAGATGCAACACATGGAGAGGCGAGTTTAGTCCTTTATTGTTGTGGGTGGAGCATGAGAGACAAATTATATTCCGGCAGCCGGTTATGTGTCTGAGTGGTTTTTCATTTCTTTTTATTTATAGCCTACTGCGAAACAAAATGAGACGTTACTTTTTGAATATGCAAAACTTGAAAGGTCGGGGGATGAGAGTCAGGGAGAAAACAAAAATAGGAATGGGCCGATCCACATTTTTTTAGTTCCGATCCGATTCCCATTCCCAACTTCCAATACCGCTACAGATTACGATACAAGAGCTCTTTTAATTTTATATTTAATATATATAAAATATTTTAAACTAACAAATACAGATGAAAAATGCATGCCAAATAATCTTTAATTCGGCTATTACAAAAATACATAACACACTGTTCCACCTCATTTGTACCTCATGTTTTCAGCGTTTTGTGACATTTCGCAGTTCAGTATGAATATCTTCCAAGTGAGGATACAAAAGCGGCGACTGCTTAAAATGCCCCACAATTTTTCTCCCACGGTGCGTAAAACAGCCCAAGCTTGCGACTCCCAAATCATCCTTTGCTTTTGTCATATTAATCGTGGTTTCTCGCACAATTGCGCACGATTTGTTTAGTGGGATTTAACACTAAACGCTACTTCCACCTCTCGAAACCTTTTGCAAGGTTTTTTTTATTTATTTTTTTACAAAGATTTCAAATTACTGTGCTACTATAGTTGTTAAGACTACTACAGCTACAACTAGTAATAATAATGTAAAAATAAAGAAAGGACATGGTATGCGAGAGGGCAGGCGTGCAGTTAGCACCAGGGACGGATGGGATAGGTTCCCTTCAGTTTCAGTGACCTCGATCCGTCCCCCCCACTTAAAATACAAAAATCCAATTCAAAAATCCTATCTGCGCCACTGCGAGAGGGGGACACTGTCCCTTTACACGTCAAAGGTAATCGGTTCAAGACTTGACGGCGGATTTGTGGTAGGCCTATATTCATATAGCACTTTGATAAAATTATATTTTATTATAAAACGATATTTTTCAACATTTATTGCATTAGAAGAATATTCAGGTAATAGTGTTGTCGTGGTCACATTGAGAGAATCTTTGGTAAAATGTGAAAGCTTATGCTACAGTTAAAACATTCTCTGCCATCTTTGAGAGGACCTTCACATTGGCTAAACTTCTAGGAACTATCCTTGTTAGCTGGGTTTAAGTTTTTGCTCTTGTGTTTTTGGCACCTAGTCCAAGTGAGAGAATAAATGGAAGATGAATCAAAACCATGGCTTCCTGTTGTATCGAGTTTAGCACGAGAGCCACAGAAGCTTGTTTTCTGAAGCATTGATTGTTTAACACCATCCAGTGAGTAAGGTGAATGTCATGTTTCCGGGTGGCTCGGGTGCGGGAACGAGGCATGGTGCACGAAAAGAAGGGTGGACGACCCACTGGCGGCTCCAGGAACAGAAAGGGGTTTATTAAACAAAACAGAAAACACAAAAAACACAACTAAACCAAAAAGACCACAAGGGGTCAAAAACAGAAAGGGGATTAAACAAGACTAAATAACAAAAACTGAATGCACGCAGAACAAAAAAAAAAACCCATCAACCTACAACTACCATAGACATACTGTAGACAATGAACCACTGGGGAACTGAACACAGGCAGGAACTAAAATACTAATGGGTAACGGGACTAACACAGGACAGGTGAGGCTAATTAACAAAGACCAGGGAAATGGGGTACAGGTGAAACTAATACTCAAAGGAACTAAACAGGGAAACTAATAACTAACCAAGGAAACAGAACACTGGGGAATTACAGACAGGTAATTAAGACAAGTAGGGGCACAAGGAACAAAACCAAAAACCATAAACAAAGCAAACACCAGGAATAATTAAGCATAAAGGAAAACACCAGGGAGCTAAATACAAAAACAGAGGAGGCGGGATTCGAACTCACAACAAGAGGGAACTCAGGACCGAGGGGCAAACAGACAGCACATGCTTAATACATTGAGCCACGAGACCAGACGAGTGACAGGGGAGAAACAAGGACTGACGTATGGACGGGATGACCAGCACTGCCTGCTGGTCAAACGGGGAAGGGGCACGGAAGGACCACAGCGGGAGGCCGACCCTGACAGTGAACACATGCAGTTATGTTGCGCAGTACTCTGCCCGTGTCCTCAAGCGGCAGTGCGTGACAAAGAGGGTTGATTACACAGGAAATGAACAGGCTGCATGAAGTTGATTGTGACCTGCAGTCATGGCGTGTCATGGTGCTTCAGTGGTTAGTTCTGTAACCTTATGGCACTGGAGTCTGCATGTCAGATGGTTTATTTGGGTTTCAGCCTGGGGCCACATTTTCCTGCTGCAGCACAAAAGTGAGCGATGGGATCTCAAGAATAGCCATTATGTGTATGTGTGCCCCTGTCCAGGGGGTCCCCAGGTACCATGTGCTTCTTGGAATAGGAAGTGCACACATTGAACCTGTACTAGGCGAATGGGATGGATGGATGGATGGATGGATGGATGAATGATTGCGTTTGTTTGCCTGCAGACGGGAAATTGGAATAATACAAAATGACCAGGTTTGTCTCTTTGTCTTATCCAGGTGACTCTGACAGAGCCCTCACCCATTTCAACAGGCCAGACGCTCGGAATACCACCACCCTGCTGCTTAGTGAGGATGGGGACACGCTTTTCGTGGGGGCACGTGATGCTTTGTTTGCTCTGAATGTCAGCAAGCCCAGTGTCATGGAGATGATACGAAAGGTATGTATGTTTTTAAAGGACATTTTTAGAAAATTGTGAATAAATAATGGAACAAGTGTCCCACCGCTGGATGCTCCTTCAAGAAAGTTCTATGGTCCTACCTGCTAGGAAAGTGTGTTAGACTAATATTATTGAGTTTTTTTCACCTGTAGGATAAAATAAACTCCCCTAATGATGTACCTTTTTGACTGGTTTGAATGGTGTCCCAGTAACTAATTGTAGGCCAACAGATATACTGTATGGATCATAGGGGTGTTACAGTATCTGTGCTGAATGGATATAGGGTTAGATGTGTCTGATAGTAAAGTGATCTAATTTCTGTTACTTTCTTGCACTGCTCTCCTGTACAGCTAGATTGGGAGTCAACTAATGAACCAAACTTTTGTCAATACGTGGATAAAAAGGTAATTTATGAGCTATTGTTTATCAAATTTCTGGTAGGTAACAGACTGGAGTGTTTCCAGCCATTATCAGCCCTGTTTTTCCACTGCCACAAAAAAAGTGCATGTTTCAATTGCAAGGTATTTGGTTTGGTGTGCCCTTTCCTTAAAAACACTGTACTTGTGTAAATATTAAATATGCAAGCTTCATCTTTCAAAATATTCCAGAAGGTTCTGGAAGATTTAGCTGCTTGCGAAGTTGCAGATGGTACATAGTCTTAATGAGTTATATATACTGATCAGTAAAATTTCACACCATGAGAATGATGTTTACAAATGAAGGCGCATTGGTAAGGAATTGATGACGAATGGTGGACGTGTGATGTCAGCATGATTAATGGCTTTCAGGGGGAATGCCACAACTTTATCCGGGTCCTTCAGCTCATCAACGCGACTCACATGTACGCCTGCGGAACATTTGCCTTCAGCCCCCGCTGCATATACATAGTAAGACCCCTGTAATCTTTTCTAAATTTATTCCCCTGCATCAACAAGCAGCGAATTTACAGAGCTACTCCTATGCTGTGCTTCTTAAACCATTTTAGACAATGAGTTTAAAACAGAGTACATTGTAAAACATAAGAGCAGGATTAAGTGTTTTTTATATTGCGGATATAATGATAGATAGCACTTTATTTGAGAGGGCACAAGTAACTTAGTTTTCAGTTACTACTCAAGTACAAATCATGAACAAGTACAGTAACTGCATGAAATGTGGGAACCATTATGATTGATCATATTGATCAGCATGTAATGGAGTAAGTTAGCAGTGAAGTGTTTTTAAAATTAAACCAGAAAACCACTTGGGCCTGCAGATTTACCACTTGCATGCATTTGAATGTTTTGCAATTCTGTCGTCATTTTGTGCATTTTATGGCCAAACCAGGCTTTTCCAAAGCGTTCACATACATTTTTCCTTACCAGTGTATATGCTGAATTATCACTAAAGGTATTAAATACTAATGGGAGATTATACTCCCAGTGAAAATGGTTTGGTAACACTTTACTTGATGGGGCACAAATACTTGGTAATAACTCAGTTACTACTGAAGCACAAATTATGAACAAATCATGAACAAATATAGTTGCTATACTTGGGGTAAAAGATGTGTCAATTTAGTAATTATGAGCAAACTGACATCAGTATTTCACTTTTGTTATTCATTACTTGTTCAGTAGTTCACAAAAGTTTACAGAATTAACACATATTGTAACAAATATAGTGACTGCTTGAGATAAAACATGCATCACAATTCATTAATGATGATTTGACATGAGATCAGCATGTAACTAAGACTTAGTATGTGGATAATTAATACATAAGTAACAGTATAATGCTATATTATTTGTGTCCCATCAAGTAAACTGTCACTAAGGGAACTTTCTGGTTTGGATGTATTGCAGGAAGTAAGTGTGTGTGGACTTAGAGATTCTGAGAAATGCGGTTTCAGACCCTATAGGCTGGGGTGGGGGTCTGCAGTGTCTGCAGAGCCTCACCATAGGGGTCTTTGTGTCATTGCAAACTGGGATGTTACATCAGAAACAGCCTGAAGTTCTGATGGATGCCACAGGCAACTCACTAAAACCACCCAACAGGAAAAAAGCTTGCAGCATTTGACCTTCTGCCAATGAAATGTAGCAGCTTTAGACAGGGAAGTGTGGTCACAGCATGTCACCGGTCACTTAAATTCCTGCTAAACGCTAGCTGACGACTCTAAGATGTCATTACACGATTGCTACAGTCAAAGAGCATAAATAATGTCAGTTACAGCTGCTTGAACGGCTCACTCAAACCCAGATATGATAAAAGCAAAACCAAAATACATAACTACAGAACAAAAAATATAATTGTGAGAAAAAGGTTCAAAACGACCCTGATTAAAAAGGATAAGCTGCATATGTGCATCTGTGTACAGTGCATTACACTGGTATGGACTGCTGCTCACACTGCTCTCTGGCTTCACACCAGTCTGATAGTGTCTTTGCTTGTGCATGCAGATAGTGTCTTCGCTTGTGCATGCAGAACAATCAAGCAGAGTGACGCTGCGAGCAAAACACAGAGCACCAGCACCCCCCTATAGTTCCTGCTTCCATCCCTGCTTCCCATCTGAGGTCCTGATGTCCAAATTATGAACAAATCATGAACAAATGTAATTGCTAATTGGAGGAAAAGATGTATCACAATTCATTACTGATGATTTGACATGGGATCAGCATGTAACTAACACTTAGTTTCTGGTTAATTAATACATTAAGTAAGAGTGTACTACTACATTATTTGTGCTGCCTCAAGTAAAGTGTTACCATAAAGGACATGAGGAAGAGGAGGAGGCCTCTTCAGCCGCTGTTCATCCGGGAGCTAGAAGTGGAGAGGATGAGCATCTTTAAGTACCTGGGCGTCCGCATCAGTGAGGACCTCACCTGGTCACTGAACACCACGCAGCCGGTCAAGAAGGCTCAACAGCGGCTGTACTTCCTGAGGAGGCTGAGGAAGTTTGGCATGTCAACCAAGATCCTCAGCAACTTCTACAGCTGCATCGTGGAGGGCACACTGGCCAGCTGCATCACCGCCTGCAGAGAGTGGTGAAGACTGCGGAGAAGATCATCAGGACTCTTTACAGAGCAGCTACCTCCACAGAGTCCAGAGGAGAGCTGCCTCCATCCTCAAAGACCCCACACACCCCCCAACACAGACTGTTCACACTTCTGCCCTCAGGATGGAGGTACAGAAGTGTGAAATCTAGAACCTCCAGACTCAACAACTCCTTCTTCCCCACTGCCATCAAACTCCTTAACAGCCGACAGGAGTATGATTAATGGACATCATACTACCATACCATACCATACTACCATACTACATCATACTGTAATTGTAATTAAGCTCTTTTGCACATTACACTTAAAAGTATTTATTTTTCTATATTGTACCTCAGCATTTTTGTGTGGACAGCAAAGTAAGAATCTCATTGCACAGAGAAATGCACTTTTCTACTGTACATATGACAATAAACTCTTTGAATCTTGGATAATGATACATTAAATTAAAATATAATAAATGCAGCCCTACAGTGGGTTGGTGCCCCATTTTGGGCTATTCCCACCGTTTACCCATTGCTCCCGGGATAGGCTCCAGACCCCCGCAACCCTGCATGGGATAAGTGGGTATGGAAATGGATGGAACCTGGATGAATGGTACAGAAGATGATTGGGCGGAGATGTGTATAGGGATATATGTAACTACCAAATGTAAATGGGAAAATATACCCGATAAGTTGATAAAGTGTTGACTAATTCTAATGCTTCTTCTAACTCTTAGAATCTACAGGCATTCAGCTTTGATTCAACAGCAGAGAGCGGTAGAGGTCAATGTCCCATGAGTCCGTATTCGAGAAACACGGCCGTTGTTGTAGGTGAGGTTCCAGGCAGCACGTCGCTAATGATCAAACATTAGTACAGTTCCAGAAAGGGATTAGAACGTCCATTTTGTTGCATGTTGTAACACAACGTGTACTTTTAATTTTGCTTAAACTATTGTTCATTGTTTAAAAAGTTAGCTTGATTTCAGCTCACTGTTTCCACCAGTTCTCCGCTCTTTGGAGAAGGTCTCATTGCATTCAGAATGACTTTCTCCTAGATGGCGAGCTGTACGTAGGCACCCCCGAGGATCTCTGGGAGAATCAACCGGGCATCTCACGCTACTTGAGCCAGGAGGGTCGCAGAAACCTAAAACTGGTTGAAAATCGGCTGAAAAGTGAGCACCTTTATACAACATCCAATATTAGTTCTCACCTATTCCAATATTAAAACTGGGTAACGTGATGTTTTTCAGAGACTCCTGTAAGAGCTTTCAAATGTTTCAAATGATTTATTTGGAAATGTCTAAAGTCACACGATAGAAAAGGTATCTGTATAATTTCAAAATATCTCACAACAGCATAAAAATTTATATTTTTAAACCTAGCTCTGTTGTGCCTCAGTGGATTCCCACATATATATATATATATATATGTGTGTGTGTTTGTGTGTATATATACACACACGCCTGTATGGTGTTTTGTTTTTGCATTGAGCCAGAATCGACCTTCATAAGCTCCACCTTTGTGCCCAGTGAGAACAAGGTCTACTATTTCTTGAATGATGTCAGCACAGACCTTGATAAATACATCGCCCCCCACATTGCACAGGTTTGCACGGTAAGGAGAAATTCCTCTTTTTTTGCTTTTCTATCCATAACATGGAAACAAGGGTTAGATTGTTGTTGGTGAAAGGAAATCATCAGGATCCATCAGTTCAGAGACCGATCTGGTGGAACGCACTTCTCTCCCTGGCAGAGCGATGTCGGTGGGCAGCGTATCCTGTGGAAGCAGTGGACCACCTTCGCCAAAGCCGGCCTCGTGTGCCAGTCAGCCGGCAGTCTGCCGTTCAATGTCATGCAGGACGTCGTCGCCCTTCCGCCGCTTCAGGACTTTAACCCGGATGAAATGCTTTTCTATGGACTTTTCAGCTCTCAGTGGTTGGAATACATTCGTACCCATTTAAACTTCATACAAATCTCTTTTTTTTTAACATATAATCCCGTAAAAGGCATCCGATTTTCCCTACAACTTTACAGTTCCGGCTAGTTTTTGATTCCACCTGAAATTGTAATAAAGCAGGCATGACTTTATTTTATTTTAATCAGTCTTGATATTTCTGAATTGTTTTGGAAAGATTTTAATGTGTGTGCTTTTCTTAAAAAGAAAGGTAAATTATAGCAACACAAAACCAAAAACATGACAGAAATAGAAATATTGTTATTTAGAGTCCAGATGTGTAGATTGTACATATTCATCGTTTCTTACTTCACAAGTAAATAGCGTTGGCTGTTGAGTGTCACATGCTAGCATATCCCAGTGCCTGTGTTGGACTGGGGAAGTGGTCAGATGGACAGTCTTTCAGGCCTGGCTTTGCGTTTGTGCCGTAGGTCAGTGAACTCAAAGCACTCCGCAGTGTGTGTATTTCGACTTGGAGACATCAAGAGTGTATTTTCAGGAAAATACAGGTCACTTAACGGGAAAATACGGAGCAGCGTCACTCCAGGAACGGCAAGTGTTGCAAAGCTTTCCTTGCGCACACCCTTGAGAAATTTCATTTTGTCAGTACTCAACAAACACGACATAGTTTAATTTTGTTGTGAGGGAATCAGTGATGGGAATATTTGTGCATTTGTCCTGCCTCTTCACAGTGTGGAATACCTTCTGATTCTGATGCCGACCTTAATTTTGTGAAGGAGAACTTTATCACTATGGCTAGTGTGAATTCTGCGGAAAAGGGCTTCATTCTGATGCCAGATCACAATTATAGCAATCTGGTTGCTCTGAGGACTAAGGCAGCCAATGGCAGGAACTACCCTGTGTTCTTCATGCTTACTGGTAGGTCAGGGATCTCCTCACTGTTTCATCTTCATTACTTTCCTGGAAAGCACCAGATAACCTGGCCAGTTTGTTGTATTGCATGCTGTATTGGGTGCCACTATTCTTTTTTAAATACTTTTGGCAGAATCCGGCTTCCTTCACAAGGTGGTTTTATTGGGAAAAGGCCCCCATATCATAGAAGAAACTCAAGTCTTCATGCAACCACAATCTGTCAAGAAAGTCCTCCTCTCCGTCACCAAGGTATCCTCAGTTTTTCCTGCACTCTGTGCCTATTTCGCATGTGTCTCTCTCACCGAATATTTCTTGCATTACAAAACATTAGCATTTCCTAATGCTAACACATTAGTATTTCAGTCACTGCTTTTTTGCAGTGCATTTCCTAATGCTAACACATTACTGTTTCAGTCACTGCTTTTTCGCAGTGCATTTCCTAATGCTAACACATTACTGTTTCAGTCACTGCTTTTTCGCAGTGCATTTCCTAATGCTAACACATTACTGTTTCAGTCACAGTGGTCCTCAAAATAGCATAAGGCTGCTCAGGAATATGATCTTTACCTTTCACACATATCTCTTCTTTTAAATCCAATCTTAAAACATATCTGTATTCTAGGGCTTTTGAGACATTTTGATGTTTATGATATCCATTTGCAGCGGTTACTCATGTGATTATATATTTTATGTATGTATTGATTATTTTAGCTGTTCTACTCATCTTTCTACAGAACTTGTTTTAAAAAATGTGCTTTATAAATAAATTTTGCTTGCTTACTTCCATGGAAGACAATGGGGATCTAACAAATGAGTAAAACTTGCCGTTGTGTCACTCTTGACGTGGGGTTGCAGGTAGAGGTGGCACACCCTGCTGATCAGAACCTCCCGTTCCTCCTTTTTGTTACGCTGCAGGATGTGGTGTTTGTGGGCACCTCTGAGGGGGTGTTTCAGGTGCCCGTCTCCAACTGCTCCTTCCACTGGAACTGCGGGGAGTGTGTGCTGGCCCAAGACCCCTTCTGCGGATGGGACCCCGTCCAAGGTGTCTGTTCCAGGGTGTCGGGAAACCCTGCTGGAATGTAAGTACACCCCAGCGGGAATCAGCTATTCTTCTGCAAGTGGCTGGGGGTCTGGTGAGGATACGGGGTTCCTACGATGAACCTGGGAAGGCAGCTGGAATAAAAGAATGACATGAAAGAAATGGGGACAAAGAGCAATGAGGCTCCAGTATTATCCCAGAGCCAGTGGTTTATTATTTTTTTTATTTTATTACTGCCAGACGCCAGGATGTGGAAAGCGGAAATGCAATGGAAGCATGTGACCTTTCTAACGGAAGTAGTGAAGTAGTGAAGTATCCATCACCAGGTTTGTGACTCTGTTCACTATTCAAGTATAGCGTCTCTACTTCCTGATGTGAAAACATGTATGAGTAGTTTCCTCGTCTTCCAACTCTAACTGCAACAGTGCTATTGTATAATTACAGCTACGGGAGATCGAGAAAATGCCATTCGGTGAGCATAGTGAATGGGCATTTAGGTTATTTTTATTTCCGGTTATTTCCCAACTCTCAACAGAGCTACTGCCTGTCCTTCTGGATAAAATGGTGCATCTCCGATGTCCCAAGGCCTCCAATTTTGCCTCGCTACGCTGGGAACACTCCGACGGACGGCAGCTCGACCGGGACACCTACCTACAGCAGGCTCGGGGCAGCCTGCAGTTCCCAGCCTTGCCGGACACACTGGGACAATACCTTTGCATTTCGCTGGAGAGTGGCTACGAACAGACCCTGTACAGTGTGATTGTGATGCAGGATGGCCCTCAGATTGGAAGCAGGAACTTTAGGGGTGTGCTGGTGCTCTCTGTTTTGCTTGCAGTATCACTCTGCTTGATAGCTCTGGGGGGGTTCTGCCTGCTCAAGCAAAGACACTATCTGCATGCACAAGCGAAGACATTGTCGGACAGGTGTGAAGCCAGAGAACAGTGTGAGCAGCAGTCCTTTCCGATGTGATGTACACAGATGCACATATACATATTCTCCTTTTTAATCACAGTTTTTTTTAACCTTTATGTCATAATTATATTTTTTGTTCTGTAGTTATGAATTTTGGTTCTGCCTTTATTATATCTGGGTTTGACTTGAACTTGGGCAAGTCTTTGTGGTGTCTGGAGAGTCACAGGACGGACGACATCCAACAGGAGTAACTGTGGATGCTAGAGGAAGCTGTCTGACAGGGACGTCTGGGCACTAACCTGGATTGTATCAAAAAAACATAAAACCACAGCTTCCCACTTCACTGCAGAATTACATGTGCACCTCGACTCTCCTGTTTCCACCAAAGCTGTTCATTGGAAGCTCCACAGGGTCAGTATTCATGGTCAGGCTGCTGTAGCCAAACCTTTTGTCACTCATGCCAATGCCCAACGTCGGTTTCAATGGTGCCAGCAGCGCAAATCTTGGGCTGTGGACAATGTGAAACGTGTTGTTCTCTGATGAGCCCACCTTCACTGACCTTCTCACATCCGGGAGAGTTAGGATGTAGAGAAGCTCCAAAGAGGCTTTATCACCAGGACTGTTGTGAGTCTAGTATTTGTTCATTATTGTAACTTAGATGAAGATCAATACCATATTTCAAAACAAATTTATCCATAAATGCAGGTAGTTCTGACATGTATGCATACTTTAAATAATTAAGCATCACATATGAATCTGCAGTCACTTTACCATGAAAGTAACATAAAAAATGAAAGCTATTTTTTAAATGCTCGTTAGAATACAGTATAACATATTCAAGTCTTTAATTAGTCACATATTCCTAAAATGAACGGAAATCGTGTTTTATTTGAGAAATGGGAGTTATTGGAGAAGAAGTTTAAAAAGTTAAGTTGAACAAGGTGACAGACTGTCATCTATGACAAATGCAGTCAAAGTGCAAAGACAAGAGACGGCACGCCGCCGTGTGCAGCATCTGATGGATTTATAAACCAAAATTTGTTCCAACGTATGTTACCAAGAAGCATCATCATCTGTCAATCAGGAGCGTAGTTAGAGATTAATGGATTGGGGGGCTGAGTCCTTACTGGCGGGCGATGGCAAACTTATACATAATATAAAAAGTTATTCATGACCTAAGCCAATAAATACACATTTATTTATTTTATTTTATTGGGGGGGGGCTAATTACTTTTTCATTTTTAACGTTCTTAAGATTCACATTTAAAAAAACAGATGAAACATAATCGTACTAACAGATTCATGACGGAGGCCAGTTTGATTACGCACACAAACACGTGGCCCTGTCTGTCCAATACAAATTTACAAACCGATTTGCAAAAGTGAAAGTAAAAACCCGTCGAAATGGTTGTTTATTGTTTAACAGACCCAATACTGTACATCTACATACGGTTTGAACGGTTTATTATACAATAAATGCAAACGCGCGCTGCCCATTACTAAGGCTGCCATTAGCTAGCGAAGCTACTACTACGTTAGCTCGTTCTGGTGAATTTTGAAACGATTTTTGCTAACGTAGTGAGCTATAGAGTTTCTGAAGCTTATTAATTATAATTATATTTAGCGTGTGCAACTTCACTTGCAAAACCGTGTTGTTTATGAAGGCAGCTACATATGCGCTTCGCTTGACGGGGAAAGGCGACGATAAACATGGAGAAGGTGCGGAGAGTCCTGGTGTACCTGTCGAAGGAAAGCTCCGTCCCTGAATGCGCTCGATTCGTCCAGGTTAGTTACGCGGGATCGCTAGATTGACACAATTATATTTGTATTACTGGTGCCAGCTAGTTTTGTGTGGTCATGCTTCTGCGTGTTTGACCTCTAATGAATTTACTGCTGCCTCCCAGAGTATAACGGGACATTTCGCGGACTCAGAGACCGACTTGGTGGAAGTGAGCTGCTCCCTGGAGAATAATCGCTTTATATTGTACGGGCAGGACGGTGGGAAAAGAGGACCTGGAGTAATGCTGAAGGTGAAATGTTGGCGGAGATAACTGAGAAAGTTTATTAATTTTCTCCTTGTAACATGTAGCTCTTGACCAAAAGGTTGATTGTGCAAATGTATATTATACTCCTCATTTCTCCCAAGAGGGCTTCCTTCTGCCCTTTCAAGCACATATCCAAGTCAGAGGCTGTAGCTCTCCCTGTAGGCGTCCAGAGCCGGGGGGTGGATGTGGGAGTCGTCGTGCTGCTGCAATCAGCCAATCAGAAGTTGCTGTTGACCCGCCGGGCTGCTGGCATGAGCATTTTCCCCAATGTGTGGGTCCCGCCAGGTATGACGCTTCTATATATTGACTTGCATGTTGAACAAAGACTTGCAAGCTTTGGGTGAATTTGTGTTTTTGTCTCCCCCAGGTGGCCATATTGAATTTGATGAAAAGGTATAGTCTGACTATAACAAAAAACCCTTCCGGTGTATGAGAGAACATCACCATCTTTATATAAGCGAGAGCTTTGCTGCTAATCGGTTCAGTTAATGTGTGGTTTCAATGAAGTGTGTTTTATTAGCAAGCTCTCATAAATATTCAGCAGATGCTTATCTCTCGTCCATTGTGAGTCTCCTAGCTTGCTTTCTGTGCACCAGATGGTGGACGCGGGGCTGAGGGAGCTTCGGGAGGAGACTGGACTGAAGATAAACCAAGAGGACATATCATCTCAGATACTTGGGCTTTGGGAGGTGTGTCAGTGACCGGCTGTCCTTAAGAAATGCACTTCAAACCACTGTTTTCAAAAGGCACCACAGAGTTTCAATGTGAAATTTCCTACATTACGTGGATTGAGGTTAAGGTAATTCATACGATCTCCTAAGTGCTTCAGAACAGTAGATTACCCACTTTTACTTAAGCAATTTGTATTAAGTACCTTGTTCAACGATGGAATGACATCTTCACCAGGACTAATATATCCAGTTTTTATTGTTAACGGCCCATCCCAGTGTAAGGACACTTAGTCATATACAGTGGAAATCAGATCAGATGTCATTGTGTTTCTCAGTCAGCGTACCCTCCCATGTTGTCCAGAGGATTACCACAAAGACATCATATTGTCACCTATATTCTCTTACACACCTCGCTGACACACCAGCAGCTTCAGGTATGCTGTGTATTTTTGGGTATTTTGTGTCTGTATTTTTGTCGTGTTGGTGTGTGTGTAGTATATTTGTCCGAAGAGGCTGCCATACAGTTTTAGCGATGGTTGACAGTTGGGAAGTGTGTGGTGACATGCTTGGCGCTCAGTTTTAATGGGTATCTCAGTGCTTCTGTCCTCCTCTCTCAGGCTTCTTTGCGGCCTGAACCTGCTGAGGTCAGTGGCTGTCTGTGGGTGGACGCTGAGATCGTCAAGGGCATCGTGTCTGCGGTGGATGGAGAAGAGGATGCTGGGAAGCTGCCAGAAAATCTGCCACAAACTGTGAGGTAACTGTCAACCTCAGTATCCTATCTTACATTTTTAAGGCAGTTATTTGTTCATATATCTTATAATAGTGGTATCAGCCCAGTGACCCAGTTGTTGATTACGGCCTTCAGGACGTGTGGCTGAATGTTGCTCACTCGATTCCGAGTCCATATCTTTTGTTGTAAAACTTTAAAAGTTATATTCAAAATATGGATAGTTAGGTTTTTTTATTTCTGTGCTTTACTAAGATGGGCAGAAAATTTTTGTTTTCACCTTCCTGCTAGTTTCCTCTTTGCCGTATTAGCCTGTTCCCAATCCCTTCATAAAATTCATTCTTCTTTTCACATTCTTGTCTTCACTAGAGTTTATTTCAGTTTGTGGTGTGTGTGGGTCTTTTGTCTCTGAGTTATATTTCTCCAGCACATGCTCCTGTGTAAGAATATCACCACACGGGGCCGCCGTTCTCTCCTTTTCAGCATGTGGGAGGTGTCTCCAGAAGGCAGGCTTTGCCCCTCTGTCCTTCCAGTGTCCATCCTATGCGGTCGGGCGCTGGCAGTGGGCGAGGACGTGGAACGGGTCAGCACTGGGACCAAGTTTGCCCTGGAGCTGTGGCTGAAAACAATGGAGCCGCAGAGATGAAAGCTCCTAAATGACTGATGCTACATGGCAGAAATCCCCCCCCACCTTCCAGTGCTGATGTCAGTGATGACATCAGCACTGGAACCTGCTTGCCACCTCCAGGAACTTTACTACTTGATTTGGCGTCGAAGACTTAATTTTGGCACTAAATCCTGTTTTATGTGCGAAATTTAATGAAGAAAACCTTGTGTCAGTATACTGGAGGATGTGCGCAGGTTATAGGCAAATACCACGGCATTTGATATTAGGGACTTGAGCGTCCATGGGGGGTCCTGGACTGACAGGGACGACTGTAACTCAGTGAAAACATTGAATCAGCTGCAATATGAACTTTTGAAAAGAAGGTGTTGCATATTCCTTTAGATATTCCCTTCTTACATTTTAGAATTAAAAGCGTTATATTTATTCTTCACACCACTTGGTGGGGGGGGGGGGTCCTTTTCCTGCTTTGTGTGAGGGCAGAACTTTAATGAAATGGAAGAAGTTTTACATAAAAGAGGGGACAGGAAAGTAGCGTAAGTGGTTTGTGCCAGTTGTTTAGGCCGTCACTCTTTATGGGCCTTATTGGCTGGAGGTTGACGATGTGTATCTGATAGGGGGAGGGTGTGGGTTTCCTAGGGTAGGGCGCAATCATGCAGTGAACTCATTCCTTTACTTAAAGAGTTATCTAAAGTTTTCTTTAATCTCCCCTTTATTAAAGTTGAAATATTGTCCTTTTTGTTTGTTCCTCTTCCCAGATTGTTAGACCCACAAAACCCTAACGAAGTGAGCTAGTATACCATGCAGGGTACTTCTCTCGCCTTCTGCCCTTTGTGGCCAGATACAGACATAGGCAAGCCAGGGAGCTGCCTGGGGCCCGACTGGTCCAAGGGCCCCCAGACAAAGTCATGAAAAAAAATTATATATTCATTTATAAAATTTATAAATAAGAATAATAACATAAAATAAAAACAATAAGCCATATACAACAAATTAAAATGTTTACGCGCAGGCAGAATCATGGTTGGCTCTAGCTGTGGGCAGAATAGGCAGCTTTCCGGGGCCCCCAAATTACCTACGTTGCAGAGGAAGTGAAATGATGATCGAATTTCTTAGTAACGGGGCTTCAGAAGTAAAGCTTTGCCCCTGAATAGGTAGATCTGTACCTGCAGGACAGGCTCCAGGGTCACCACAACCCTGTACTGGGTGAGTACTTGAAAGATGGACGGATTTCTATAAAACTACCAGACAATTCAAGAAAAGTCCTGGAGGTATGATCAACTGACTGCATTTTTTTGTTCAGTCTCCATCCATCCATCCATCCATCCATCCATTTTTTGTAACTGCTTGTCCTATTCAGGGTCATGGGGGGGTCCAGAGGCTATCCCAGATGGGATGATACCCCCTGAGTCGCAGAGATGGGAGGCAACAGTGCTAACCATTGTACCACTGTTCCCCCCTAGTTAAATTTAAAAAAAAAATGAATAATAAAATAGTTTTGAGATACCATCCATTGCGTTATTTCAGTCTTGATCAAACAGGAATAGTTCACCTCTAAGCTGTAGCATTGTTCCTTGTATTTCCATCAGTTAATTCTTGCACAATACTACATTACATTACATTCTCGGCACGTTCCACAAAAATTGTTTGTGCTGGTGTGATGATGCATGGGTCAATGCAAGCAGCCCGCAAAATCAAATAGAATATTTTGCCCTAGAGCTGTAACGTTTTCTCAGCCCAATTTGGTTAAAAGGTCCTTAAAATAACAAAATATAGGGAGGATCATGAGATGAGATGAAATGAAAAGTAAAATTCAAATGTTCCACCTATTCGCTTAATGTTATGCATTTTATTAATGAGTTTGTCTTTGTTATTAAAATAGAAACACAGTCTAACCCACAAACAATGGGGCCTGCATAAAATTTCGATTGGGATATATTTATGGGTACTGCAGCCCTTCTCCGTTTATAAAATAAAATAATCTGTTTCATCTTTATTATATTGACATGGGGTGCCCACCCCTTATGTTTGCCCCTGCAGCCCAAAAATCTTTTTAATTTTGTTACTAAATTACTTGTATTTGTGCACATATTTCTACAATTAAGCAGTAGATGGCGCTGTGAGCCACGTATTTGTATTAGAAGTGTACCGGCCGTACTGAGTAGCGCTGTGGGATCATAGCACCATGAGCAGCGGTTCTGCCTAATAGGTTACATGTTCTCCCAGCGTTGTTTGTGGTTCCTCTGGCTCCATATTGGCTATGTGCGATTGATAGTTACATGGAAAGAAGGCGGCAGAAAAAAATTTAGTAGCAGGCGCGAAGTGCTTTTCTTTCTAGAAAACAGGAAGATCGTCCTTACCAGCTGCCGTTACGTTAGAAGCTTATGAAAAGCAGACCGACCTTTGTGGTGCGTAAAAAATATGCTGTACAGTAGCCCAGGTAAAATGATACCTACCAATGATTAATTCTGCTGGATTGTCAATACCAGAGATGTTAGTGTATATTAATACAGTATCACAACAGTAAGTGTGTGGGGAAATTATATATATATATATATAGATACTTTATTGATCCCCATGGGGAAATTGTCTTTATGCCTCCCTCAACTTTGTAGAGTAAGTTGTCTGCAAAGGGCAGCCACCTGTAGTGACACCCAGAGAGCTGGGGGGTTAAGGGCCTTGCTCAAGGACCCACAGACATGCTGAGGCTGGGATTGAACTGGCAACCTTCTGATTACAGGCACACAGGCTTAGCTGACCGAACCACACGCTACCCCTATATTTGCATAAAACTCATATCTAACAATCTACACAAAAAAACACTATGCTGCCCACGTATAAACATATTAACGGAATGATGCTCACTAAACAGTGGCTAATGAGCCAAATTTATTGGGCATCGTTCTTGTCAGGAATTAAACGACAGAAGTTGTAGATAATGTATGTGTGTGTAAAGTAGCCTAACTATAGCTGAAGACTTCTGTGGAGAAAAGATACTTCTTGGCATTCATCCAAACACCGACATCTTATCTAAGGTGTGAAATGGCCGTATTGGACTGTAAACTAAATAAAGTTTGCCATTAATCCAACATCTTAAGAAATAAGCAGGACTGATAATAAAATCAGCTGATCATAAAGTGATAATAGGCACTAAAATTCTCCAAAGCATAAATAAGTGACGTACTATCTCGCAGGAAATGAGGTTTTGTGATCGTCCAAAGCCATTAACTCCTTTAAGTCTATTGTTGTATCATATAAAACCATAGAAGTGTTCTAAAAGATTCCGATTTTATAGTGAAATTTTAGAGCCCACATATATAATAGTTTTCTATTGCAAGTTTTTATGTTTATGTCAAAATGAATTTTATAGTTGTGTAAATAAGGAGTGTTCAGGAGTTACTTAACTGAAAAAACCTATGGCCTAAAACTTCATAACTCATGTAATCTGTGTTATAAATCTATCCTGCCAATTAAGTCTGTTCATCTTTGTACATCGCTCCTATAATACTTCATACAATTTAATTTTCTTCGAATGCTCTTTTGGTTTTCAGAAACCAGAAACTCAAACTTTCTTCCCTTTGAGTAATACATAGAGTGACTGTAAATCAATTATCTGGGTAAAGTGGGTAATGCAAATCATTAATTCGACATGTGCTTGTGTTTCCCAGAACTTCTTGTATCCCACATATTCCTGTGATGTTACTGAAACAAAGGGAATCCAGACTTATCGACTACTTATTTGTTTAGCAAGACGTGGCCTGGTGAATACATGTGTCTGTACTGTTCCTGAATGCTGTTTGGTTACACCATTTGCAAATGAGAACTGTTTGTCTTAGCTGATACCTTCAAGTTTGGATTTGCCTTGATGAATAACAAAACTGAGCCTTAACTAATTTAACCCATTCAAGCCGTTTATTCAGTTCAGGTTGGGGGGCAGCGCTGATGCAGCGCGTTGTCGCACCCACCACACAGCAAAACTCCCCCAGGCAGATACACGGTCCAGTCCCACCCTCCGGAAGTGTCCATCCATCTGCCGCAGCCAGGTGTTATGTGGGCGTCCCCTCAGCCTGGTCCAGCCACTTGGGACCTCAGCAATGAGGATCCTGTGAGCCGGATCACCCTCAGGGAATTGCGTCACATGGCCGTAGTCCCGTAACTGACGCTCCCTCACAATGCAGGTAATCTGCCTCATTCGGGACTCCTCTAGCAACCGCTCATTCCACACAAAGTCAAACCAGCGGTACCCGAGGATTCTCCAAAGAGACACAGTACCGAAGGAGTCCAGTCTTCGTCTCAGCTCACTGGATAGCGTCCATGTCTCACAGCCATACAGCAAGACAGGGAGCACCAGGACTGTAAAGACTCGGACCTTCGCCCTCTTGCTGATATCGGGAACGCCACACACCCCTTTCCAACCCCCCATGTTCTTCCAACCCGTCTGTCGACTTCATAGGAAGAGTCACCAGAGACATGAATGTCACAGCCGAGGTTGATATATCTCTGGACAAGGTCGACATTCTCCCCGCAGACAGACACACTACACATGGCTGTGCCTAAGAAGTCATTAAATCCCTGGATCTTGGTCTTTATTCAGGACACCCGCAATCCCAGACACTCAGACTCCTCACTCAGTCTCTCGAGAGCCCCAATCAGAGCCTCCATTGACTCCGCTAAGATCACAGCATCGTCGGCAAAGTCAAAATCAGTAAATCTTTATTCACCAATGGATGCCCCACAGCTGCTGGACCCCACGACCCTGCCCAACACCCAGTCCATACAAGCATAGCCAGGACTTTACCCGGCACTGAGAGCAGTGTCATCCCCCTGTAGTTGCCGCAATCCAGGCAATCACCCTTCCCTTTCCAGATAGGGACTACGAGTCCCATTTTCCAGTCAGTTGGGATGATGCCCATTTCCTCAAGGAACAGATTCAGATGTGCGTAATGCTTTGATTCCTCTGTAAGCAGGACGTAAGTCACTAGACCACAGATGGTGTGTCACCTGCTCACAGATTTGTCTAACAAACGCCTCCTAATCTGCCCTCAGAGCCCTCACAGCCGTCCTTCTCAGTTCTCGGTACAGTCTGAGTTGCCACCAAGTCGAGCGCTGTGACTCCTCTCGATAATATCCAGTGTGCTCTGCGAGATGAAACACCTCCTTCTGGGAACACTGGCAACACCAACACAGCCCTCGGCAACCTTCAGGGTCTCATCACGGAAAGTCTCCCACATCAAATTAGAGTCAGCAGTCGCACCCAAGTCTGCAAGTTCTTCACACAAATTGCATGCAAACTCATCTGAAATTAAAATATATTTCTTATGTCTGTTGGTTTGTTGAGCAGATCATTGTGAGGAGCTTCTTTGCTCATGTTTATTGGTGGTGGATTAATGCGTTGGCTGTAGCTTAGAGGCTCAGCAAACATCAGGGCACCACCCCATCTCTGGAAAAGTGGATCGGTTAGTTAACTCATAATCACCTGGCAACACTCATGTCAACCTACGGCCCCCATATAAGTCAATCTGCCCCTGCTTTAATTGCTTTTATATGCATTTTAAATTGAATTTAAACAATTTGAATTTCAACAAAAGGAGCAACACCAAAAAGTCTTAAAAAGCAAACAAGTCATAGAAAGCACTAGGAGTTCAAACAGACACAAATCTGTTACTAAGAGACTGTTGTTTGTCATCATTCCTTATCGAGCTCAGTCCAACGGCTCGAGCCGCACGAAGGCGTGGTCCCTGCAGACATCAGAAGCTGCCTCCGGGATGCTCGACTGTGTGTGTTGCCATGGACATTGTTTGAATTTACACTGGTGAGAGCAGTGAACGGACGGCCTTTCGGGGCTACCTGCTGGTCGTCAAGGTAACGTTAATGACAGTTGCCTGGCGTACGTACAATGACAAACTTCCTGTTTGTCTGTGGGGGGATGTATTTCTCTTATAATGCCAATTAAGTGATTGCCCTTGTTTCACACTGGCACCTTTACAGACGGCCAAGCAAGCAATGTTTTCCTTGGAAAAAAACTAAAAAAAAAAATGTTATGGCACAAAGTTATGATTTCTATAAAGTTTTTCCTTATTCAACATTGTTAAATGTATATGATGGCATGCAGCTGGAACCGGGTGGTGTTGAGTGCCTAGTTTCTTCCTTTTGCAGTTAGCGGTCAATTAGAAGGCTCAGCTGCCCTATCAGAGGGCGTGGACTGTTGGAAAGTAATGTGAGGGTGTGATCCACACTGAGTCACAGTATGCGTGGGTGAAACGATGATGTTATGTCTGTGGGAGTGTGTCAGCTTAATCATTTCAATATCTCTCCTCAAATCACCCCACTATTTGGAGTTAACAGCCAACCCATTGCAGGGCACACGCACACACACACACTGACCAATACACACACACTCACACTCACACACACACACTGACCAATACACACACACTCACACACACACACTCACACATACGGGCAACTTGGGAACTCCAATTCACTTTTTCCTGTTTTTGGGCTGTGGGGGTGAATCCAGGAGTACATGGATAAAACCTCACGAGGATACGGGGAAAACCATGCAAACTCCACATACATGGAGCCATGATGGAGACTCAAACCCTGGTCCTAGAGGTTTGAGACAACAGTGCCCAACCAGTGCACCACCATGCTGGCCCCATGCCACGCTGTTTTTGGCAAGTTGTCTGTTTTCAGGTTAAATTTTAACGCGATAGTTTGCGTATCGCCAATTTGTGATGGAGTGGCATGACTGTGGCACTTTAAGCGTGAACCACTGAGCGTATCACAGTTCTGGTACAACTGCAACCCCTCCGTTTCTAGGCCTGGTTGCACTGAGCCTGCGTTGTGTTTGAGGCAAACAAAACCACTAAATGCAAAAAAAAACCAAAATGAAACAAACAACAAACAAAAGCCGAACATTAACTCCCTCTTCAAAATCCACTTCGCTCTGGCTGGTTTGCATTTGTCACAAGCTTATGAGCCAGTTAAAAGTTAAAAACGATGTTGCTTTATTTTAGATTCCAAATGATGTAGTAATATACATAAAAAGGATCTTGCCTGTGATTAAATGCTTTGAGTAAACATCTAGAAAAAAAGAAAATTAACAACCGTACACAGTGGACAACAATTACAATATTTTAGGGGTGATTTGCCATTTACATGGATAAAAGCTAATTATGTTTAAAATTACTTAAACTATGAAAACAGAATAAAAACGTGTAAGTGCACCATGACCTTAATAAGTGTAAAATTGCTTCAATTTACAATTCATAAATTATATTCCATGCTGAATTATATTTACATAGGTACTGTAAGCTATGCCATTTACTGCACATTCACTTCCTGACCAGGAAATATGTGGGTCCTACAGTCACTGAAAATATAATAAATAATTAATATTGAAAACATGTCTTTGGCAGTCAGAGCCAAGCTCCACAATTTTGAAACATCACCTTCACCCATACATGTTGTTCTGTGACATGTTTGGGCTTTAATGGTACCAATCAGCACTCCTTTGCCACCAGATGATGTATGTTACAGAACGACAGTATTGGTTGTACATGATGGACGGGAGCATTTTTCTGGTTGTTTGTTAAATGCAACAAGGGAAAAGGACTTGATGGTAATCAAAAAAATACATGTGAAACAGATTTGGCCTTGTGGTTGTCACTTGCACTGAGGAAATCACAGGGTCCCATACATGTGTGTGTCACTGCGGATGTAATCCTGCTCTCTTGCTGTGCGGCTTCATAACTTTCCATTCAGCACCTCAACATCTGGTGAAAAGGAAAATGTATTTGTTGACCAAAAACATGGAAGGGAGATTTGAATATCAAAATGTTTGCATTGCTTCTGAGTATTTCTGGATTTTTCCAGAGGTCCCAACCACAGGCATGAATAGCATATTCTTTGGTGCTGCACTGAGGCGTCGTTATATAGAATTGTGTGATAAGGTCGTGTTGGCTTTTAAATGATGACCAGACCCAATGAAGATGAAAGCGTGAGAGAAGGATCAGGACGATGAAATCTACTGAGCGTAGCCCTATGTCACGCCCAGCTCCGTACGATCCTTATGTGTGCCACGCCCACCTTGTTACCTCCTGTTTTTGCCTGATTGTCATCACCTGTTGCCTATTCCTTTTGCCTTGTCTTGTCTATTTAGTCTGAGTCTCAGTCAGTCTTCCCCAGATTAGTCATTGTAGTGTCCGTAGATGTCCCTACCTGTCTGTCTTTTGACCATTAAAACCCCTGATTACCCGTCAGTTCGGCTCGCTCTCCTGCTTCCCTGCTCGCCTTCTTGCCACGTCGTGACACCCTAATTCCAGAGGCTACTAATTAGGCTGTGTAAATAACCTACTTTTTGATATTATTTATTTCTCAGTGAACACCCACATATACAGTACAGCGGAAATGTCTTAGGCAGTCATAAAAAAAGACGTTTAAATGAGCTTCATGCTGGTGTAAAACTTTGTTATTATAGTATGTCTGTCGAAATGTATCAGCTTAACCATTTCAAAACCTGACCTACAGTCACCATATTATTTGCAGCAGCCATTCAATACATGTATTTTTTGACTCGACCGCTATCACACCTCGTTTGGCTAATCAGTACCTCACTGACTTTCTAAAGTATTTAAATTCATTAAGTGAGTGAGCTTGTGATAAAATCTGACGAATACATGGAAAGGCTGAGGTTCCCCGTAAGAGAGGTTTGGGAACTGAATCGATGTTCATCCAACAAGATATCAGTGACTTTTCAGAGAAAGGAAGAAATGACTGCTAATTTTTATTGTGTTACTCTTGATATGCATAAATTCTGATGTTAAATAGTTTTTTTTATTCTGGGCAAATATATATATTTACTACCCAGATAAACTACCCAGATAAATCGCTTTAAGCATTTTCTTTGACTGCTTAAGACTTTTGCACCGTGCTGTATATTTAATATAGGGCTGCCTGTATAAAGGCAGCTCCCACACAGTATTTGTTCATGTCAGGTTACTTTGTATGCGGGTCAGTCTGTACTATGTTGATTTTTGAGTTACGTCTGTATGCATGTTATTTAAGTTACTAGGATGCTGCTAGTAAAGTTTCTTGTGTACCAAAAAAGTCATACCTTTAAACATACTATCCGAGCAATTTAATAAATATTTATATCTGACATGTTTCTTTTGGCATTTGCTATGTGCGCTTTAATGTCACATGGCATCAGATCCTTGAACACCATAAAGGGCAGATCCTTCACCGAAATCACATGGATCTTACCATAGCAGCCTCATTCCCAGTTTCACTTATGCATTACATATGTTCCTGTTCGGTTTCTTCTTGGGGCCTCGGGGTTGTCCTGACCGGGATGAAAATATTGAGTGTTACCAACACATATCAGATAAGCAGTTAGGAAAGTCCAGACAAGGTAGGGGCCGCTCAGCTACCTGATGCAATGGACTGGGATTCTGTCTGGCATATTTTCCAGGTGACCCAATACTGGATAAATCATTAAAAGATGTGCAGATTTATGAGACCTCAAACATGGATGTGGCACTCATTTACAGGGTCAAAATCTTTCTTTTTTTACAGTTCTGATTGTCTATATCTAAATCTTCCTTGCAAGTCAAGCAAAAATATTGAAATGCTTATTGTCTTTAAGATTTGGGGTGGAGTTTGGGGGGATAGGACTCCCCGATAACAAAATCTGCCGAATGGTGACACAGAAATTAGTTTTATTGCATATTAATTAATTGAAAAATATTTTAGAATTAGGGTTGCTTTTGATTTTAAATTAGAACTAGAAAATATTTACTTAAATGTACTTTTCAGATAACCTTTCAAGGACATAACATCCTGTTTTGTGTAAACTGCGAATATTATAAGGGAAAAATCATCTTTCATGATGAAATAAAATTAATATTTATGTTGCTTAAGTATACACAGTGTTGCAGAAGCATGCGCAGTTTAATTAAAAAGCTTCCTTTCATCGTCCTACATTCAGTATTAGTAGCTGAGGTTACAGCCTCATTGTGGGGATTATGCGTTTTTATTTACTTTATCAATGCTCTCTTTGTTAGCTTTTTGGGGCATGGCAGTGCTTAACCTGCAGGGCCTTTTCCTGTCCTTCATTTTCCATCTCTGCAGGCAAACCCTCAACACAAAAAGATGCAAACTAGACAAACCACACAACTGAAGATATAATTCAGAGGAGAAATACCATTTGGCAGCCTGTCAGTGTGATAATGCTGCAATTATTGGGTGTAGAATTTAGTATCCAGTATAGCACAACTGGAAAAAAACCATAACATGTTACAGCAACATAAAAGCTTCCGGACAAAACATGGAGAAATGGATGTGTCCCCATTTCGTTTGCTGCGGAAGGGAGAGTATCAGTGCGGACATGAACAGACTGCAGGAATAAGGGGTAGAGCTTAGTGTCTCGGCTGAAGGCTTGTGTTTCCCACGCCTCAGGTTTCCCCCTAAAAGCCGACACGGTACAAAGGGACGTCTATGAACAGACAGAGAAACTGGGATTCTCAGTAACTGTAACCGCCCCAGTTCAGGCACAGGGGCCATAACCGCCACCCCGGTCCCCTCAATAGAAAATGTGCCACCGGATTTTGTCTCTGTGTCTGTGTGTCTGTGTGTGTGTGTATGGGGGGGGGGGTGCTTGGCAAGTGGCTTCACTCACTACTCAATTTTAGCCATCCCAGACTGGTCCAGGGAGCCGAAGGCAATTACGGCTAAAAGCTCCTGAAGATCTAACAGTAAATTGGGTTCTGTCTGCTCAAAGGGTACCAAGCCATCCAGGTTGTTATGCTTTTCTTTTTTCCTCTATAATAATAATAATAATAATAATAATATACAACAAGATTGGTCATCTGGCGTGACCTCTCTTCAGACTCTCACACTCACGCAAATAATCTTAAGGAAAGTCTATATTATTCCACTCTAACCCTAAAATCAGATATATCAATAATGTTGGGTCAGTTTGCAAACCCTACAGACTATTTACAAGGTTATTACACTGTTACATGCATGTAAATGTGTGTACATGTGTGAGCTGCCAGGTCTCGAATAGAAGATCTCACTCCAGCCAGTTGACCAAAGTTGGCAATGCTGATATAAGCTGCAATAATGTGCCAAAACGAGCACTGGGGGGGGGGGTGATATTTTTGCTTTGCACAATTACATCCAGGATAAAACACACTGTTGTTGTAAGCAGTGTTGGGAAGATTACTTTTGAAATATATATAACAGGTTACACATTACTATTACTCTGTGAAAAATGCCATACTAATGTAAGTTATTAACCTTGATTACTTTTTGATTATTTTTTTCTAACAAATGTTTTAAACTGGGCAATTAAACTGAAAAACCCAACGGCTCTGTTGACCCGTGTTGTCTGGAAATATGCCAGAAAAAGGCATTTCTACATGGGAAAAAGATGCAAAGCAACTAAATGAATGTTTTATTCTATATATACTGAAAAGAATATATTCAGATGTACCTCCTTTGTAATCACCAACATTTTGATTAATAACTGTAATTTAATTGCACATTTTTTCCTCAGTAACTGTAATGGATTACAATTACATTTATTTTGTAATTTAATTAAGTGACACCGTTACAGGTAACTAGATCACTTGTCATAAGATACTTCACCTAAATGGGTCAGTAACTATTTAGTTGTATTAATGGTTGTATTAAAGAGTAGAGTATATACTTTATGACAACTGACATGTCTGCTAAGAAAAAATACATATAACTAAGTAAAATTGGAGATGCAAAGATTGTTTATGTCATTCATGTAATTTTCTTCTATTGAGTCAATCGAGTCATTACAAGATAATTTAGACAATCTGATGAGAATGCATCCACAGCCCAAGGGCTGGGCTTAAGTATTAAATGCCAGCCACTGTCATGAAATGTCTTTTCATTCAGTTGTAAATCAGCTGCCCGTCAATGCAAGCCGATTCTGACATATTATTTTGCAGTCAAATACTAATCTCACTATCTTTACCTTTTAGGGAAGTGCAACAACACAACAAATGACATCATAAGTCTCCACACTTACATTTGGCTTCCCATTGGGCGCCTCGTAGTGGCTGTGAGTGGAGTGCATAGGAATGTCTGTCCCGTGGTTGATGTGGCTATATGGTATTGGATCTCCAGAAACATCCAGGTAGCCGTAGTGTTTCCATCTGTAGCAGCAGATAACCAGCTGATGGGAGAGAAAAAGCAACAATAATCAACAAACAAACTTCAGGAAAGACTATAAGCCTCTACTATCACTGACATCATTATTTCTTCTATAACCTTTCCCTCTTACACTATCATACTAAAGACACCCCTAACCAGGTGTATACTCGTGACAGACGGGTTTGGTTGTGAAGTTTGACTCACCAACAGAATGATGACAATGAAGAGAAGCAGAACCGCTATGCAGACCAGTACCAGGAGGGCTATGGCCCAGCCCGGGACCCCTCCACTATTAGCAGCAGATGTTGAACTTGTTGAGTTAATGTTTGTTACTCCATGGTTACCGGCGTGTGTTTCCAGAGTGTTTTCCGGCCCTTGTGTACCTGTAGGTTCACCATCTGGCCTCCCGGATGAGTTACTCGTGCCCGGCACGATATGTGGAGTTATCTTGCTACTTGGATAACTAGTGGATCCAAGATTAATATGGGGAGATGTATCATTTTGTGTTGATATTATAGTATTTACTTGTTTACTTGTTATGCTTTGTCCAGGCTGTTGAGTTGTATGAGCTGATGATGGAACTGTTGGTAGAACTTCTATAGGTTTAGTAGTGTTATGGGTTGGTGGATGTGTTGTATTATCAACTTCTGTTGGAGCGATACTGACTGGAGAAACAACAGTTGTTTTAGATGAACTGGTTGTAGTAAAATGTTGCGGGGAATGAGTGGTATTGTTTGTAGAATTGTCTGCAGAAGTATTAATTTCTGTGGTATTGTCTGCGGAATTGTCTGTTGAATGATTAATTGTAGAATAGGTGGTATTACTAATAGACCTGTCTGTAGGATGACTGGTTGATGAAGTAGTGATATTGTTTGCAGAACTGTCTGGAGCATGACTGATTTGGGAATCAGTGGTATTGTCTGTAGAACTGTTTGAAGGATGACTGGTTGGGGAATCTGTGATATTGTGTATAGAACCGTCTGGAGTATGACTGGTTGGGGAATCTGTGATATTGTGTATAGAACCGTCTGGAGTATGACTGGTTGGGGAATCTGTGATACTGTGTATAGAACTGTATGTAGAACTTTCTGTATAACGTTCTGTAGAATGACTAGATGTGGAAATAGTGGTATTGTCTGTAAAACTGTTTGAAGGATGAATGGTTGGGAAATTTGTGGTGCTCTGTGTAAAATTACTTTCAAAAGTATTGTTCACTTGACATGCACCTAAAAAAGAAAAAAAAAAATTTAAATGTAAACTAATTTTTTCCTGACTTTTATGATCCAGTAACTGTTCCAGAAATACATGATTAACACTTCATTATGCACTAATCAAGCCTGAACACAGTTTTCCAGAAGCTACCAGAAAGATATTTAAAGTGTAAATTATTAATGATAGAGTACAGTTGTACACAGTTGTTCACTGTTTTGCATTTGTGTTTCAAAAAAATTGGTGATATGCATTTAATGTTAAATATCTCAAAATCCTCAATACGATCTAAATAGATCTAAACAATACAAACAATACAACACTATACAAAATATTGCATGCAATTAAACGGTCAGTTTGGAGCTGTCTCTAATTCAAATTTACACTAAACCATAACATTATAAAAGGACACGAAGAACAGGCACCAGTTTCCTAGATTTTAGCCCACATCAAAGACCCAAAAGATAAAATATTCATGAGTCAATTCATGTATACAGAAATTTTAAACAGATGTTTCCTTTGGGGTGGATGGGATTTTGTGTAATAATTTTAAAAGTTTTCTTAATTAATCTTAGAGGATCAGTTACAGGAAAACAAAGATCCATTGTAAGAAATTCAAGAGAAGTAACACAAGGCATTTGTTTTCAGATTGTCGTCTTTTTGTGATACGCGACTAGGATTATAAGAACGGAAAATTATGGTGGTTCACAATTTGTAAAATCATACCAACAGAAACAAAAACGACATTAATAATAATAATAATAATAATAATAATAATAATAATAATAATAATAATAATAATAATAATATGCATTCTTACCTAAACTGGCATATATCACGAAGCAAAGTATTGTCCTCCAAAGAAGTGGCTGAACCATTTTGAATCATACAAAATGTTTTTATGCTTTCAGGAAAAAAAATTAAATGAATCAAAATCTAATTTCAAAAGAATAAGTTCATCCAGTTAAGTAAAATAATATCTAACATCCACTGAGTGAAGTAACGGCGGATTTCTTATAACGCGACAAAGTATAGCGTGAAACCACAATAGGAATGAACGCGACTTTTATCAGCCGATAGCGCGGGCCGGTGTGCGGAACTCGGACAGGTGTATCACAGGGCGGGACCACGCTTTCAAAGGGCAATACAAAACAGTCAATCATACAGGCCTTTTGATAGTATGTCAAAGAGTAAGCTTTCTTGGTCAGTCATTAAATATGTATATACCAACAACTACAATAATAATAATCATAATAATAATAATAATAATAATAATAATCATCGTTATCATGGGCGTCGTTAGGTCCAATCACTCGGGGCTAGCCCCAATGCCAACCTTCCTTAAAAAATGTGAAATTCCCGTTAAACATGACTTAGCTCGTTATCTTTTCAATAACTAGAAACACCCTTGATAATAATCACATTATATTATTTACAAAAAAACACCATTTCAAACCACAGAAAACAATACACCCTTGAAATCGATAAATAAATGTATTACTATTTTTTATAACGGACTTTTAAAAGATAAGCGGTTTGGAAAATAGATGGATGGATAACGGGTGTAACGCCTCAATTGAAATGTGCCAGTATCTACGACCTGAGTTTGATCCGTGTTTTCCATTATATCGGGAGTAAACCTAATGTAAGAACCTTATTTAGTTTGATTTAGCTCTCCTTATACTTGACAGTTCTATGGAAAAAAAAACATCTTTTTCCTCTTTCTTTATTTCTTATTTTCACATTGCAATGGTACCACAGTCATTTTATATCAAATTCAAAAGATGACAGTGCCACCCAGCGGTGATGAGAAGACATCTGTTAATGTATTTTGCGCTCTGGGATTTATGCAATATTCATTTTTTCCTGTGATGCCTGCGATTTTCTCTGACATTTTACGCAGTTCTCATTGATCTTTCACGAGACATTTTCGCGGACATGACTTCTTCCCTTCCTACATCAGTTGGGATTGTATTGAATTATTCCTTTTTTCAACTGAATATATATTAATTGGATCGCTGAAGACGATCTGATGTTTATTCATAGTTCTGTGCTTGGCCCCCAAATTTTAAAAGAGGTCTTAATTTACTAGTCTGTGTTATGCAGTGTTTATGTCTATTTTTTGTACTGACATAAAAAAAAGATTTGTGTAAATGTGGAACTTAAAACTTCCACATTGGCTTCATGTATCAAGACAGTACACATTTTTATGCATATTTGCATTATTTTAAAGGCCAATCACCCGCAAGATACAAGGCTGAAGGACTTGTTTTACAGGTGTTTGCAGGTAGGCTCGCTTTAGTGTTTATCTTGTATGAGGGGATTTTCAGAGTCTTTTTGTATTACCTGGAAATTTCCTAGAATAGCTGTCATATGTTCTGACTTATACACAAATGATAGTTTATCAGTTGCCAGATGTAGGACTCTCACTGGCACTGTTTGTGAGCTACGGGAGGGTGAAACTATTATTTCAGCATTGAACAAAAGAAAATAAGAAACGTATAAACGAGAGGGGGGCATTTGTCCCATCAAGTCCATTTGGTGAGAATTCAGCTAAAAGCTTAAAGTTGTTAAAACCTTATGTAGCTCTGATTTAATGGAACCCAATGTTTTAGCTTGCACTACACTAACAGGAAGACTATTCCATACTCTACGCGCTGTGTAAAGAAGTGCTTTCTCAAATCCAGCTTAAAATTTTCTCCCACTAATTTCCATCTATGGCCACGAGTTCTTGTTCTTGAACTAATATTGAAGTAACTATTTGGTTGAACAGCTTCCATACCTGTTGGAATCTCATATACCTGGATCATGTCCCGCCCTTAGTCTCCTTTGCTCGAGGCTGAACAGATTCAGCTCAGCTAATCTCTCCTCATAAGACATTCCTCTAAGACCAGGAATCGTTCTTGTAGCCCTACGTTGAACCTTTTCCAAGGCAGCAATGTCCTTTTTAAGGTATGGTGACCAAACCTGCACACAATATTCTAGGTGGGGTCTTACCAAGGAAATGTATAATCGTTGCATCACCTCCCTTGACTTAAACTCCACACACCTGGAGATATACCCCAACATCCTACTGGCCTTTTTAATTGCTTCCCCACACTGGTGAGAGTGGGACATGGAAGCATCAACATACACACCAAGGTCTTTCTCATAATCAGCTACCTTTATTTCAGTGGAATCCATAAAATATCTGTACTCTATATTTCTGCTCCCTGCATGGATTACCTTACATTTATCTGTGTTAAATTTCATCTGCCAGGTATCAGCCCAGTCACTAATTAAATCAAGATCCCATTGTAGCCTCTGTGCTGCTAGTTCAGTATCTGCTACCCCGCCCACCTTGGTGTCGTCTGCAGATTTAACCAGTTCACTGTATATATTGGTGTCAAAATCGTTAATGTAAATTAGGAATAGTAGTGGTCCTAAAATTGAACCCACTGCTTTCTGTCTGTTAACCAGTTTTCGATCCAAGCTGCCACAGTTCCTAAAATCCCTGCAGCTTTGAGCTTAAGCAGCAGCCGTTTTTGGGGGACAACAAAGGCCTTCTGGAAATCTAAGTAGATCACATCGTAGGTCTTTTTGTGATCGATTTCTCTTGTAGCTTCCTCAAAGAACTCCAGTAGATTAGTTAAACAGGATCTACCTCTCCTAAATCCACGTTGTCTATCCCTCAGAATGTTATTTGAATCCAGGTAATCTACCATTTTCACTTGGATTATAGCTTCCTTTACTTTTCCAGTTATGCAAGTTAAACTAATTGGCCTTTAGTTTGATGGATTACTTCTGTCTCCTTTTTTTGAATATGGTCCTCTTAACTTCATTCCTAATTTCAGTAGTAAACCCCAGGTAAATTAAAATCACCCATAACTATCACATCATTTTTATTACTTATAATCCCGATAGCACTGTATAATGTTCTGTTTTTCTCTGTAACTACATTATGTGCTCTATCACAAACACCAACAATTAGGCTATTTGAGTTTTTAGCATCTACTTTTAACCATGTAGCTTCTCTAGCTGTATTTTAATCAGTGAGCCCCCTTGCCTGCAGGTTTTCTTGTACATGCACTGCATCACCACCTCCATTCTTGCCTATCCAGGCCCTATGGATTCTCCTCCATCATTGTCACTCATCCATGTTTCTGTTATTCCTATGATATGAGGATGAGGAAGTGGATGTGGGAAAGTGATGTCATACAGGGCACTGGCCTACATCTGAGCAGAAGCTCAGTCTATGAGTATGCTTTCTTTGATCTGCATAGTTATTTCCTGTCTCCACCAAGCCCCAGTTAAATACAGATTAATCATATCTGCAAGAAAACATATGGGGAAAAATGACTTGCATGCCACTGTCTTTGTTGTTCTCTGATGAAAAAAAATCTGTGGTCTGACTGCTGAAAAATAATAGCCAGCATGGGGTATTTGGCAATATAAAGACAACAGAAAACAAGTGTTTATTGCAACAATTATTTATCACAGTAGCTGAGGGGTGGTATGTAGTTCAGGTGGGTAGGGATTCATACCTGTGTCTGGAAGGTTGTGGGTTCAGACTGGCATGGTAGTATCACCCTTGACTGTGGACCTTAACCCTGACTCTAGGGATGCTAGATGCCTGCTGAGTCTACGTCTGACACTAAGTCCCATTTGTAAATGCTTTAGACATAGCCTCTACCAAATAGATACATGTGAAGAAACAAAAGCCACTGGCTTGTTTTGCTATGCATTTTGGGTTGCTCTTCTGCAGGCAGGAGAATTTATGTTTTAAGGCCATTTACAAAAAAATAAAGATGTGGGATTTGTTTTGATTTTCTGGTCTCAATCCAATTCAATTCAATTCAGTTCAATTCATTCAAGAGCTTAGTGTCAAATATGAAAACTTTTCTGGGTTGCCTTAACTGTACATTATCCAGTTTATCCCGATGTGTTATTTCAATAAACGTTTTTTTAAATTATTATATCTATATAAACTCATGTATCACATATTTGCAAAGCTAGCTAGAAATAGTATATTTTAACCCTTAATTTTAACAATCGCAGAGATCTGGCTGCCGTTGCTAAGGAAACACGCATGCGCTGTAGTTCTTTTCGGAAGCATTTCCGTGTGAAAGTTCACGCTGTCATAGCAAGATGGCTGCCCCCTTGGAGCTGTTCTGCTGGAAAGGCGGCTGGGGCTTGCCCTCCGTTAATACGGAGTGCTTAACAGTATTGGTAAGTTAAAAAGTACGCGTCTGAAAAACATCACCAGTGCTAGTCTCGTTGTATCGAACGCTATATTGTATCACCGTGTATATTATTTTCCACGCTACTAGATGTATACCTGACGATTCTCAGATGAAGGGTCACCTCGTGCCTCAATTACTTCACTGATAGCTGAAGATGATCATCAGCATTTTGAACTTCGACTACACAGTTTCTAAGTCAACCAATCTAGGGTTGCCTAAACTAGCTTTATTAAATAGTTTTTCTTGTTTAGACTCCATTTCCACATGAGTATGTATTCATCTGTACATTACGCGCCTATTTTTTTTTTTTTTTTTTGCAGTTCCTTTTCTGTTACTCATAACGACTTTTAACTATCGTGATATACTGAAAATACTATTAATAGTTTTCCGGTAATGCCAAGTGAATTAGTAACAGAAAATTATTATCCAAGCCGTAACACTACTGGGGCGAGGTGACAGAAGAACCTTCTGATGACACTACAGAAGGGCAGCCAGAATAAGTCGAGAATTGCTGGCAGTTAGAGAATCTGTAAGCATATCTAGGGAATAGCGTGTGCATTTTCTTGTATTAACTTGTCTATAATGAGAGTAATCACCTTGCACACCTCTAGGGTTATGTTTTCAAAATGCGGCTTCGGCAGAGTCAGGTGTCGTGTTTTAATATGGTTTCAAGACATGCCGCCCACATGCACTGCTTTCTGGAACAGTGGCCAAATGTTCTTGCATGAACGCTCTGTGTTTGAGTGTCCCGTGGTATTCCATACTGGTTATATACTGTCACAAGCCCGTTGGTTCCTAGGATTGGAAAGATCAGAATTTTATTTATTCAGGGACGTCAAACCTATTAAAATTAATCATTTTAAAATGGTAATTTCCCACCTTGTTTTCACAGTGGTTTCTTTTAAAATTTAATTTACTTGAGGTGCCAGTATCTCGACATGTAGAAGACAACCATTAAATTCCAATATAAGGTCTCTAAAGCTAATAATCTGAATTTTGAAATATCTTGAAAGTCATTAGTTTCGGTGCAATTTTTAGCAATGTTAACACATACATAAATTAAGTTTAATATAAATATATAAAAGTGTGAGCATTACCTTTGATATTTGGCTAAATTTTCAAATGTGTTGCCTGAGCACAGAAATGGTATTTCATTGTTTTTCTGCTTGCAGACCGACTACAGGTCAGTTTTCTAGACATTCTCCTTTGTTCTGATTGTATGTCTTTCTGTATGTCCCTGATGATGATACATTGCGTACAGGAAATGAGTAGGTTAAAAAAATATATAAATTGATATACTTATAGCTGTGATTGCTTTATTATGTACAGTTTGGTACATGTGTATGAACAAAAAAGAAATACTATTTTACATATGAGCAAATCAAGCGAAAATGATTTTTTTTATACTTAAAAAAATGCACATTGAAGATGTGAAATGGGCAGTGATGACAGAGAGAGAGAGACAGAGAGAGAGAGACAGAGAGAGAGAGACAGAGAGAGAGAGACAGAGAGAGAGACAGAGAGAGAGACAGAGAGAGAGACAGAGAGAGAGACAGAGAGAGAGACAGAGAGAGAGAGAACTTTACTGATCCCTAGAGGGAAATTATGAGAAAGAACAACATTCCCACCTTGAAGAAGTTGTTTGGAGAACTTTGATCACCTTACATAAACTTTTATCAGATTAAATTTCATTAAGACTTTCTGGCTGAAATAAATTTTATCTGAGAATATGAGAAAGTGAGAGAGGCTGTGTGATTTATTATTTTTTTAATTATTGTTACTTAATTTTTCCCCCCTCTTACCAAGTGTTTTTTTTCCTTTGCTGGTTTACCACGAGGAATTATGTCTGGCTTAAGATTTTACAAGGCCAAAGGAAATCCTTTCATGCAGGCCTTGATCTACCCATCTGTGGGCTGTGATTGTGGTAATGTTCTGTTTTATGTGAAGTTCCCTCAAAGATGTCATCATCACGAAGGGCTTTTTGCTAGGGCTATGTTACTTTGTAACAACACAGAGCTCCAAAGTGCAAAGGGGCTCCAGTTAAAGAACCAGTACCTGCCTTTCTTTAAAATACGTCTTGGGCCCACGTTAACAACCTCACTTAAAGACCCAAACTGAATTAGGGGCATGATTTTGAGATTTGCATTAAAATGCCTTAAAACCACCTTCTATCCTTCTTAATTTTATGTTCTGGATTTATATGGATGCTTGTATTTGCGTTTCACTGCAGCTGAATACTGAAATGGCAAACACTACCCGATTTTCCAGTTAATATAACACAAAATTTAATTTTTTTTAACATTTGGTCTGCTGGTCTGAGAAAGAATGGAGGGAATAGGCCTAAGTCTGGAAAAACTTGTATGGCTTCTCTCCTTCTCCCCTCCCTTTGGCGGTAGGAAAAATGCATAGCTTCCTGTAATGACTCTCACTCGGACTGGTTCACTTTTTTTCATAATCGAAACTGCAAAGGAGCCCATTTTACTGGTAAGTTTAATACCTGGTCCAGCGATGCTCTATCAGGATAGTACTTTCACTACAGTCGGGTCCTTTTTTCAGTGGGGGCGTCCTTCAGAAAGGTCATTATTGGGGTTTTAGTGAAAGGTGTGCATGCACATGCAGGCAGGCATGTGTATGGTGGAGTGCGGCATCATCCTTTCCATTCAGGGGGTGAGCGCTGTGGATGTGCATTTACACGTTCGCCTTCAGATGAGCTCATTTGCCACTGGCTGTTTGGCAATGCTGCCCCAGCTCCGCGTTTCATCACCATTCACCCTCTCAGAACTGCTGTACAAGTTTCTTCATCATTGTAACTTTTCAGTGGTTCACTCCCAACCCCCAAACTCCCCCTGTGGAAACAGCTTCAGGGCATGTCAGCTCTTTTCAAACTACGATGTCAGACAGGCCTGTGTGGCTTTTACTCGAAGTTTTGTATGCATGGATGTCGGATCATGTCGGAATCTCACTTTTTTTTTCTTTTCCCCAGCACGATGCTGTGCTTACTTAAACAATAATAATTTATAGCAGATGAGAAACCTTAAGTCATGTGATTGAAACATGCCATATCTACGACCTGAGTTTAATCCATGTTTTCGTTTTCATCTGGAGTAGGCCTACTGAATGTTGCTGCAAAATTTACCGTTGGTATAAATGCTCAATGCAATAAACTCCCAGACTGGTTTCAGAATTTCCAGTGCCGCAACTTGACACGTGAACGTTTATAATTGTGGAAAAATTTGCAACGTTTAGTTTTTTGAGAGACATTCTGCAATTGTATAGTTTAAAACCGCATTTGTCACTGATAAATGATTTAAATGTTGCTTTTTAACTGAAATAATGATTACGCAAAATCATTGCCCATGTGCAGCGTTTCCTTCTATGCCAATGTGCAAAAAAATAAAAATAAAAATCACGGAAACTGCATCCAAGTCCATCAAACACCTTTTAATGTGAGGGTGGGTGTGGCTAATGTGGCCTTGTGTAGAAAGAGGCCATTGGAATCACACTTTAATCACTTCCTTTATTTTGGGCATTACCCACCTGTAGATAGTGTTAAAGGTCAAAGGGGTCATGGAGTCCTGAGAAATTACCCCTGAATGTCCCCCTTGTTCCCCTGTCCATAAGACCCGTGGAGCAGCAGTAACATTTAAAGGAGCCTGACGCTTTTTGCTGACCAGGGATTTAGTGCTTCTTTGGAAACGGTAGAAGTCAGACTCTTTACTATAGCTTTAAGTTGGCTTGTGGAGTATCACGCTTTTCATGCCATCCAGACATCATGCTGTGGTTTGAGGTATTTTCGAAAGCAACTATTCCGGTTTTTTTAATTTTGGCGTCCTTTACGATAAAATTTGCCAAACGAAAATACTTCAATTTATCATGTTTCCGTAATACTATCACAGCTTAGCTTCAAGTACCTTTGTTTACTGTGACTCAATAAATGTGTCTTGGCCATTAAAAACCATTGCTTTTAATCAAGTGTCTCTCAAACAATAATCAGTTTATTAGCTAAAATAGTTGTATAAATGTTATTGTATTGGAGAATAAGTGTAAAGGAACTAACGGGGAAAGACTGTTATTTAATATTACAATTATAGCTGAGATATTGTGGCTAACCAAAGAAAAATGATTGTTTCTGTGGAAAAACCATGTTGTATTTCCCTGTATGAGCAAAATATTTGTGCAGTAGCAAATAATGCAATCGTCTAGTAAATCCTGTTTATTAAACATTTCAGCTTGTTTGTTTCCATCTTGTTTGGAAGAGGTTCATCTCTTCTCCAGAGCAGAGTGATGTTTATCTTATATAAATTGTGGAGTTTCTTCATTTGCTTTGAAATGCATGAAAATAGGGCACTTTTGCACTTTGTAAAATTTGCCCAGTCATAATATCGAGGAATGACGGTGCGGCTCAGTGTTTCACATTGAGAAACTGTGCAGGGTTGGGGGTTCGAATCTGCCTCTGCTGTCTGTGTGTCGTTTGCATGTTCTCCTCATGTCGTTTGGTTTTCCTTTGGGTAATTCAGTCTCCTTCCACAGTCCACATACATGAACCTAGTCTAATTGTTGGGGGGCCTCTAAATTGCCCCAGAGAATGATTATGTGTGTTCTGTTCATATAGCTTAAAGGTGGCATGGAGGGGCAGTGCCTAGCGCAGTCACCTCGCTTCTCTGGCAACCCCCGGATCTACACGTGTGTCGTTTGCATGTTCTCCCCGTGTCGTCATGGAGTTTCCTCTGGGTTCTGGGTCTCCACAGATTAGGGCTGCACCATATCACAATGCGATTCATTCTCACAGGCATAATAATCGCCAGGGCTGTAGATGACGGGCGTAAATGTAACTGAGATACAAAAATCTGCTCAATTTTTGCTCCACTGCTTCTGTCTTTTTCCTGCACTTCCACATAATTTCCAAATTAAATACCATTTTCTTGCCTAGATTCCCTGATTCTGTCTGCATTTTCCACATCACGGAAATGATAGGACCCTTCAAAAAATTGTGGACCCCCACTATAAAAGTGGTGTATCTTACTAAGCATTTCCATTCATCTCTTTTATGAACACCTTTTAAGCTTTACAGAGTGCCTTCGATTGATCGGACGTGGTGTTCTCAATCCCTCGCCGCACCTCACTGTATGTGACGTGGGTCGTGGATGAACATTCTGGAAGAAATGATCTCTTATGTTCCATGAATGCAGAACAGTCTTTCCTGCCTTCTGGTCTGGCCTGTTTTGGCGAAGGCCAGCACATTTGATCGATCTGAACGTTGTTTTCCGTGCGTCTGCTTGCTAAACGGCGAACCGCCCTTTCCCGCCGCTACCGGGAACCGGCTGCTTCTTACTGGTAAATGTCCTGCATCTGTTAGGAGTTCTGTGGGCCATTAGCACAGCAGCCTGGTTGGCTCTACAGGTACAGCCAGCTTAGGATCAGAATCGGAATCTTTATTGTCATAAGACCAAGGCCGGCGGAAATGTTTGTTGACACACCATGGCAATAGACGGCTAACGACTGGAGCATAACGCAGACAGAGAATAAATACAAAACAAAGATACACAACACAGAGGAGCAAGTGCAAGTTATGTGCTAAATACTGTACAGTAGTTTGTCTGAATTTCAGTAGTGCAGTGTTGCCACAGACACAATACAGACGACACACGTACAATGCATAAGTCAAATCGCCACCTTGACAGGATCATGCAGAATCGGGTCATCTGTGAACTGGAAACTTCATTGTCATCTGATTATTTCAATGGCTTTGACTGTTCTGGTTTATTTTTAACTCGGTCCTTGTCTTAGCCACCAAAAGGCAGACTGTCCATTCAGCTGAACCGCTTTTTCTGTCTCCTGTGACTTCTGTGAGACAACACTCCATTCATTCCTGCTCTGGCATGCTGGCATCCCCCCCCCCCTGTATGCTGGCTCACAGGAGGCTTGCTGTTCCAGCTGGCACCTTTCTGGGCGCGGTATGGACCTTCTCCTGGACAGCGGGCTCCTCCTCTCTGTTTGCCCGCTGTACATTTGTTGCAGGACTCGATGTTTGTCTCTCTGGATGCTGCTGTGCCCCTATTTGCTCTGGGTGGACCGACACTTCCACAAAAGCCAGTGTCATCCCTTTCACCTTTGTGATGTCACTTAGTAATTAATGCACTTTCCTCTTGCAGTCAGTACTGTTGCTTCATGCCGCTGTGGTCAGGGTTCGTGTCTCCGGCCCGGTTCCGTGTGTGGAGTCTGCATGTTCTCTCTGTGTTGTCTGGGGGTTTCCTCGAGGTTCTCCGGTTTCCCCCCCGCAGTCCAAAAACATACTAAGGAGAACCGGAGTTACCAAGCTGTCTGTAGGTGTGAATGGTGTGTGTTCTCGGGCTCTGTTGAGAATTTGGTAAGAAAAAGAATGAATGTGTTTTCACATTGATGGATCTGCATGGGCCCAGTGGCGGAACGAAAGTATCCGCACTACCATTCTGTCTGCTGTCTGCCGGCCTGCCGAATGGATGGGGTTTGGAACAGGGAGGATCTCTCCGTCTGTCCTGTGTTTGGGAAAAGGCACTGCTTTGGGTCAGATGAATCACTTGGCGGGAATAAAGGTGACATTGGGTCTCACTTCAATCTTTTTTGTTTTGTGGGAGAGTGAATGGACCCCCCAACAAAGATGCAGACTCACATTTATCCAAGCTCTTCAGCTGTATGCTGGGCATGTGCTTGAGTTTCCAAGTCTGTGTTAAGAATCTTATTAACAAGAGATATTTCTTAATCAGATTCTCTGACTCATCTGGGGCGTCCAGGCTGCTGTGGACAGACTATGGCGGGAGGGAGGGCAGTGAGAGCAGGACTCCTGTCGCGGATGGTTTATGACCCAGACTGCCTTCTGGATGGTTTATGACTCAGACTGCCTTCTGGATGGTTTATGACCCAGACTGCCTTCTGGATGGTTTATGACTCAGACTGCCTTCTGGATGGTTTATGACCCAGACTGCCTTCCGGAATCTCTGGCGATCGGAAAATCGCTTTGCGCTATCTGCTTCTCATTACCGCCTTTGCACACTTCCTTGCCCCCCCCCCCCCGAGGTCTGTCATAATTGAGGAGTTCCCTGGAAAATGCGTATGATTCCCAGGCCTTTGTCTGTTTCTGTTGAGTCTGGGGGGTGGCTCGTCCACCTTGCTTGACGGAGCTGCCCCCAGCAGGGCCTCTGCAGTGTCATCGCACCAGCGCCCACCAGAGACCACCAGCGCCCTCCCCCGCCCCAAGCCCCTTCCACACACTGTGTTAGTGAATATGAAATGCCTTTTTATGCTTCTTGTTTTGGAGTAGATGGGTTTTATTGACCAGCCAAAACTGGTTGGGCATTTAAGTGAAATATGCACTCTCAGAAATTGCACTCTCTGTACGTAATGCTGGGATGTTTTCTCTGAGTTTGCTGTTGAGTGAGTGTCAGATGCCTTCATTCTAGGCCTATGCCAAGTTTGCTGGTGCTCCTCTTAAAGTCCACAAGATCGCCAACCCCTGGAGAAGCCCTACAGGTAACACCAGCGTTCCACATCATACTTAATCCCTCCTCTGTTATGTAATGCATCATCCTTCGTGCGCTTGAGGATGATTCGCAGTGTAAAGACGCTTTTCGGCTGCGGGCCCCTGTCATGTGTCGGCGTGTCTCTCTGACAGGTTCTTTGCCTGCCCTGAAAACTCCAGAGGAAGGAAGCCTGTCCCAGCCCAGCAAGATCATCATCCAGCTGAAGAAGCAGGTGACTCGCTCTCCCTCCGAACGGCACGTTGTATCCGAACAGCCCGCGAAGTTTAGGTGTGACAGCTGCCGAGATCCCTGGGGGGGGGGGGGGGGGGGGATCTCGGCAGCTGTCACACCTAAACTTCGATCTTTGCTCGAGAACCGGGCAGCCGAGCCAGGTGTATCCGCACAACCGCCAAGTCTGTTCCAGCCGGTAAAAGCAAGATGTTCCTTTTTGCTTTCTTCACTTCCCGGTTCACCACATTCCCTAGAAGTAAATGCACGCGACAGCTGATGCCCAGATGGAAGCTATCAGCACAGATAGTTAGTGTACCCGCCTCAGCCAAGGACGGAGTCTGTGGGAAGGGGAACCGGGGGGGGCGGGGCTTCAAACCACAGCGGAGACTGATAATTGCTTTGGAAAAGTGGTCCGTCGAAGCAGATGAGGACACAAAGAGGGAAAGGCCCTCTGCAGTAGCCCTGAGGAGGGGGATGGGATCCACGAGACGTTCCATTTCCAGTTAGGGTTCCAGGCCTTATGATCTCTGAGCGGCAGAATTTCCATGAAATTCCTTCGTATGATTGTGGTTAGGGTCGTTCCCCGAAGGGGCCGGTGTTTCCCGACCCGGTTTAGAGCACTAGCGTTCTGGATCCTTTTCAAAACACTCTGGGATTGTTCTGGTTGGCCACTTGACAGTAGATAGCTTCTGTTGTCTTATACACTGACAGACCCACTTATATGGAAGCGTGTCCTGTAGATTTCCTTGCTGTTAGCTGGTTGATGTCTCTTGTAACTAAAAGCTGCTCGGTGGTTCCTATTGGTCTCCGAATGAGTTCCATTTGGGAATTATTAGTGGAATTATTAAAAGTGTAATGGAACATCTATGTGTATAATTTTAATGCCTTTTCAGCTTAGGAAGCCTGAGATGATGCGTTGTGCTTCTTCATGGATTCTGATTGGCTCCTTATGTCCTTTTGCAGAAATATAATGCAGACTATGACTTATCTGCCAAAGAAGGGGCTGACGCCCTGGCCTTCATCTCGCTGTTGGAGGAGAAGCTCCTGCCAGCATTGGTGAGAAGAACTTTGGGGTGGTTGTAAGTGCGGGGTGGGGGAGGGGCGTATCCACAGGTAGTCATACTCGATGGGCGTGGGGGGGCCATAACGTGGAGGAGAAACAAAGGCTGTTCAGTTTAAACAAAAAAGCGGTGATGAAATTCATTAAGCCACACAAAAAATGTAGTGGTATCTTCTGGAAGATCTCCAGGAGGAAATAGAAACACAGTGTAATATATTACTGAGAAGCAAACTCATGAGAGGTGGTTGTGCAGACTGTGTCATCACGTTAAACTAACCTTCATCGTCCACCTTCTTCAAAGAGTTCTGACAGAGTGTTTACAATAAGCTCATTGGTTGAAGTTTACCCAAAGATGCTAAAATGTAGAATGTTAAAAAACTCCTGACTGTCAGCATACAGATGATGATAGAACAACCTTGAACCTTCGTAACGGTGTAGTTGAGAAATCCTTTCTGAGGTCCTTTCTAAAACGGCAACAAATTCTGATCTTGGATGAATTGACAAATTCAGGTGTTTTCAAATGTGAAAGACAATGGCGATTAGTGCAAGGTGAACTTGTGTCCCATCCCCAAACTGGCCCCTCTCTTTGTGCTCAGATCTACACTCTATGGGTGGACCCCAAAAACTATGTGGACGTTACGCGGCGGTGGCATGGCGAGAACATCCCCTTCCCGCTGAACTTCTTCCTTCCCGGCCGCATGCAGAGCAGGCAGCTGGACCGACTTCGGCTGGTGAGGGGCGACTCGCGATTGGAGCCTGGTGATGAGACCGAGAAAGAGGTGAGGAATATTTAGGGGCAGCGATGCCCTCTGAGGTACCAGTGGGGCAAACGGCTGTTTGATCTTGCTGCTCGGACAGTGGAGGTTCTCCTGGCAGCTGTTGTATGAGGGTTGCATTGCGGAATTCACAGCAGTGCTGTTCTTCCTGAACAAATGGCATTCCATGATGTTGGTCCTTCCATAGAAAAAGAGTCAAGACCCTTCAAACTCGAACAGTATCAGTAACAGACTGTGCTCCAAAGAAGAAACTCAAGTTCTTGTATTGTTGTTTAGAGTGGTTATACCCTTAGTGGTGTCACCATTTTTCTAGAGAATTCTCAGCTCATTGAGTAACTCCAGGAAGAAGTACTTAAGACCAGAAATGTTCTCAAGCCAACACTGTAGTAGTTTAACTTAGTTCATCTTTTGTAGGATGTGCTATGGATTATGAAGGTCACCAGAATGTTATTTTCAGTCTTGGATTTTAACGTTACATTAAATACATCCACCACATGTGGCCCCCTACCAACATGAAGGGATATAATGTATGCATTTCCAAGTCTTTATATAAGAACATGCCCCAAGGCGTGAATTGTGGAGATGACTTGAGTAACTTTGAAGGGGTTTAATTAGTGTGTGTTTGACAAGCATTACTGTTGTGCTGCAGAATTTTGTTAGTACCGTAATAAGCATGTTGTGATGTTACCCAAGGGAAAGGCATGAGCAGTAAATAGAAACACGTGTGTGTGTGTGTGTGTGTGCGCGTGTGCGTGTGCGTGTGCGTGTGCGTGTGCGTGTGCACGTCTGATATTACTCTCTGTTTCTCCAGCTTTATCGAGATGCTCTGGAATGTATGGACCTTCTCTCTCAGCGCTTGGCTTCACATAAATTTTTCTTTGGGGATTCGTAAGTCAGGCAAACCGACCAAACATCACGCACCATCATACCATATCATAACCAAATTCCAGTCTGTCTGAACTCACAAAATTGAAACTTGTTGCATAAAATTATGTAATACCACAAAGTGGTTTCATGTAAATACTCATTCCATTACGTGTTTTTTTTTTTTGTTTTGTTTGTTTTCTGTGTCATACCTATAGCCCCTCTTCTCTGGATGCCCATGTGTTTGGTCACTTGGCACCACTGCTCAAGATGAAGCTGCCCAATGCTAAGCTACAGCAGCACCTGAAGTCCATGGACAACCTCTCCAACTTCTGCTCCAACATCTTGACCCTCTATTTTCCTAGCGAGGGAGAAGGTGAGTGGTTCAGATCTCATGGAGAGTTAACCTATGTGGAGATGCATGGAGTTTTTAGGGGTCTGTTGTTATGATCAAAGTGGGAAATGTAGAGGAGATCTCGCCACTCCTGAATGCATGTGTCCTATGATGGGCTGACCTTCTGTCCAGACTCTTCACCTGCATTGTGTTTTGTGCTACTTGGAATAAGGTCCAGTCCCCCACATGACCCTCCACTCTATAATCAGTTGGGACATGGAGGGATGGATGGATGACTGTAATGATGACCCTCTTTTTAACTCTGGTGTTTATGTCAGATACTCCTGGTCGCAAGTTCTCCAGCCAGCCAGAGAGCAGCGACTTTGACAACGAGCCCCACAAGAGGCGCAACCAAGTGCTGTCGGTGTTGGTGGCACTGGGTGCCATGCTGAGCTACGCTCTTCTGACGGGCATCCTCTCCATCCAGCATGTGCGCCCGCAGGGGGCCCTGGACAGCTCCGAGAGACATGGGGTGGGCGCCCATGAAGAGGAGGACGACGACTAAGAGGGAGTTCAGAATGTGTTGAAGATCGAAAATGGCGCTAGGCTCTCAGGACCACGTGAAGGTGCGGGCTGGTGAAATGAGCACCAGGAGATGTCATGCATTAACTTGTGCTGGATGGACTGAAGAACTTGAAGGACGTTGGCATTTTATTGTGTTTCCCCCCCCCATGGCTAGTGAAGTCTCATTGGTACTTCAATGCACAGTAATCGTAAGTGGATCAGGGCGTTGGTCGTCATTGTCCATCTCCCATTTGCTGGCAAGTGTTTTCGGGGTTTAGCGGAGGCTAAGCTTTCTGTAAAGCAACTGCGTATCTCGGTCAAGAGTCACCTGGGTGGTCTCATTATAAATTGATGCGTAAGCCTTCTGTCTTTAGGTCTTGTTTTTAAGCCGTATGAAATGCTTTGTTAGATTTCATGAGGGAACAAGTATGTGGGTTTCTGGTTATTAAAAGCAGAACGACTGGACCACGTCTCGCACACTTGAGTTTTCACACTTGGTTTTTTGTTTGTTGGCCAACAGCATGTTGAACATAAGTCTTGGGATTTGCTTTGAAACAAAACAAGGCTTCGTAAAATTGTAGCTACCTGAATGGTTTTAAAAAGATTATAATTCTCACATCCCCCCCCCCCCCCCCTCCCGAGTTCTGTTCCGTGTTTGACTTGGTGTTGAACATAGAACAGAATTTGACATCAAAGGAGTTTCTGACCTGCCTCTGCATTTTATGTGAGAAGCCTGCAATATAATCGGCCAATTGATTTCCCTCCCTTCGTATCGCTCTACTCACTGACCAAGACATAATGTGGCCAATTTGCTATTTGGTAAATACTTAACTGGAGTAAAAAAAAAAAAAGAGAGAGAAAACGAAAGGCACTTCTCTCTAGACGTTTTACACTTGGACTGAGTTTAACTCCTTCAGATAAAGCTGTTAATCTTCGGTGTGAACCCAAGACTCCCAGTTTCTTTGAGGAACTCCATTATTTTGTTGCTCTCCTCTCCCATCAGTAACCTTGTACTACAGAAAGAATGTTGAAAATAGTAATGAGACGGTTATAATGCTCCCGGGCTTCCGGAAGCAGGCAGGTTGTGTCAGTCCTACACCCCCCTTCTATGTCTTCAGTGTAAATGCATTATTAATTGACCAGTGGCCCCTAACACTCTGCTGGGCGCTATGCTAATTGAACTTTCATTTACCCCGCTGCTGCTTGCAGACCTTTTTGCTGCTGATCGACCTTTACGGTGCATTTTGTCAATTCAAAAGCGTACAATATAATAATATATAATTGTGAGCACTATAAATAAATATCCATGTATTCTTCGTGGCCTTAACCTCACATGAGGTCAAACCGTGCACCGTTACGCTAGTAATTGTGCTACAGACCTTGACAGTGTCTGAGTTTGAGTCACGATTATACAACAGATTCCACTTGTCAACACAAATACCACAAAAATTGTGTATGACTGCCAAAATTCAATAGTTTTTAATGGTACTTACTTCTAAGCAGCCTTCTTTAATCGTAACTTTGTTCATCTGTCCATCCATCCATCATTGTCCTACACGAGGCTCTCATGGATCCTGAAGCCAGTAAGTGCAAGACGTGGGGCAAGAGACACCCTGGAATAGCGGGCCAGTCATCTGTTTTCTCCTTTTATTAATTAAGGAAATAAAGGCAAGTTTTTCATCATTCTATAAAACCAAGAATTTGCATTTCTAAGGAAGTTGTCATGGAACTAGCTGTAGAAACACTGCTCACTGAAACTGCTCTTGATAACACCTGCAGGAATGTTCTGGATGCAGTGACTTCAGTTGTATGTTGCCAAGTGACAAGTAAACCCTACCCCCCCCCCCCCCCCTTTCTGCTAAATTGCAGATGTTTCATTTTGTGATGTAAAAATGAGTCAGTCTTATGAGATGATATTTAAATGCACACATCCAAGTGTTTGCTATGACTGAGCTCTGGATCCAAATACTACAGACCAAAAATCTGGCCTAATTTTGCCTGTGACTTACTGTATCTGCCACGGTTTATGAAAACATAATTAGGAAGTCATTACTTTTATAATGTGTGTGCCATGCATTTTCCCCCAAAAGGAAGATTTTGTATTACGCTTTGTATGGGAATAGACATCAGGATATTCATAATTCTCAATTTCCTGGGAAAAATTCTGTCACCTGCCTATACTATGTATACAAAACTAAATGGTTTCTCAGTGGCCTGAAGTGCATTTCCTACNATAATTCTCAATTTCCTGGGAAAAATTCTGTCACCTGCCTATACTATGTATACAAAACTAAATGGTTTCTCAGTGGCCTGAAGTGCATTTCCTACAAGTAACAGTTCCTCTTAGTCTTCCAAACTTTCATAACTAACTTCCTTTGCGTTGGAACCAAACTTGGTTTTGATTTGTGGAGGGAATTTTCCTCACGAAACATCTCCCAGTAACATTAACCCCTGACATGCAGGGAGAGCAGCTGGTTTAATTGAATATAGATACTTTTTCTAAATAAACATCAACCTTCCACCACTTTCACTTTTTGTGGAGGACCTTCTGGAAGGGGATGAGAAGCCAAAGAATTTGAAGTCCTACTTAAGGTGCGTTCGCTAAAACATAACGATAAATGGCAATAACACTAACTAAATATATATACTTCACAGAACATCAAAGAGTGATTGCATTGACCTCATTTATTGCATGTCTTTTTATCTCTCTCAACTGTATTTCTGTTAAAGGCAATAGTTTCAAAATGTAAGGTTTATACGTTATGTGGTCAGTTTTAATTTGAACTGATTATGCAGAGAGACATTGTGGGAAAAGCAATCAAGGATAACTACTGGAAATGCATTGTGGGAAAATAACGTTCTCAGTGCAATGGTGCCTAGAACAAGCAGAAATTGAAATCGACTTAATTGTTTTGTAAAGCATAAAACAGTGATTTTGGGACATGGTTTATGCTTTGGTAGGCAGAGTAAGGGATCTTAATTTCAGATGGCAGTTTTCAAATGAATCCAAACAGAAGCCTCAGTCTGAGTTTATCATGCCACCCCTGTAATACTGCCACTTCGGTGGCATCTCCGCGGTTACAGACTCTGGGTTTTTGATTAGCAGTTGCCAAAAATCCACCCCCACCCCCACATTAGTGAATGTAATCTTCTCGCAGGGGGAACTGCATCTCATTTTCTTTACTTGACGGGCACCAATTAGAGAGATTTTTTCTCTCCATTACAAGGGCACATCATCATGTCACCCCATACAGCACTGCACCACATTTTATCCACTGGAAGGGCATCCATTAGGATAATTCCCCACATTCTAACACACATAGAGACACCCCATACAGCACTGCATCACATTTCCTCTACTGGAAGGGCATGAATTAGAACACTTAACCACAAATGATTCAACTCAAGAGCTGTGTGGTAATTAGCACAAGGAGGTGCAAGTGTGTGTAATGGGGGGAAACCCAAAAACCCCCGACCCTCCAGGACTGGAGTCTGACACCCATAGCTTAGACCAATGTAAACCAGCAAGCTCCTATGCTGATCCACTATCAGATTTCCCAGCCCCAATCCTAGAATTAACCTATATAAACAGGTCTTGGGTCTGCAAATGCTTAGTGCAAAACTAATGAACACTCATCCAATCCAAGAAGCCAAACCACAGATGTTTAATTTAAAATTCACAGGCACATCCAATCAGATTTCTGCGATAGGCATTGATTGGCGTAAATTGCAGAGTGCACTGCACACTTGATCATAGCGTTAATTTAAACCTATTCTTGATATAGGGTCGCGACTGAGCTGGCCTGGTAAAGATTGGGTCGCGGTGAAGGAGGTTGAGAACTGCTGCTCTATAGGACTCATAGTCCCAGGCACTCCAAAAGGCACTCAGTCATTTTTTTCCTGTGAAGGGCAGAGAGTGGTGGTGTTTTTGCCACTCTAGAGGACATTTTAACATTGTTTTTTCAGCCTTGGAACACCAAGAGGGGTGGTCGTTCCAGTCCCCATCCCTACCCCCAGTCCACCATTGCATCTTAGCCTTGGAGATGCCATGATTAGACAGTTGCGAAAAAAAAAAAAAAATACAATCAACAGTTTTGTTTTGTTGCGGTGTTTCACTGTTGCTACAAACAGTGAAAAGTCATCGTTTCACAGCTTTTGCGGCCGCATGCTGATTAAATGAATTCCCTGCAACTTCAATGGGGCCTCTTGGGGCCAGGTTTAATGACCCCGAAAATGATCTTACAAGAATTTCTGTTTGGGAGAAAAATCCTTTACTGAGATTTCCCACATTTTCCATGCATGCAGAGTAGGCCTATTCGGAGCCATACTGTATGATGGAATATGCTTTTTATACGACACTAATAAGTAAGGAGTTATTTATTTTACTTAATAAAAAACAGTCAGAGGCTAGAATGAGAATCTGGCTTTGTGTTTGCAGTTTGTTCATACTTTCCTGTCAAAATTATGAACCTTGAATGATTTTTTTGTATCCAAAAACTGAAAAAGGACGCAAAACGGACCGATTGAGTAGGATGGAAAACGTTAAGACTGATAAGTTCCTTTATAATCGTGCCGTTTTCTGAAAGGAAAATACAAACACAAAAATATTCGTATGTTTGTCCTTACAATTTGTTCTAATATTGCAAACAGTATAATATTACTGTCAGGAGATCACGCACAATATTAACGCTGTCATTGTAAATAAGCGGATATCTAACAGCCGCTCTTGTTCTTGGTAGTATTACACGGTTACTGCGTGTTGCTCTGACCCGTTTCATGTCGGTATTTGGAAAAATAGACTATTATGACTTCTCCAGAGGAGGGAAGCTAGACTGAAAAGAGAAGCTAGACTCCAGAGAAGAGTGCAGCTAAGTTTAAGGGCTCAAATTTCACTGTGGATCTGACTCAGTTGGTCACTGCAGTTTTCCGTGCTGAGGTCATCTGTATTTTTCAGTCTTTTAACAGAAAGTATGTTGATGTATCTGAGTAGTCGTCGATTTTATGAGCACTGACATTAGTTTTCCGTATAACTAACAGTAGACCATTTTTTTTACTCTCCCAAAACAATGTTGACATTAATCTGCTAACCATATGAGCACAATAATGTTGGGTATATAGTTTTTATTAATTTTAATAGTGTTAACTCCAAGTCGTTTCTCTAAACACAAGCGCAATACCACAAAGTTCTTTTCAGTGATGCACCCTTTTTTAATCAGTTCCCAATAATTAATACATTCTCTCAAACTGACGCGCAGACAGCCCACAAAAATGTAGCCCATGCTTTTGTCGCAGAGGACAAATTTTCTTGTCGAAACCGAAGGTGCGTTAAAGTGAGTTTGTTTTCCATTAATGCTGTAATTTCGCACCGTTGTCAAAGTCCGTTTTATAGCAAGAACTGGTCGAGAATTCCTTTCCTTTTTGGTCCGTACCGCAAACATACATATTCGTATGGTTATAAACCAGATCGGTGTGTTTTCCCCCATATTTTCCATTTAAAAGTAAATGTGTTCCCTGTGAGCTCCCTCGCTCGAAGGATCACTTCCACTCGGAGGGAGAGGGCAGCATTCCTGGGAGGCGTGCGGCGCGAGAGCCAGTGCTCCCTGTTGTCTCTTGAACCCGGGTCAGAGCGCCACTTCAGAGTCTGCAAAGCTACTTGTCAGCCACATTTGGGATTTGAAATCCGCAGTCACGACGGCACTTTCTTCTTCCTTTAGCATCAGAAGAGCAGGATACTCCTGGCAGACTTGCGCGCACCGCTTCTTGGAACATGGGTGCTGTGCGAATACTGACTCTTTTATTTACACTCTCCGCGTTGGTATATACCGGCTTTTCCGAATCGTCCAATTTTCAGGAGATGCAAGGTAATATGAAATACATCAATTGTGATCTAATGCATTTTAATGATTTCTATTGTCCTGTCCGAATAGCCTAAATGTTTGATGCAAAAATATACTTTTTTTTCAAATTGTATTTAATTAAGCACGTTTGGATTTCAAAAAATGGTAGTTTAGTAAACGGTACATTATCTACAAGCTACGGTAAATAATAAGCTCCGTATGTTATGGAACTGAAGATTATGAGCTGAGGAAAGCGTCTTTCTAAAGGATGCCCACTCTTGCGTCTGGACGTGCTGTTGTAAAACTACAAAGCTAAGCATTGTGCACGGAGTTAAGAATTAACTTCTGCGACAATGCAGGTCGGCTGCTGGAAGGGGATGCGCCTTTGTAGCTCGCCTTTGTCATGCGCTGCACGGGCCAGGGATCTTTTCCTATCAGCTCGGCTGTATTGACATCTGAATAACGCTTAAAGTGCGAATGAAGTGGAACTAAGGGTTTACACAAGATACACAGGATCGCAAGTTTGAGCATCCTCAAAGACGAGCTTAATTTGACAATTTAACACTTCATAAAAGAATCATAATACCTTATCCTTTACAAAACAAACACTAACGTAACAATTATTTGAATTGGATGGTGCAATCAAATGAATCATGAATGGTCATAGAGATGGATGATTGATAGAATTTTATTGAGCCCAAGAGGATGCTGATATCTAAAGGGTGGAGCATCCCTTTATCGACTTTTCCGAGTGATGTGTGATAATATTTAAGCCGTGGATTTTTGCCCGCAGCCTCAGCGTCATTTACATGCGTACAACAGACCGGAGGTGCAGTTTTACAGCCGCGAAGGGCCCATAGCAGAGCATGAGTGATTCCATCTGGTAATGTGTCTAAACTCTCTAAACGCGCATTCAGGGGCCGGAGGCACGAGCCTGATCTGATGTTCTCCGAGCGCAGTAACATTCAACGAGCAGATCTGTCGCTGCTGGCGGGTGCGGGCTGATGGATGTGCGTTATTGATACCCCGCTTAAGAGTATGACGGATATTTTTGTGTTATTCATGAATTAATAAGGATCACTTTATTCCATTTTACTTTAACGGGATTTTGAGATGTCGCAGCCTTTAACGTTATTCAACAAGCATCCCCAATGTGACTTTTGTGTATCAGGCTAAGGAGAGAAGTATTTTGCCCCCAGTTCTTTCAGTTTGTCTTATGTACCATTAATCTGAATGACTATTCGCAGGCTGTGGATGAATCAGTTACTCAAGGCCCTTGGCCTGACTTCCACCAGAACCCAGTACGTCACTTCACTGACTTTTTCCTTCTCATTTTCCGCTTGCATCGCCATGGTAGCATCCAGCAATTACACCCCAAAAGTGTATGGTGTGCAAAATGACAGTGTTTCCCAATCCGGTCCTTAGAGACCCACAGTCGGCCCATGTTTTTGCTCCCTCCCAGCTCCCTGCCAGACCGTCCACATTTTTGCTCCCGAGAACGTGGACTGTCTGTGTGTCCCCGAGGACCAGGGGAATTCTGCCGTAGGAGAGGAAAACGCAGGTCCGTTGGAATGTCACAGAGTGCTCTGGGACTCCCCTGTCTGGTTGTTCTTACTTACGGGGAACTTTTTAATCTCCAGCTTCTGTCTGGGTGACTTACTGCCAGCACCAGTGTGGGAGTTCGGGACTTATGAATGAGCAGCGATGTGGGAGCGGATGCTAATGTTCCAGTGGAGGCGGGGCTTAAACGTGGAGGCGGGGCTTAAAATGAAGAGTAACACATGGATGAGGAAGGGAACTGGCGGGAAAGAGCCCGCATGACTTTGATGAAGGATGGCAGGTAGCTGCTTTTTAATGAGTTAAAAGCAAAATGAATCCAGTCGTTTGAGAAGGTGATTCAGTCACTTGGTGGTCAGTGCTTGTTAGGGTGTCGGAAACGAAGTCCCCTGAAGGGAGGCTAGTTATTTACAGTTTACAGCTGATTATGTCTTCAGAAACAACTAGTAAAAACTTTAAGTAAAAGGTGAGTCTTTTCTCTAAAGACTCAAGCAGTTTCAGTCTAAGTGAATCTTCTTCTTGTTGTTTCCTGTCAGAAAATGGTGCAATATTACCAGTCCAGCTGTATGAATGGTATTAATCAATACTGCAGTTAAACTGCAGCTAGTGTTCATCCACGTACAACAAACTGGCAGAGCAACACAGCTACAAAAGGTAGTAATGAATAAAATTTTGGGCTAGTATTTGATGTTCTAAAAAAAGTTTGATAATGTCGGTTGATAGTTTTAGAATTCAGTCTATGATCGTGTAATTATACATGTATGTGCTACCGTCAGTTGGTCAGAGCAGCCCTGTATTTTAGGAGCTCTTTTCTTTTCTTTTCTTTTTTAAGTGTGATTCTCCTTCTGTACATTTTTTATAAGTGCCTGAGAGTGTGCTGAATAGCTCAGCTTCATTTGCACACAGGGACCTAATTTACGTGATGGAAACCGTTCTGTTCATGTGAAAGTATGTGGAAGGATATTATGGAAAGAAAACTTATGGCTTAGGTTTATTGCGCATGCAAAAACAACACAGTAGGAAAACAGCGTAATTGCCTGGCGGTGCATTTTTTTTTCTTTCCTTGTCCAGTCAAGTGTGGCGGTTTGGGACACGGGGAGAAGGTAAGTAAACAAAAACACAAAGGCTGCCTCTCAGAGCCTAAGGCAAAGCGTCTGGAATTTTTTAAACATTGCACCATGCAATTAATGCGCAAATCATTTTTGTGTATGGAACTGCAACCTCCAACTTAAGAAGCAGTATTTGACAGTATAAACAGTCATCAACAATATTAAACTTTTAATTATCCTGAAATGGGCTCCTTTAACCAATATAGATCATAGTGAGTGATAATGATTGGTATAAATATTGAGTTATTTTTACTAAGGAAATCTTAGGTTCGTAGGACTCTTTCCCTCCATTGTTGTGATTGACATTCTATGTTCATCGTGAATGTTGTCCTTCTCCATTGCAATTACATTTGTTTAGCAGATGCTTTTGTCTTAAGTAATGTACAACCGAGACATCTGGGTCAGTCAGTCCCTGGGGCGACGGGGGTCCTGCTCTAGGGCCCAAAAGTGAAATTAGTCTGCCAACCAGGGCTTTGAACTGACGACCTTCCGATGACGGGCACAGAATTATGAGACACTGAGCCACACACCTTCCTGGAGCACCCCGTGCCAATGTTGTTCTCGCTCCTGCCTTGTCTACCTTTGGCATCCGCCCCCCCCCCCACCCCCGGCTCTCATCCTCGCTCCCTCACCCCCCACATCCTTGCTCTGTCTTGTTGCCCAGTGATCGACGTGCTGACGCTGCAGGATGCCAAGCAGATCACAGCGGCGGTGGGGAAGGTGACCACGGCCCTCGGTACCGTCAGCGACATGTACGTCGCCTCCACCTTCCGCCTGCCGCCGAAGCTGGGGGGCGTCCTGCTGGGCCTCTACAACAAGCAGGACAACAAGAAGTACCTGGAGGTAGCCATCATGGGGAAGATCAACAAAGGTGCGGAACTCGGGACTGGCGCTGTGTTCGGGGGGGGATCTTCTCAGTTATTTCATATCCATCCTCAAATGTTTGTCCTGTGCAGGGTCACTGTAAACCTGGAACCTTTTCTGGGAAACACAGGGCACAAACCAGGGCCCGCACTGGATGGGATGCCAGGCTATTACAGGGAATTCACTCATGCACTTGGAATCAGATTCAGACTCTTTACGATCATGCAGCCAAGGCCAGAAGAAATTTTGTTTTGCACAGCTTGTTACTGATGGAGACACCATGAGAATAGACAGCTAACAATTATGGCAGGAGATAAACACCCAGAACTAACAAAGCAAGAACCTAATAAAGAGAATATTCAATGACCGGAACATTCAGGAAACACGCTGTAGATGTGTTGACCTTCACCCCCATTCCCTGGAGGCTTCTCTCCTGTTTTCTCTCCCTCCTCACACCCTCCCTTCTTCATCTTCCATCTTTCAATTGCCCCTTGTCTTCCAGTTCTTGTGCGTTACGTGCGGGAGGACGGGAAACTCCATACTGTCAACCTCCAGAACGCCAACCTGGCAGACGGACGGACCCAGTCCGTCATACTGCGCGTAGCAGGACTCCGCAGGGACAACCTCCAATTAGAGTTATACATCAACTGCCGATTGGCCGATTCCAGCCAGGGTCTACCCCCCTTGGTGCAGTTGCCGGCTGACCCAGAGCTTGTGGATATTCGTAATGGGCACAAGGCATATGCTAGGCTGCAGGTGATGTACACTAAGTTCTCTTGAATTTACTTTGTGTATCCATTTTTAATAGATAAATATTGTGGTTCAAAGTATCTGCTCATGGGAGTTTTACTTACACAAAAAAAAATGTTCTGAGGAGAGCAGGAAAAATGATTGGTTCAGAGATAACCAATCGGATTGCAGAGAAGGTGAGCCCAATAAACTACAGGAGGCGGGTCTTGGTTCCACCATCTCTAGTTGCTTGAACCTACCTTCTCTACAATCTAATTGGTTAGATTCATTTTTCCTTCTGACATTTTTATATAAGTTAAACTTACACGAGCAAAGTATCCTTGTGCTTAAGTGTCATAAAGTGTTACATTCTCATTATTTCTTCAGAACTAGCCAGTTTTGTAAGGAAAATACACTGCACTCTCCTTTGCTTAAATTGTACTGGATTTACAACAGGATTGCAAATTATCAGTCTATTTGTCAAACCATTAATCTGTTTTTCATCAGACGTAACTCTGTGACATTTCAGGGTGCCGTAGAGTCTCTGAAATTGGCTGTGGGGGGGTCTGTAGCCAAAGCTGGCGTTCTGACTGACTGCCCCTTCCAGGGTGATTCCTCCTCTTTGCACAACACAGGTAATCAGCCATTTTTATATATACGGTCTTTAATGTCACTATTGTCAAAATTTACTCGTCACGTAAATTCGGGTCAACCATATAGTGTGTCCTCACAAATTTATTTACAAAGCTCTTTATTGGCATTGATTAAGAGGGATTTAGTAGGCCAAGCTGAATAAAGTTTTATGTGGTGTGTAATCACTCTCTTCCTGTTAAGCCAGTAACAAGCAAACTTAGCCAGCTTTGTAAACATAGCGTGGTAGCCAAAATTACACAACGTTAAGTTTATATATTGATATATGATGCACATGAAAGAGGAGAGGCATACTTTGTTCAGATAGGGACATTTTCTGCGGTCAGTAAATAATACTTTACAAGTCGCGATTATCTCGGGGCTTATAGATCGTTCTTTGTACTCTCCAACACCCCCATCTTGTGGCGACGTAGTAGTATAGCACGTATGTATATCTACTGAACAGAGACATACCTCGGTGTCGCCCTAGCGAATTGTCGTTGTTGTGGTCAAAGCTGGGAAAAACTTGGGTTAACGGTAAAGCATTTAATAATCTACTATTTCAGTTATAATATTAGATTATGATTCATAATTACATATTCAGTTACTCATTGCTTTGTCAGGGCCCTTCTCACCGTGGCTGTAATTTTTCAGCTCCCCAAAAATACGTATTTTATTTAATTTTTTACTGATTTGGTTTGCTGTTGTTTTACACTACACTACAAAACTTCTAAAGATTTTCCTTTAGAATTCCTAATAATATGATTTTTATATGATATCATTTTTATTACATGTTAATGGTTTCGTCTGATTACATGCAGTGCTCACAGAAAGTCTTGGGACATTTGTTTAATTCAGTAAAAATATTGCAAATTTATTGGCTTTAAAACAAAAACCATTACTACATTCTTTTTACAAATATATATTTCGCATTAGAAACAACTACTAGTTTTAAGTCAAGCATTCATTTCAAGTAGTAATAAATTGAAACCCAAATTATAGTTCTGAAAGAGCTGTTCTGAGTTTAAAAAGTTGAGTGCTTTTTAATTAGTAACATCTCTGCAATACCATAAAACACCAAACATTTGTGTTTAGTATCCTTTTGGGAACCAGTGACTATAACTGCATAGTTTAATAGCAAAATGGCAAGACAGAGCTGAATGAGTCAGTCAAAAAATTTAAATTCAATAAAAAAAGAAAATGTTTGTACTGAAGATATGTGTAAATACGTTAAACGTTACTTGTCAATGGACTTTTGTTATAAAACCAATACATTTGCAACATTTTGACATAATTAAGCAAATGTCCCAAGACTTTCTGTGAGCGCTGCGTATAACGTCAAACTAACCATTAATATGATGTTATTTATGTCGTGTATAGAAGTCATGTATGTGCCTCAATCCTATTTCAGTGACAGGAGAAGTGAACTCTGTTCTTGGTGAGTAGCTACCTTATAAGTCCCCTGCTTATCAAAAATGTAACATTGCCCTCTTTTTCCAACACTGTGTTTTCTGTGTACAAATCAATTGTGTGATATGTCACTTGGCCGTCCTGTCAGGTGACCACACAAAGGCTCTGATTGGGCAGCTAATTATCTTCAACCAGATTCTGGGGGAGTTACGGCAGGACATTAGAGAACAGGTAAAGGACTGGGAGATGGGAAACAGAGAGTGACATTGTGGAATGCCCTGAGGAACACGAGTATGGTAGATGATTTTTGACCATCTGAGAGAGGTTTTTGCTGGGTGTGTGTTTGTTCTTCTTGCCATGTTTGTATGTCTGTGTGTGTTTGTATGGCTGTGTGTGTGTGTCCATACATACACCTGTGTGACCCTCCTTGACCTTCATGCTTCTGTGTAGGTGAAGGAGATGGCTTTGATCAGGAACACCATACTGGAGTGTCAAGTGTGCGGTGAGCAGTTTCTTGACACGTCTTTGACGTCCATTGCATGCGCCTTCTCTAGTCAACATAGCTGTATGTAACACAACGCCCTTGGCAGAAGTAAGGCGGGGTGGGCTTGTGCGGAGAGTGAAATCTGGGTCATCCTCAGGCTTCCATGACCCCCGATCCCGCTGCTCACCCAACCCGTGTTACAAAGGCGTGTCCTGCATGGAGTCCGCGCAGTTCCCAGGGTACCGCTGTGGGCCCTGCCCCGAGGGCATGACCGGCAATGGAACTCACTGCCAGGATATTGATGAGGTACCATCTTCACCTGTATAAAGTCCCTTAGGTCAAGCTCCTTCTGTTCAGTCAGCTGCAGTTCATCTGGGTGGGTGTATTTGCATGCGGCCACTATGACTGATGTGCAGCTGTGGCCCGAGCACCAGACCAGCTCGTGTGAAAAAGCCGTTGTCCCTCCCACAGTGTGCTCTTGCACAGCCGTGCTTTCTGCCCTCGGGGTGCATCAACACGGCCAAAGGCTTCTCCTGTGAGCCCTGCCCCCCCGGGTTTGCGGGACCACCTCTGAGCGGAGTAGGCGTGGAGTACGCCAAAAGTAAAAAGCAAGTAAGGAGCACGAGTGCAGGCTCTCACACACACTCCAGAGATCCTTCTGTAACATGTCTGTTTAACCACATTCATGCTGGCTTAGTTACAGACATACATGCTCACCTGTAGTATAGATGAGCATCTCGACATTGGCTGCACATATTATCACATGACTGTTGTTTGCAAGGTGTAACGCAGACTTTTAAACCATGAAAAGCAGGTGAATCTGTGACTTTGTGCCTTCGGATTGCTGTAGGAGTGCAGAGACATCGATGAGTGTGTTGAGGTGGACAACGCTTGTGCCCCCAACTCTGTGTGCACCAACACAGTGGTGAGTTCTTGCGACACTGTTTGATAAATCAAAGGTGGCTCAAATTTCTACCTTCTGTTTTTGCATCCTTTAGTTTCTAAAAATATGGGGTGGAACTGCAGGATCGTGGGAGTTTTACTTGCACAAAAATGTTCTGAGGGCAGAACAAAAAATGATTGGTTATAACCAATCAGATTGTAGAGGAGGTGGGTCTAAGCAGCTAGAGGAGGCGGGACCAAGACATCTGATTGGTTGATCCTGCCTAGTTGCTTGGACCCACCTCCTCTACAATCTGACTGGTTATCTCTTTAAACCAATCATTCTTTGCTCTGCCCTTACACATTATTGCGTAAGTAGAACTCCCACCAGCGATCTGCAGTGTCAGAAATAAATGGTGTGATTAGAGAGGGTAACTGCGGAGTGTCAGAAGCTCTGCTTGTTGCCTTCCTCTTACTCTCTCTGTCTCCCTGTATTCCTGTTCACACCCAAGGGCTCCTTCAAGTGCGGGCACTGCAGAGCGGGCTTTGTGGGGAACCAGACGGCCGGCTGCCTCCCTCGGAGGTCTTGCGCCACGTTGAGCTTCAACCCCTGTGATGTCAATGCGCACTGCATCATTGAGAGGAATGGGGATGTGTTCTGTGCGGTGAGTGGGGGGTGCGCTGGTATGCTATTTAAATCGAGCCAGTGATGAGCCTTCGAGTGGGGGATGGGCTAGCATTAGCGTGTACCACATGACACGGCCCTGTGTGTGTGCCGTGGTGGGACACTTACGGCCACGTGGTTAGCTACATGCTGGTAATGAACGCAAGTTTTTCCTCCCTCATCCAGTGCAATGTGGGCTGGGCTGGGAACGGCAACACCTGTGGCCCAGACATCGACATCGACGGCTACCCGGATGAGAATCTGCCCTGCATAGACAACGACAAGCACTGCAAAGCGGTGTGTGAAGCCCTCGTTCCCTCACACCTACCTGCTCGATGCACACTCTGGAGGCCCATAGTGGTGTGTGGTGGGGCCTCTTGACACAGTCATGAGGAAGTTCGTTACTCTTTTAACATTCCTCGTGTTCCCCTAACAGGACAACTGTGTTTACACACCCAACTCTGGGCAGGAGGATGCAGACAATGACGGTATTGGGGACCAGTGTGACGACGATGCCGATGGGGATGGAATCAAGAACGTGGAGGTGTCTGTGTCCGTCCTGACCCAGAGTTTTGTTGTATATGTACCCCGGCAATAAAGAGATTTTTATCTTTATTTTATCTTTATTCTGTCCTATCGTTAATTCATAGAACTGTATAATGCAAAAATCAAGTAAACACAACAACTCCTTCTTTAACGACTACCTTCGTTAGTGTCCATCCGCGAATACGATGGGAATAAAAATTTAATTTTCCAACAAATCCACGACCAAATTTTGTACACCTAACAACAATGCACGCCAGAGAGAGATCTTTCAAGCAGAATGTACAAAATGTTTTTAAAATGTCCACTTCACAAAGGATTACAGAAACTGAGTATGAAGGGCTGAAATAAAGTCGTAGGCACGGTCGCTCTCACGCCTAGGCTACCGTGATTTTCCCTCAGCAACCATTTTGCTTAACGCCCTGGCTGTTGGAATGGAACTTAGCCACTAAACGAGGACTGGTTGTAGCGTGATGTGCACATCTTGTCTGGTTTTCGTTAGTGTCAGTAACTGCTTATCTCTGTCTTTACAGGACAACTGCCGGCTTGTGGCCAACAAAGACCAGCAGAACACTGACACGGACTCTTTTGGTGACGCCTGCGATAATTGCCCCAATGTTCCCAATATCGACCAGAAAGACACGGACAACAATGGCGAGGGTGACGCATGTGACAATGACATCGATGGAGATGGTAAGAGTCTCCTGCTCTGTCGCTTCCCCTTTAAACCCCCCCCACACACACACCCTTCAAGGAATCTCCACCCCTCTCTGCCCCTCTCTGTCAGGCATCCCCAACGTGCTGGACAACTGCCCCAAGGTCCCCAACCCTATGCAGACAGATCGGGATGGCGATGGGGTCGGCGATGCCTGTGACAGCTGCCCCGAAATCAGTAACCCCATGCAGGTCAGGGGGGAGTGGGGGGCGCTGTGAACACTGCTGGTGAGAACAGACAGTGTGGTGTGCAGATACTGTAGACTCTTAAATCCATGAAGATGGATTTCCATTTGCATTGCCTAAATATGGCTATTTACCAAAGGTATGAACCAGTTATTAACTTATATTAGGGACTGCGGTACTGTATATAGATCAGTTTTTTTAGATCAATCATTCACGGTCATTAAATGTATTATACCTCTCACTGTAATGCATTATACCTCTCACTGTAATGCATTATACCTCTCACTGTAATGCATCATACCTCTCACTGTAATGTATTATACCTCTCACTGTAATGCATCATACCTCTCACTGTAATGTATTATACCTCTCACTGTAATGCATCATACCTCTCACTGTAATGCATCATACCTCTCACTGTAATGTATTACACCTCTCACTGTAATGCATCACACATCTCATTGTAATGCATCACACATCTCATTGTAATGCATCACACACATTTATTTCCTGAAAGGGGGCCTTTCTCAGCCTCTACAGATATATAGTGCAGAACTAGAGCACAGATTAATGTTAGGAAGTAACTAAACAGCAGTATAACATGACAAATCACATTTGATCTAACAACGGAATACGACTCAGCATTATTCAGTAACATTACAACTAACAATGAAGTGAAAGAAAGATGGGATGAGTTTCTCATGACAGGAATTTAAGGGCCCTGTTTTGAACATTGTCTGGCGCCTCTCTCTCCTCAGACAGATATAGACAATGACTTGGTGGGAGACGTCTGTGACACCAACCAAGACAAGTAAGTCTGTGTGCCACATGGCAGCACACCTGTTCCATTTGTCCAAGCTGACTCTCACACACACACACACACACACACACACACATGTAGGGTAAACATATCCTTATGGGGACCGCTCATTCATTTCAATGGGAAAAATGCTAACGCTAACTATGACAACCTTAACCCCTACCCAGCCCTAACCTTAATCATAAGTAACCGAACAGAATACAAGTCTATTGCCATTTTTAGTTTCTTGATTGCAGTCATTGAAAACATGCCCCCTACAATGTCAAAATAACAGGTTTTTATTACATAGTGTATATTTGGTCCTCACAATGTAATGTATACTTGGACCACACACACACACACACACACACAGCTCATTCACTCATTCACACACACACTCTGCTTCTCAACAGATGGTCGACTGGACTGCTCACAGGTTCTCTTACACAAAACTGAATGCTTTATGGCCCTTGAATTTTTATTGAACTCAGTGGAGGTGTGTGGCTTTCGGTATTTTCCTTAAATAGAGACACATACACTCTGTCCCAGGTCACTGTACAAACAGATCAAGTTAAGACTAAACCATAATGTGGTGCAGAGCCTTGACACCTGTTTGATACCTGTTGCCATGGCTACGTGAGAATGTGGTCACATGACAGTAGTCGTGTTGTGACTGGCTTGTTTCTACCCATAAAGAGACGGGGATGGTCACCAAGACTCGCGAGATAACTGTCCAGACATCCCCAACGGGTCACAGCTTGACTCTGACAATGATGGCATCGGTGACGATTGTGACGACGATGATGACAATGATGGGATCCCGGACTTTGAAGGTCCTGGACCGGACAATTGCCGGCTTATTCCCAATCCCAATCAGAAGGATTCGGATGGTAAACCTTCATTTGCATATTAATCTGTAGGCGTATGAAATGGCTGGTTATGCTTCTTTCAGACAGATTTACATTATGTTTTATTGCATTTTGAACCAAAAGCAGCAAAACACCTTCATGACGTTCTGTAAAGTATTATATTATATTGTATTAATCGAATATAGAATATTGTACTGGCCAAAGCAAGCCAATAAACAAGTAATAAACTATTAATAAACTGTATGCTAAACACTGTTTGGCCTTTGGGTGGTATTACTGCCAGGTTGTTGTTAAAGACGTGACTATATTGTAGATATTATATGAATAGTTCAGTTAATATTGTACATGTACAGTCTGGATGTTTACTGTTCATCTCACCAGGTAATGGGGTTGGAGATGTATGTGAGAATGACTTTGACAACGACACCGTGATGGATCTCGTCGACGTGTGCCCGGAGAGTGCGGAGGTCACGCTGACCGACTTCAGAGCTTATCAGACGGTCATCCTGGACCCTGAAGGAGACGTCCAGATCGACCCCAACTGGGTGGTGCTCAATCAGGTGAGAGGTCACCACTTCCTGTTCTGTACCTCAAATTCTTTTGCTTTTAAAAAAGGGCGAAGCAGATGAATTAGAATGTCTGTTACTGATTGTCCACTCTTGGTTCTAGGGTATGGAGATCGTACAGACCATGAACAGTGACCCTGGTTTGGCTGTGGGTACGTCTGTGCTAACTTCTCTAACCCTACATCATCTTTTGGTCCTTGTCACCTTCATCTGTACTGGTTCTCCAATCACCGAGGCCCCTGGTTAATCTCTGCTTCTTCCCTCTGCCCAGGCTACACGGCCTTCAATGGAGTAGACTTCGAGGGCACCTTCCACATCAACACGGTGACGGACGACGACTACGCCGGCTTCATCTTTGGCTACCAGGACTCCTCCAGCTTCTACGTGGTCATGTGGAAGCAGACGGAGCAGGTCTACTGGCAGTCGGTGCCCTTCAAGGCAACAGCCGAGCCGGGACTGCAGCTCAAGGTGGCCACCTGTTAGCCAGTGTCTGTTGTCATAATACCTGTACCTGTGTTACCTGTGTTATGCCCATAATCAATGATGACTCTAAGTAAAGCACTACTCTTCTGCAAAGTATGAGAGCAGTCACTCAATTTAGAATTAACAGAATTCTCAGAAACATCCATGAAACTTGATATTGAGATATCTAGGTCTCCAGTATAGACAGCTCAAACCCTGTCACTAATGTTATTATTGCTGTTCAGTGGGCCCATTCAGTTTTACCCTGAATTGTCAGTTTTTTTGGCTATCTTAGCTGTCATTTTGTCCCTGTACACCTGCTGTCCACATGTGAAACTGATATGTATGGCCAGCTGTACACCTGCTCTTAATTTAAATTGGACACAGATGGCTTCTGAGTGAACGTGTGACAGCAGGTCACTCCGACAGCTGTTTGGTGATGTTTACGACTATCTTGACCCAGGCGGTGAAGTCGCGGACCGGCCCAGGGGAGTTCCTGCGCAATGCCCTGTGGAACACAGGGGACACGTCGGGCGAGGTCAAGCTGCTGTGGAAGGACCCCCGAAACGTGGGGTGGAAGGACAAGACTTCATACCGCTGGCATCTCAGTCACCGGCCCCAGGTGGGGTACATCCGGTAAGCCCAACCCCCATCCGATAAGCCCAACCCCCATCCGATAAGCCCAACCCCCATCCGATAAGCCCAACCCTCATTGCCATCCAGATATTGGAAGCGTTCTCCTCCATTCAGTTGGAACTCTTCAATTTTAAAAAATAAGATCATATTGAAAATAAGTTTTGTATAAATGCGTTACTTCATTCTGGACAAAAAAAAACACAAGAATGCCTTTTCACGCTTTGTTATGTTCGTGTTCCTTTATTTCAAGGTTGCCTGGATAACTGGGGCCTTGCTTCTTCACAGGGAACAATGTGAACTCACTGTAGGTTGCACTGCAGACTTGCCTGTTGCGGCAGCAGTAACTGTTTGTGGGGAAATGGAAAAGTGTAACTGCAGTGTGAAGCACGCTATGATTCTTATTGACATTGCTAGCCTAAGTTTTGCTAAATTCAGGGTCTGAAAAATTGATGCAATCGAGGACATTGGGTGGCAAAACAGGATAATTATGTGCAGGAACTGCTCCCAAAATTTAATATAATTAATTAATTTATTTATTTTCTTTTGGGGGGGGGGGATTAAACCTCTGTGACTTTACAGACGCCTGGCCCCCAGATCACCTATTGTCCTTGTTGCTATGTCGACCAAATCCTTGGCAGGAATTTTCTGGGCACCCGTTCATATGCAGATCCAGAGGAAACTACTGCAGAGTGGGGGGTCTGAGAGGGAGAGGAAAACGAAGAGGGGGGAGATCAAGAGCAGGGAAGATGGTGAAGGAGCATCTGGAAGCAAGAGAAACAGGCAATAAGAAAAAACACGGGGAAAGTGAAGATGGACAGGAAAGGCAGCTGTAGGTCGAGATAAAGCCCTATGAGGGCATTCCTTATAAGAGGCTCAAATCTTAAGAAGTTTATCCATCCAAGACAGAGTATAAATAATTCCAGTAGAGATGGATGCTGGATGAAGAAAAACATAAGTCAATCACGAAAGAGACCGACATTATGGGGCTACGAGGCAGAACTAAAAGCATGGCTGCCCTTCAGATTTCAAAAACGGATTCTTTTTACTCGAACACGGTGAGCTGTCCCTTTTTCCCTGAGAGGAGCCTCTTCCACATTCTTCCCATTAGCATGTAGAGAAAGAGGGGGGGTCCCCACTGGGGCGAGCGGAGCTGTGAGCCAGGCCTTTGTCGAGGCAACGAGGCCCTTTGAGACGGCAACAGAAAGGCACCTGCTTTGTATTCTGCAAAGAGGGGTGAACAGCCGCAGCGGAGCTCCAGCGCGGCCGGTACCGCCCCCCTCCTAGCATTGCGTCATCGCGGGACGGTGTTTTCCGAGTGCGGCCCACATACTCCGAAGGTCTGCTATCCCCGGGCCCTCTCTTCCAAAGACAGCTAGTGGGAGTCACTATTCCCATAATGCCTTGCTGAATGTCAAGGCCTTGATTGGGTATCCATGTGTCCAGCCTGGCAAGTATGCACTGCATCTGATGGTCAACCATGAAAACTCCCGTTAGTGGCCGTGTAACGTCTTGAAGTCTGTTCTGCTGGTGCTACACAGGGTGAAGCTGTACGAGGGACCAGTACTGGTGGCGGACTCTGGTGTCGTCTTTGACACTTCCATGAGGGGAGGACGTCTGGGTGTGTTCTGCTTCTCACAGGAGAACGTCATCTGGTCTAACCTGCGCTATCGCTGCAACGGTACATGACGCACGTACACACAACCTCCCCCTGTCACTTGGCTTCCCCTGGACTTAACCTGTCAGCCCGTTAATCTCGATCTAACTAGAACTCCCAAACCTGTCTTTTTTCACCAGACACTCTGCCAGATGACTTCAATCACTACCGCCAACAAGTGCAGATGAACCTCATGGTGTGAGGAGCGTGAATCAGAAGACAAAGAGTGTTGACCCAGAGACCGCAGCACAACTTGTGTCTCTGCCAACTGCTGTGTGCGTTTGTGTGTGTGTGTGTTACTTGGGACGGAAACCAGACCCTTTGTAAGCAGACTCATCTGTTGTTCTGAATGGTAACAGCTGAATTAAATAGATAATTATGTATGTAACGTGTGCCCTGGGATGTAGGGGTGTCCTTAGCCTTGTTTTATAACAGAGACTCTAGGCTCACTGTACTGGGTGTGGTATGGAAAAGGACAGAATGACTGGAAAATTACAGGCATTTCCTCAGGCTGCGTGGCCACGATGTGAAGGTAGCACTGCGCACACCCGATTAGCAGAACATTTTTTGGATATTTGTCTGTTTCTGGGAGTCCAGGTGCGTGTGTGTGGCCAGCGCACACGCATAGCTCAGCGTGACCATACAGATAATGGGGTGCTGTCATTCTGACGCCACTAAAACAAAGTAACTTATTTGAGTTTTAACTCCCAGTCAGGTTGTCTCTTTCATCTCAGCTCTACCAATAAACAAACAGATAAATGCAAAGATATAAGCTAGCATGTTTCTGGAAATGAAGAGTATGGTTCCGGCTGATGGTTCTAAAATAACTTCAGGAATTGCTTTGTATAAATGTTGAGTAGTTAAAAATTACATAAAGAAGTGCTTTAAAATATTAAATATGCATTTATTTTGAAAGTCAAGATAAAACATACAAATACACATTGTCCAGTTGATCCCGTCTGTTGCTGTAGTTTGATATATTTTTATGAATTTTGGTGCACATGCATTCTGTATTTAAGCTTGTGAGTCATCAGCTAATAATCAAATATGAAATAAAGCCCCAATAACCAGTAGGACCATTTCTGAACTGGAGTTTTTAATGTAAAACTACAATGTGATGCTATACTCATTGTATAAATCGCATGTCATTGACAAAAAGTTCATAGAGTGGATTATGTTCTAGATTATTCTCTTTTAATTTACCAACATCCAGGCAGATAAATACAATAACTAACTGCAAGTTTGGTATCAAGTTTCTTACATTCTGGCCGCCCTTTAGCAAATGCACAGTGAGAAGTGATACTTTACATGCACAAACAGCTGTAGAAAGAAAGAAAAACGTCTTTGGTCAGCATGCCTGCAAAACACCACATAAGCACCATATCTGATCTGAGTTCCACAGTTAACTTGGATGTGAGTTTCTTTCACCCTGAACCTCAGGATCCATCTTGGAAGCTGATATTACCTCTTTTATTTGTTCTTCCTTTTGAATACTACATTTTTTTTTTTAAAGAAAACAAAGTGATTAATTATATTTGCTCAATGTCAGAGTGCAGCTGATCATATTTAGGCTGTATCCATCCATCCATCCATTTTCTGTAACTGCTTGTCCTATTTGGGGTCACAAGGGGTCTGGAGCCTACAGGCACAAGGCAGGGAACAACCCAGGATGGGGACGATAACCCATTGCAGGGCACACTGACATCATACACTGACATCATACACTCACAATATACACTGACATCATACACTCACAATATACACTGACATCATACACTCACAATATACACTCACAATATACACTGACATCATACACTGACATCATACACTCACATCATACACTCACATCATACACTCACATCATACACTCACAATATACACTCACAATATACACTCACAATATACACTCTGGTAACTCCAATTACTCTCAGCATGTTTTTAGACTGTGGAAACCCAACAACACAAGAACAACATGCAAACTCTACACACAGAACTCTGGTGGAGACTCAAACCCAGGTCTCACAGGCGTACGGCAGCAGCGCTGACCACCACACCACTATGCTGTCCCATTTAGACGGCATTTTAATTGTTTTTTTTTTATTATTTGAGGGCCAAAAATTAGCCAGATAATATACTTAGCTGGCAGAAACACACATATGTCACAATCCCAAAGTCAATCAAAAGTGACATATAGGTCAAATTTTATTTACACTATTTTTAAAGATAAAGGAGTGGTTTTGGAAAGAAAAAAACAGAATTTTTAGTAGTTGCCCCAGACAGGATTAGGAAATTCTGCCCCAGGTTGTTTATAGGATGAAATCTACAGGGAAAAGAATGTTCAATGTTCAGATAATCTGCTTCCTGTAACAGCAGAAAAATGTATGTATGCCATTTTTGTATTTCTCATTGGAGATCATTAGGACTAAGACCCCAAAAGGCACCTTCTGTTCCGGACTGATTCCACAGTTACCCGTAAAGCCCAGTCACCTCATCCAGGGTTTGAAGGCCACAGAGAAGAGCTCTGGTGGAGCTGGCAGAGGCCCACAGCTGTGGCAGTCTGCCAACCAGCAGTCACACAGGGACAGTGGGAGTTGGCAGAATCACCCACAGTTATTGATGAGTTTGCTGGACTAGCCTGACGGTGCCTGTCCACAACAGCGTAGGATCACAATGAAACAAATACCTGTTGCTTTGTGGGACGTTGGAACTGGACAGCATTAGTGTTTCTCAGATCATGGAAACGGCCTCCTAAGAGAAATGATGATAATCATAATGGATTTAAAAACATATTTACTGCACTATTAAGTTTGCATTCATCCTACGATAATAATCCGTCTTCATCAAGACAAAATAATTATGGCTATAATTTCTGTGCTAAAACAGTCTCAATGATATCCTAGTAGCATATCATTGGTACGTTTACTAAACCAAATTTAACATTGTCTACACTGCATTCTACATTACATGATGATATAGTTTGTTGTTGTTCTTTTTTTTACTTTATGTGCAACGTTTTCCTGTGTTACCTGTTTAATTGAGAACCACTTCATACTGTAATAGATAAACAGATCCTGAATTTAAAACCATACCTGACTTACTGTCCAATCTATGTTAAAATCGGATTATTAAATAAACGAACTGCAAAAGTTCATTCAATTCACTTGTTTACAGGACTGAACCATCTGTGCCCCCCCCCCACAATGACGTAATGACTCCTCAGTTCTGCTATTCAAACCACTCGTTTCATGGCAGGTGTTCCAGGAAACGTCTCAAAAAAAAAAGAAAAAAAAAGTTGCCCTTCTTCACCCCTGCAGAGGTGAAGGGGTTTCCCAAAGGTCCGGGAGGCCGGGACGAGTGCAATATTGGGAGGAGATGGTACAACAATGCACTGCGTCCCGCACCTGCCTGGCCCTGGGAGAGTAGAGCAGAAAGAGCCACGGAAGCATCCAGAAACAGCCAGACTCCATCCTTCCCATGATTCCCAAGGCGCAGCCACTGAGAGGCACCTCCCTGCTAGGAAAGACAAATCGTAGCACATGGGTCACAATGTGGATGTGCGTAATAAGAATCATGAAAGTACGTTACGAAAAACAGCATCAACTGGTACCTGCAGTCAAACAGAATCAACAAGAACCTTCTAAGTGTTATTTTACTGTGCATGCTTTATACATTCGCCTATTGATATATAGATATCTATACTCCTGATTCATCTACCAACTTCCCAAGTAATTTTTTTTTATCGAGCTCAATATAACAACAGTTTTTTGTTTATTATTACTATTATTTGTGATATTTCCAGAAAGACGCGTAAATGTTTTCTGGTGGTGTAGTACACTTTCGTATTCCTCTCCCAGAACAAACATGAGCAAGCTAATGAATAACTCAGCGACATTAAACTGTTTCTACGGAAACGGTCTCCTAGCGACACCAGTAATCTGTTGAGTATGACAAGAAAATTCTCTAAAGAGAATTCTAAACTTTGCAAAGAATACAACACAGTAAAAGTCCAAACCACAGACTATTATACAAGCGACAAAACATCTAGTAGAAATTATCAATACGTCCCATATAATAATTGGGCACATCGGTTTTCATAAAGGCGCGCGCGTGCTTCAGCCAGTCTTTCCTTCAGTTTGCTGTTGATTTAATAGGCATTGACTAAAAAGTTTATGCAGCCATTTAGCACTTACCTTAAACTAATTACCCTTCCACTATCGTCCATTTATGAGCACAGCTACCCGTTGCTCGTGTGATACTCAAGTGCAATGTAAGAGGTAAAAAGAGAAGCGTGAACTTTGCAAATCTGCCTCTAAATTGCCAAAACGAAAAATCGGACGTTATCAATCTGGCTCCCTTTATAGTTAACTTGTCTTGCCATACTCCAGCACTTGCACCAGACCAGCAAGGCAATCTGCAGCACAGAGGACACAGCGTTCCTCGCTTTTCCCAAATCTTCCTCACAATAGACCCCTCGTTCTGAATAGCTTCTGCCTGGTCGGCGGTGGGCTCCGCCCCCGCTGCCACAATAAACAAAGGCCACAATGTAATGCTTACTGATGCATGCACGGTGCCCCTCTTAAAAGGACTATGATTCCCGGGCATTTCCCGCGGTTCATCCTACAATACATTTAAATATTATTTGCTTTACGTGTCTGCAACTTTGTTGCACCAAACCAACTTGCAACGTGTTAATTAAACACTTATAAACAAAATTATTATTTTATTTCCACCGAAATGAGTTGTTTAAATGAAAACAATAGCGCCCTGCCACATTCCATTTTGACGTAATCTCGCGAGCGCACTACTTCTTTTTTTTTTTTTTAGAACATTCAATACTGTAGATCAACAATATGGAGCAGACGTGGGAGAAATTATTACCAGTGGGCACGTGACATTATCTTAAATGAAATAAAACATTAAGCTATATAGTAATTGCGAATATAAACTTTTTAAAAATGATACGCAAAATGTTATTTGTTGGACTTCTCAATATAAAATTGTTCTTCCGACTTTTAATTAAGTTTTAGGTCCATCTGTCGTTTCCCCGGTGAATTACAGGTATCTGAGCGTCTCGCATCTCGGCTAATTCCTCACGCAAACACAACCTCCGCAAGTTGCTAATAATTAAGGGGCTTTTTTTTTATTTAGGCCACGGCTTTAACCAAAAACCAATAAAATTTGTGTGATGATACACAAAAAAACCCTCTCAAATCTAGATATATTTAGCCTAATATAATGGCCGTTTTGCTTGTTTTGCCATTTTCAGCGTTTCACCAGGACGGATTTTTCCTAATTACAGTTAACGGGGAAGATAATACTCGCGGTTTCTGATATCACTAGTTGTCATTTGGTACAAGTATATATAATTCCAGCTTTCGACAAATGAACCTCGATCTAGTAGCAAGAATCGTGAATCAAACTTTGCAATTTGCTGTTATTGAATATTCCGTGTCGACAGGTTTCACATGCACTTTAAATCTCATTAATGCCAACAATATAAATGAAACATATTATTTGAAGAATCTTAGTTATTGTTAAATAAATAGACTGTAAAATTTTACTAGGAATAAAAAATATATAGATACAAAGAACTGTGATTTGAATAAGCTCGGGAAATTACAATATAAAAACATACATCATATGACGACGGGTCTGTAGTCTGTGTGTATGGACTGTAAAGTAACTCTTGGAATCTCCAATAGAATCTCCACCAGAAATAATTTTGAAGAAGCTTTTCGTAACAATAGATAGTGGTGGACACTTAAAATCGATATGGTCATTCAATCTTAACAAATAAAAGTGTGGGCTGCTTAATAACACATGTGACTTGCTAAAAATACATTTTAATTATGCATTTACATTAAGATGTAATCATTAATTATTAATATTGTTGATGGTATTGTGTAGCCCAGTAATATTGTTTTATTAACAATTGGCATTTAATTATACAAATTTATGCAACGTCCACATTGCTACTATACTGAAGGAGTTTCGGCTTTAAATAGATAAAAGTAACAGCCCACTGACACCGACCAACCACAGGACGAGCTACACGTGCTTTTGTAGTTTTCCTGACAAATCCAATTAGCATCCGTACTGATAACAGAACAAACACTGTTTGCTTGTGTGTTCTTAACCTTCCTGATTTTCTCATTTGTTTGCACAGACAGTGCCGAAAAGGCACGAAGAGGAATTTGTAACATGAATCTACATTTCGATTGTTTTGTAGGCGTTTGACACCAGGAAATAAGACAGTCTGTTAAGTTTTTGACTATAAAGATTTTTTTTTCAGAAATTCCCGTTATCGGCTAAAAGCTGGACACTCAGCATGTGCGGTCATGTATATAAGAAAATATACTGACAACAAGGAGGTGCAAATAGCACAGGGTCTGTCACTCTGACAGCTTAAAATAGCTCCTCTTTGCGAGTGTGTGCGCATGTGAGCAGTTGCTGGAGCAGCAGGTGTCCGCTGAGGCTGATTTATACCCCTCGTAGAAGTACTCTGTCAAAAATCTCAGTCATTTGAGAGCCGGTGTCGGGGAGTGGGGGGGGAGAAAACGGCTGGTGAAAAGGTCCGATTTGTGACTGACACCTGTGTTACAATCTGAATGATCGTTCTTTGCGTGTTGCGCGTCTGCCTGTTAAGATCGGCTGCCCTATAGGAATTCTGTCATTTTCCAGTCGTAAACAAACGAGAAGTGCAGACTGGTTATCGGATCTGTTTCTTTACTGAGGTAAGAGCAAAATGTGAACTACGTGTGTGATTTTCATTCACTCCCTAGATTTAACTAAGAGAAAATGACGACAAAACCCTGATTATTACGCTGTTCTGGGTGTCACGTGATCTGCCTCCGAGATCAGCTGTGGGCAAATTGGATGAAAGCCTTACATTTAATGCAGTTAAGGCATGTTTTGTATTAGTTGTCTAAAAATTGGTATAAAACCACTCCGTTATCTTGCCTGTTTTTATTTTAGAAACATGCCGTTACGGCATCATGAACTTTCCATCCAACTACCCATGCGTAGCGTTTTAAGTGACTCTGGTTCATAGAGGAACTAACACTCTCTGCATTCTTCTTTTTTCATTTATAGTTCATATATATACTGCTTACTTACTTGCTGCCTGCTATATAGTTCAAGTATTTTGACGATGTCATATATTCACAGTAAAAGACTAACCGTTTAAATGCGGCAAATTGTAGTGGTGTCGAATTAACATTTTTATTGTTAGAGAAAATATTCTAAAGGTGAGTATTACTGCCTTAGGAAAGATGCAACGTCTACGGATCCAGTTAAAAGAAACATTTCCTGACCATTTTAGGTACCAATACTTTACTGATTGGACCAGTTTCCATTGAATGGCTGGTTTTTACGAGGGAAGCAGATTGTGTTATTCTTCGTGAGTCATGCGAGGGCTGAGATACAATGAAAAGTTGTAGAATAAAAATTATTTTATAACTTTAAGCATCCTTTGATAAATTGGGCCCAGAGAATTACTATTTGTGGGATGATTCTTGTTTACCTGATCTAAATTAAATTACTAGGATAAATAAAAAAGTCATTTCCCCTTGTTAAAAAAAATGGATGCACTAATTAGATGCAAATAATCATTTATGATCTGGACTAAATAGACTGTAGAAGACGGAAGGTATTGAAAGTACATTTAAATCAGTTTATATTTTCCAAAATATTATTTGCTGTGGAGATCACAGTCCTGGAAGTCCTGGAAAAATTGATTTGATTCCTAATTAGGATTCATTTCGGTCACGGAGAGTAAGTCATATTGATCAGGTCAGTGAAACCGTTTCTTTGTTTTGTTTTTCAGTACTGGCATGTAGACAGGACTTGGACATGTGAGACAGGCAGTAAACAGATCCCTGCTTCACGCGTGTCCAACCTCATTGTAATGTCACTGCATATCCCTCCTCGCGCGTGTCAGCAAGTATGGCAAATCATGACTGATTGATGGCAGGGGGGGTGAATTTGCATGTGGCATCCTGGGGGGGGGGGTATGAGTGTAAAGGCTCTAAAAGTACAGTTATACTTTATATATGACATCATTGTCAGCGGCTCAGCAGTCAGCTGGGGGGACGTAGGGTGTCCGTATTGTCTGATATGGTTGGGAGGTGTCACCTGTTTTTAACAGCGGTACCAAAGGTGACAAATGTATGTGTCAGTCTGAGGTGTTGTCACACCTGCATTCCGCGCATTCCGGGCCACCTCACATGCCTGCAAACAGTGGGCATATCTGCTGTATGGCATGTGTATGATCAGGGGTATTGGAACCCGGGGGGGGGCGTGTACCCCCCAGTATTTAATTCAGCTTCATTCATCCCATTAGGAAACAGACTTTTGCAATTAAATTATTAAGTTATGCCCTGCATCTCCAACGCCCCCTCCCCCAATATCAAACTCCCTTCTGCACCAGTGACAAACAGTTACATTCCAGCTGGGAGATGTTTCTGTATGCTGATGGAAACCATTAAGGAGTGGTTCTGAGGATCTGTAACTGGACAATGGAAAAATGACACTCTAAGGATGTCTCCATGCATGCCGATACCTTCACTGGGTTGCCTCCCTAACCCCAGAGTCCATCTCTCTGCCATACGAGTAGAAAGTATTTCAGACCAGAACACATGGTGGGGAGGGGCTGGCCTAGGGGGGTGTCTGGCTAAAGGAATATATTTAGAGTCCACTATTTCTGCCCTGCAACTCTGCTACCGAAGGTAGCTTTCGCTAATACATGGGCTTAGTTTCTGTAAAGTGGAATATAGGTCATATGTAAACACATTGGACCTAAGGACAGCCCTACAGGATGCTGCTGTTGATTCAAGGCTCACTGGCATTCCTGTCAATTCAGCAACGCACGGCCGTCTGTCTATGTAGTCACTGTCACTGAAAGGAAGGATTATCCGAGAACCGATGGAGTCTTTCATATTCGATTTTTCTGAACAGTTTTTTCTTGTTTTGCGAGCTCCGTAAGACCTGACTGTACCTTTTCCATGCAACTTACTGAAATCTAAATAGTCCGCATTACCGCAGTTTTTTGCTATGTAATGTTGACTTTCACAGAACAGTCCATGAAAAACAAAGAGGGATGACACTGAGCACCAGAGTCGAGCGGTGTGCCCACTTTCGGCTTTTTGTTTGCATTTTGCAGTTCGGCAAACAGACAGGGAGAGAGTCCAAATTGCAAAATTACTATCCCTTCCCAAATCCATCCATTGTGCTGGAAATTCACTTACCTTGTATTGCTGAATCCTGAAGAAACATATATGGAGACAGCTGGCATCTCGCGTGGTTTCGAGAACCTTGGAGTGGACTGCATGAAGTGTGGTTGATATGTTGTGTTGTGGGAGGTGAGCTCGTTGGGTTTCCTTGATTCCTAGTGACTGCACGCCAGGGCCTTCAGAATGGAAAGACGTTCACAGGCAAATTGCGCATGTCACATGACTCTGTATATGATCTACTGATAAAAAATGTTTAGACACTGATATTTTCAAATAAGTTATGATGTTAAGTTCCCAATTATATCTTTTGCACAAAAAACAGTTCTATATACTGAATCCTGATTTATAATTTATTTTTACTATTTATTGTTTATTTTGTAATCCTGCACATTGTATTACACAGAATATAATCATTTAGCTAATATGCCCCATGACACCCAATTGTGAAGTTTTTACAATAGATAATACATTTAATAGTCCATAGCTGAAGGCTAATCTAGCTTGATGTTTCTGCTGTCCATGGAATCATTTACAACATCGTTTGGGAACAAAACGCGGGGATGTGTGTCGCTGACCTTTGGTTTCCGCTCTGCCTTCCTCCCTGCCCTCCCCGCTGTGAAGAGGATGAAGAGATGATGCCTGAGTCCTGTTGATGGCCGCGAAACTCCCAGACACACGTCTGCACAGACACTAACGGTAAAACTCCATATTCATTTATTTAGGAATTCATTTAAGAAATTATCCATTACTGTTTCTAAGGCCTTTTTCATAGATATTTTTAAATCAAGACATCACGATAGTTAATGAATAAACTAAATTGTTTGATTTGAAATGCATAAATACTTCTGAAAAAGGATACTGTGAAATGGTATTAGGTAACATGAGCAAAGATCAGCCTGCCGAGACTTTGTTTCCGTCTGGGTTTGTCTCCCCCTTGTGGACAATTGGCTCATTGACGTTTTGCGTCAATTTTGCAGGCTTTCTTCGGCGAGAGCTAGTAACCGTCTCGGGCTGGATCTGTATGGATGGGAATGGGGAAGCCAGCTGCCGGTAATAGGGACACACAGCTGTCGTGGAAGTGGGTTATCATTGGAACACTCCTGCTTGATCACGTGTGCCGTTCCCAAGGTAAACATTTGAAATCTTATGAGAGGAACTGAATAAAAATAATATAGAAAATCAACTTGGAGATTCATGACTACATTTTCTTATTCTTTTTCAAGTGTTAGTGTACAGGGCTGGATTAAGTCACCACAGAACATTAGGCAAACAATATTTACTGCTCCCCTTTACCTGTCATATTTGTATTAAGCAAAGATGAATAGAGGAATACAGATGAATTTGGATCCTGAGCACTGACTGAGGATGCGCTGTAACTATTTTCTGCCTGGACATAAACAATCTAATTTGATGTATGTTTTTATTGTTATTATCTTTAATTTTATTTAATTATCCTTAAATATATATATATATATATACACACACTCGGTGTCCAAAAAAAGTTAAGCGCCCAGACGTAGTGGTGGAAATGAAATGAATCTGCACGTGGTGAAAGGTCATGTGACTGTATCGCAATGATTATAATATCAGATCAAACAGACAACAGAGTTGGCAGTGTGGGCACACTGCTGATCCCATGTCAGTAGGGTGTG